GACCCCGTGCGCCACTGCGCCAGGCGCACCCGGCGCCGGCGCTCGGGCACATCGCACAGGAACGACGCAGGCGTGTAGGCCTCCGCAGAGATGCTGCCCCCCCACACGTCCTCAATGTACCGCTGCACCTTCACGGATGCATGCGTGTACGAGGCAACATGGCGCTCCAGGAGCGCTTCCGCCAATTCAGGTATGGCAACCCCCTCGTCAGCAGTCAAGTCGCAGGGGGCGCCGGCCGCCGCGAGAACGCGGCTAACCTGCGCTGCCCAGGGCTGCCGGGCCAGTGGCAGCTCTGTGTCCGTGTCGGCAGCCAGCGCAACGCTATCCAGCATGGCAAGACGGGCGACCCGCTCGCCGCCCATAGCCTGCAGGTTGCTCACAAAGCGTGCAACCTGCAAGGTCCAGTAGGCGGGCAGCGGCAGCTGCCCCGTCTCTGCCAGCACAATGAGGGCTGGGGTGCTGTCCCGCACACCCAGCAGCCCTCGCAGGTACTCCAGCTGTACCCGCTCGCATGCCGTCCTGCCCTGCAGAATCAGCTGCGGCGCCCAGATCTCTGCCCCGTACGACAACGTCGGCAGGACGTAAGACCTGAACGCACGCATGCTGAGCAGGGGGTCCTGCAACCCATTCTCGGCCAGGCGGCGACGCAGCAGGTGCATCGCGCGCCGCCCAGCCTCCGCCCGATACGATGCCGCCGAGGCAAAGGCCTGCCGGCAGTGCAGGTGCACGCCGAGGTATCTGAAGGTGGGGACGGTTTCCACCTCATTGCCGCCGTAGCGGAACCGCTCCTCCGTGGCAGCAGCCCCGCCAGTGGTGTACACTACCACCTGGGTCTTTTTGGTGTTAACCGTCAGGCCCCAGGCGGCACAGTAGCTCTCAAGGTAACCAAGCTGGAAACGCAGGCCTGCCGGCGTGGTGGCCAGCAAGGCCTGGTCATCAGCGTAAAATAATGGCGGCACGCACTCCCCGCTCTGCCAGCGAGGCAGAGCCGCGGCCGCAGCCTGTTGCACCAGCCCGGACTCGAAGTCATCCAGGAACAGACCGAACAATATAGGGCTCAAGGGGCAGCCCTGCTTCACCCCTGAGGTGGCCTGAAACCCATCAGCGCGTGCGACAAGGGCGGGCGCTGGCAGAAGGCAGGCATCAGCGCTGCACCTGCTGCCATGGGGTAGCAGCCCTACAGCACCATCCGGGCACAGTGCATGTTCCCTATGCATGGCTGCCACATGCTTTCTGCCTTCCCCAATCCCCCGATCCTTGACCGCTTGCAGGCGCTGGAGATTTTCGAAAGCATGGCTCGGCAGCGGCTGCCCCGCGACGCCATCACCTACTCCGCCACCATCTCCTCGCTGGCCAAGGGCAAGCAGTGGCACGCGGCGCTGCAGGTGTTTGACCACATGCAGGTGGGTAGGAGGTGCAGCCACTGACACAGCTTGAGCAGAGTGCGCGTGCAGGGAGCGGCCAGAATTCTGGGGGGCATTGAAGAGCGGCCAAGAAGGTTGTGCGGCCAGAGTTCAGCTTGACAGCACCGGCCTGATGGTCAGTGCTCTCATTGTGCCGCCAACCCTGCTCGCCGCCTGCAGGCCAACCACATTGAAGCGGACGTGGTGACCTGCTGCTCCCTCATCAACGCCCTGGAGCGCGGCGGGCAGTGGCAGCTGGCCGAGAAGCTCTTCCTTCAGATGTGCACCGCACAGGTGGGGCAGGCGCGGGTGGCCTGCTTTAGGATGCAGGCTTGCCTTCCCTTAAGAGCGACCCCGTGACAGTGGCAAGATGGAAGCCCATGTGGACACCATGCGCCTGCTCAGTCATTGGCCATCCTCAACTGCGTGTGCGCAGGACGAGGAGCACGATGGGGCGCGCTCCCCGCCGGCCACCCCGCAGCGCCTGCTGTCCCCCGGCAGCAAGCTGTTGCGGGCGCAGACCTCGCCCTCCTCGGTCCTGGACGCCCTGCAGTCGCCGCCTGGCAGGGGAGGGCTGGTGAGTGGGCCTGCTGCTGCTGCGCCTTGCACTATTGTACTCTTTAAAGTAGTTTGGCCTTACTGCACAAGGCGACGAGCAGCGAGTGCTCCACCCCTAATGGACAAAACCCTGCTCGTGTGCAGATGAGCATTGCCGAGTCGCCGCGCCACCCAGAGGCAGAGGACTGGAGCAGCATGGCTGCCTCCTATGGCATCCTGCACTCCACGGCCAATGCGCAGCAGGGTGTAGTGGGGGCTATGTTTGGCAGCGGCCCATCCAACAACCCGCCCGGCCTGCCGCTTGGCGCCGAAGGTGGGCCGGTACCGCCGCTGCCGACTCGTCATGTGCGTGCGCTGCCTTACCACCATGGCTCAAGGTGGCATTGCGAGCTGCACCTGCACCTGAACTGCAGTAAGGGTGGAGGAGCTGGCTGCCACCTTCAACACCTCCGTGGCACTGGACGGCACTACCTCGCCATCGCCGGAAGGCGCCGCCTCCCTGGACTCTACGTCTGCCGCCGGCGGCACCAACAACCCCTTTGCCGTTGCCTCCCGGCTGGTGTCCAACCTGCGCAGGAACTCGCTCAGCAGTGAGTGAAGTTCTTGGGTCTGCCTGTCACCTTCACGCTTTGCCGCCGCTCACTTCTGGCTCCCCATTGCGTCCATGAAAGTGAGGGTGAGCCATGCCAACCCTTGGCCTCTGGAATTTGACTGTGCGTTGCTACACGCAGGCAGCCGCACCTCCTTCCCAGACCAGATCCCCGAGAACGAGCAGGCGGCACCCCAGCCAGGTATGTGCACCGACGCGGCCTGCAGCACAGGTCCCGCATCTCTTGCCATTGGCCACCACCCGCTGATGGCCCCCGTTACTCCCCAGCCCGTGCTGCAGAGGACTGGGCCGGCAGCGTCCCATCAGACTCTACCTCTGGCCCGCCCGGCCTGCGCCGTGCCTCCAGCGGAGCCCCCACGGCCCTGTCCCCAGCCCTAGCAGCGAATGGCTCGCCCCCCCCGCGCCCATCCAGCGGGCTGGTCCGCACCGGCAGCTTGAAACGCGAGCTGGGCATCCCTCAGCAGGAGGCGGCAGCCAGCCTGCGGCGCGCCATGAGCTGCTGTCCTGACCTGCAGGGCATGGGCGGGGACGGAGGCGAGGGCGCAGGTGCGCGGCGAAATCGCCTGCCCGCCTCCCTTCCAATGATGAGCGCCCGAAAACTAGCTCATTCACCCACTCGCCTGATGCCTTCAGGCCTGGCCTCCACGTTCAACACAGTCATGGTGAGGGGCAGGGGTGCTGCTGTCTGCCTAGCGCTGCTCGCCCCCCCCGCCCCCGCCTCCATCCCTCTTGCTGGCGCCGCCTCGTCGCTCTGCTTCTCTTACACCCTCTGCTGATCCTCCCATTATTCTTCAGACTGGCTACATGAAGGCTGGGCAGTGCGAGAAGGTAGCGGCGGGGGCATGCTTGCCCGCCGCTTTCAGTGAACCAGTCCAGCTCCAGGCTGTGCTTTAACACCCTGCTGAAGCCGGCATGAAGGAAGCCCCCCCCCCCCCCCCCCTTTTGCCCAGGTGCGCGGCGTGTTTGACGAGATGCTGCGCACTGGCCTGTCCCCCAGCATCGTCACCTACAACTGCCTGCTGGCCTCCTTTGCCAACCTGGGCGCCTGGCGCGAGGCGCTGGACGTGATGACCCACGTGCGCGCGGCGCAGGCTGAGGGCGTCAACCCCAACTCCAGTGAGCCAGGAGAAGAGGGGGTTCTTTCCCGGGCTTGGGTGGGGCCTGGGTTTGGGGTGCAGTAATGGCGCTCAACCTTGCCAACGCAAATCGGCTCGTGGCCAGCAGTGGCGACCTGGCGCTCCTGCCTCCCTCTGCACCGTCTCCTGCAGCCACCTTCAACACTTGCCTCGCGGCAGTTGCCATGGGCACCGACTCCATCCCCGCCCACCAGCACGCCACGGTGGCATCCCGAGCGCTGCAGGTGGGTGGGCAATGAGGTTCGCTCCTTTTCATGCCTAATAGAATCGCCAAGGCTTCGGCACAGGCCTCCCCGGGACCCATTCACTACTAGTGGGGGGTACTGCACTTGGCGCGTCGGGCAGATCAAATAATGGTCTAAAGCTAGACGTTAAAACCGGGAAGTGAAGCTTGTGGAGGCTCTTCCCCACCTTTACCTTTAGGCCGCGGCTAAGAAAGGCCTTCTTTGAAGGCGCTGGAGCTAGTGTCTAAACCCTCCGAGAGGGCACAGGTTCGATTCCTCCCATGTCGAAACTTTGTGAGGACAAACGCGGCATAGCTGACCGGCTCAGCGCCAATCCAAGCCAATTCCTTCGGGAACGCCTAATAGAATCGCCAAGGCTTCGGCACAGGCCTCCCCGGGACCCATTCACTACTAGTGGGGGGTACTGCACTTGGCGCGTCGGGCAGATCAAATAATGGTCTAAAGCTAGACGTTAAAACCGGGAAGTGAAGGCTCATGCTCTCGGCGCAACCGCACCCTGCACAACCCCTGCCCCCAACCTCTGCAGGTCTACCACCAGATGCAGTCCACGCCTGGCTGCGCCCCTGATGCCGGCACCCACACCACGCTCATCCGCATCCTGGAGGCCTGTGAGCAGTACCCGCAGGTGTGTGTGTGTGCGTGTGTGTGTGTGTGTGTGTGTGTGTGTGTGTGTGCGCGCGCGCAGGCGGGATGGCTCCTCTTTCTTTGCCAACACTTCTAAACGATGGCAAATGGTGGGAGCTTTGGGCGCGCTTTCCCTTTCACACTGCCATGTGGTCATCCTGCCCTGCAGGTTGTGGCGGTGCACGAGGTGGGCAGCCAGAGGTTGACTGACTCGGGAAGATTTGGCGAAAAAGCTGCACGCCACCTAGCGGATGTGCAAGCTGTGATGCATACCAACTGCACTGTCTGGTGTTGTGCATGCTGACTGCTCCTCGCTACATCCTATGCAGGTGATGCTCGGCAACGGCCACACGCCGGACGCTCCCACCGCCGCCCTGGTCCTGAAAGCCGCGCTGCAGGCGGGGCAGATGCGCAAGGCCTTCTCACTGGCCCACTCGCTGCAGGCAAGCGCCGCGGCAGGACAGGCGGGGAGTTCTGCTCAGGCCCAAATGTTCCACATTTACAGTGCGAGCAGCGTTGCAAATTCCTCCCTTGCACGTGCATCCCTGCCTCTCGGTTTCCTGCTGAGCAGATGCAGGGCGTGCAGCTGGACCCCGACGTGCTGGCGCAACTGCTGCACACCTGCGTGGGTGGAGGCACCTGGGACCTTGCACTGCAGCTCTGCAACTCCTCGCTGGTTGCTCAGGCACGCGTGCCTCTTGCCGCGAAAGCGAAGCGGGGCGTTTGCCAGAGCTTCCTTGCAGTTGGGGTCATGTCCAAAACGGTCCATCCATTGCCCTGTCCTGCCCCTGTTCCCCATCTGCAGGGCCCTGCCGCGGCGCCGCTTTTCAACTATGTGCTCCAGAGTGCGGCCTCCGTGGGCAATTTCAAGGATGTGGTGGCTGTGCTTACTGCCATGCGAGCCTCCGGGCTGGAGGTGGACCCAGCCGTGGCTGCGCTGGTGAGGCTGCCTCAAGGCGCACATTCGACTGGTGCCAGCACCGGCAACAGTGCAGTCGTGCAGTCATGCATCGCTGGCCCAACTTGATATTCAGCCATATGGCTCTTCCTGCTCCTCCAGCTCAACAGGAGCCATCCCTCCCCCTTGACACCCTCGCAGGTCATGGGCGCACAGGTTGCCAGCACCGTGGGTCAGCCCGCTGATTCCGCTCCGCTCCAGCCTGCGCCCTTCTCTGCCACGGGGCACCCAGGCTATGAGCACGCCGCTGGGCTTGGCATTGTGGCTGCCCAGAGCGCCTCGTTCTCTTGCCTGCCTGGCTTTGCTGGCACGGGCGACAGCCCGGCAGCGGCCAGTGCTTTGCCGCCACCCCCGCCACCTGCTGCCGACAGCTGGGACCCCAGCGAGGCACGCACCTCAATCAGCATGCAAGAAGCCAATTTGCTGCTCGAAAGCATGAAGGTGTGGCCCTGCGTGCCTGCACACAATGTCGACCGCGCATGGTTTAGGATGCCATGGGGCCTAGGCAACCTGCATATCCCACCCTGTACCCCACTCCCTGCCATGCAGGACCGCCTGGATGTGCAGGGCGGGCTGGAGGTGCTGTCCAACATGAAGGCCGCGGGGATCCAGCCAGATCAGGTGCGTGTTGGGGCCATCTGCGCCCAGCTGCTTCATGGACTGTGTTCAACATTGGACGCCGTGCGTTTCGAGCAGCACCAAGTCAGGATCCAGCTCTGTCCATGCATCCCTGCATGCAGGCCAGCTACACACACCTGATCGAGCTGATGGTGCGAGCCAAGAAGCCCACGATGGCGGTACAGCTGTGCTCCGAGGCTCATGAGGCCGGCATCTTGCAGTGCTATGCCCTGCCCAACCTGGCGGGCGGCGCCCCCCAGCCCGGCACGACGCTGGCCAACTGCTGCGACCTGCGCCGATGCGGGCTGGAGCTGGGGGTCACCGTGGTGCTCACCTGGCTCACTAGGTGCTCCCAGATGCGGGGGCTGGGCCTGGTAGTGCGGGACCAGTGCGTCAAGCTGATCACAGGTGGGAAGGATACGGCTTAGGGGGAGCCTGTGGGGTTGCATCTGTCGACTGCTGCCACCATGTTGTTTATTTGCTGACACTCACCGAGTCACTCCTCCCACAGCTGTCTGCTCAAGTTCTCGCTGTGATTGCCTGCGAGTCGGCATGTGCAGGCCAGCTGCCGGTGCGCCAGGCGGATGCCTGCGAGCGTCAGATTGGTGCATCGGATAGCGACCCATGCGGCACAGCGCTGCGGGACGAGCTGCTGCGCATGCTGACCACCGGCATTTCCAGCCTGCCTGCGTTTGAGGGCCTGATGCCTGTGCGCCTGGCTCAGGATGCAGGTAGGGGACTGCCTGGCAGTGCTACCCTTGTGTGTCTGTTGCATGCACCTACTGCTGGCTTTTTACCCCCTCCCTTTTGCGGCTGCAGCATCTTGTGCGGATGATGGCACTACCATCCTCATCTCCACCGCCGGCCTCTACAAGAACCTTGGCAGCGCCTGATGGGCGCCAATTCTACCCGCTTGAGTTGTGAGTTGTGCTCTGGCCAGGATGTGTCCTCCCGTGTCGTGCACATGCGCTGCCAGCTGCTCGGACCACCCTGCTGTTATGTGTTAGGAGCACCAGCTAGAGTTATTTGGAAATCTTTTGGCTTCAAATGTTTTTGTGCCGCGACTGACAGCGGGCAGCCTGCAATCGCCTGGCGCCGCCCCCTTGCACCCTCGTGTCTTTCCCAGTGACGATGATCCCTGCCTTGAAAACAGCGTTGTTTGCATGTTGCTTGAGACTCTCTAGCTCTCCAACGCTTGTGGTCTACCGTGCATGCCTGAGTAGTACGCATCCATTCATTCATTCAGCACACAGACCGGCCGCCTCTTGCTCGAGGGCGGCCCACTTTGGCCTGGGCAGCCCGGGCCGCCCTCCCCCCCGGGCGCATGTTCGGTGTTGGAGGGGTGTGCCCAGCGATAGGGGGCCCCTGAAGGCATGCGCCGAGGCCGGGAAGCGTGGTTCGGCGCTGCTGCACGCTTGGCGATTTGAACAGAACCACGTGCCGCCGAGCTGCGGCCGCAGTTTCCGGCCCACGGTCTACGGTCGCAGCCACGGGACTCGGCGGCACGGCGTTTGGGCCCAAGCTTGCTGCCGCCGCCGCCGTGCCCGGGGGGCAGCGCGGCGGCGGCGGGGGCACGCTGCGACGCCCCCGTGCTGCCGAGTTGCGGCCGTAGTTTCCTGCCAGAAGCCCACGGCCACAGCCACGGGACTCGGCGGCACGGCGTTTCGGTCCACGGCTTGCTGCCGCCGCCGTCGCAGGGGTGCTGCCTGCGGCGGCGGCGGCACGGCGTTTGGGTCCACGGCTTGCTGCCGCTGCCGCCGCCGCAGGGGTGCTGCCTGCGGCGGCGGCGGTAGCGCACGTGGCAACCCCCCGCGTTTCCTTGCCTCCCATCCACCGGACCCCGTCCTGCGCTTCACTTTGTTTAGGGAGGGGCTGCTCACTGCTCATTGCTCATTGCTCATCGCACACTGCTCAACGCTCATTGCCCTATATCCCACCCAGCCGCAGGACTCCACTGCCGCCCGCGCCCCGCCCCATCTGGCCGCTTGCGCGCCCCATCCCCCCTCGATGGGGCCCGCCCACACCGGGGCCTCCCCCCTCCCGCCCACTGCTTTCTCAACGGCCCCGAGCCGGGGCTGCCCTCATTGCATACATAGTGCGCCTTTCCCTGCTTTTCTAGTGACCTAGCGTTCCGCACTGCCGTTTGGCCAGCCCATGCTCCCGTACCGTTGCGTTTCTCCCCAATGCGCCATGCCACTTTGCCAGTCATACACACGTTTCGATGCGTGCCCTGTCAGCTGCTTGCGTTGCATGTCGCCTTGCTCCACCCCTGTTTTATTGCTTTCTCTGCTTTCGCCCGGTTCCCGTCCCGTTTCGGCGGGGAGTCTATGTTGCAAGCTAGTTCTTGCTTTACCAGACTTTAAGCCCACACAAGCAAGTGACTTTCTGCGACGGTGCCGTCTCAGTTCCTGCCTTTTCGCACATGTGCTTGTTTGCATCCAACCTGTCTTGATCCTCTCAACCACAGTGAACGTTTGCCCTTGCGATCCATCACGCCTCCTATCCACTGCAATCAAGCTGCCAAGTGCGCTGCGGTTGTGCATTCCCGCTCCTACACCCACCTCGCCATATCGCCCCGATGCTAGGGCTTGCATCCTTATATTGCCATGCTTTTCATCTAGTGCCTGTACATTTGATGCACAGACGATCGGATGGCAGCATGACTGCCAGAGTCTGCGAGATGGGTTGAGATGGGTTGAGAGGGGGGGCGGCGGCGGCCATCGTCCCGCGTGGCGGGGGCGGGCGCCAGCTCGTCATGCATCCAGATCCTCCCTCGCTCTTTTGCAGATCCCGGTGCTCCATCGGAAATCAAGGCTTTCAGTTATCGGTGCGCAGGCAGTCCTTCTGCGACGGCACCCTCCGGCCGGGTTGGTTCCAGGTGCCGCCCCCTTGTCTTGAGACACACAGGTGGATGATAAGGCGGGTGCAGCAATTGCCTTGGGGCTGCGGAGTACGCTTTGCGGCTTGCGCCTACGTCCGCACCCCAGTCCCACGTCTCTATTCTCGCTCGGGCATCTGGACATCTGACCATCGGGCTGTGCCACGCATCGCGCTGCCCGCAGAGCGAGGTTGCAGACACCCCTCGCCGCCACCCCTGCGGCCACTGGCGGCAAGCGCGTGCGCCGTGGTCCCCCCTTGTACGGCGTGAGCCGTGGCTGAGGCTGGCCGCGCTGGGCAGCGGGCGCACACCAACAGCCCTTGGCACTGTAGCAGACATGCCACTTGCCACGCTTGCTGCTATCATCCTGGCGGGGGGCTTCGTGCTGGGCCTGGTGAGCATGCACTCATGTGGCCAGCCTGAGGAACTAGTGAGGCACTGCAATTGTGTCTCCTGCTGCTTGCAAAGCATCAGGTGGGACACCAACCCGTTTCCACCTCGCCGCACCCTGCAGGAGGCGCTGGCCATTGCTGTGGCCGCGGTGCTCCTCTCCCTTCTTTTAGGCTACCTGCTGGGCCGATGGTGGATCAGTCGGCGCCTGCCGCAGCTGAGCAAGGCAAGCATTGGCAACCGGCCGCTGATGCTATCATGTGCCCGCTCATGCCCACCATGTTTGGCTACTTGGCTCGCACCGCATGCCACCTGCAGCCTGCAAGCTACTCGCCTCCTGTGCGCAGGGCACCGTGGCCTTCTTCCACCCCTTTGCTGATGGCGGCGGCGGCGGCGAGCGCGTGCTCTGGTGGGTGGGCAACGCTCTCGCAATCCCATCTTTATGGCCTATGGCACCCGCATTCTCACAGGGACACCTCACCTCATGCCTGGACTGCTGTGCTGTGTCTGCAGGGCGGGGGTACAGGCAATGCAGGACATGCGCCCAGACCTGAATGTGCGGCCGCAGAGCAGAATCTTTACCGGCTGTGTTTTCTGCCGCCATGCCACCTCACCCTTGTACCTGCTTCCACTGCCGTCTCTTGCAGATTGCAATCTACTGCGGTCGTGGCCCGACCGCAGAGCAGCTGTGCGAGCATGTGGCCACACGGTTCAACCTGCAGGTCATGCCCACCTTCCAGGTGAGCGCGACACGGTCGGTGCCTGCGCTCCCTGCACCCTGCCTGAGTGCAGCAGTGCTACCCTGGTATAGTAGCATTTCTTTAACACTACCTGCATTTCTTTAACACTACGCGCCCACCTCACCGTCCCACCGCCGCAGGTGGTGCCCCTAGCCAACCGCGACCTTCTGCTGCCGGGGCGTTACCCACGCTTCACCATGATTGGCCAGGCGCTGGGGTCGGTGCGCGTGGCGTGGCAGGGCCTGCGCCAGCTGCTGCCCGAGGTGTGGGTGGACACCACGGGGTGGGCCTTCCCGTACCCGCTGGCCAGGCTGGCGGGTGCGCGCGTGGCGGCGTATGTTCACTACCCCACCATCAGCACAGACATGCTGCAGAGGTGCGTGGATGTCGGCGTGTGTTGGCCGTGGGGGCCCCGCCACACCCGGGCGTTAACTGCCCCGATTGCACGGCGCGGCTGGCTTGCATGTCTGCTGCCTGCTTGTCAGTCTGGGCTGCTTGCCCAGCCAATCTGCTGGCGGTTGCATGTTCACGTGGCATCCTCAGGTCATGGCATGCCCGCCGCCTTCCCGCCCGCCGCACTCACAGGGTGTGGGACCGCGATGCTCTGTACAACAACAGCGAGGAGGTGGCGGCTTGCCCGCTCAAGTCGCTGGCCAAGCTGGCGTACTATCACGCCTTTGCGCTGCTCTACGGCGCGATGGGCGCCTTTGCGCAGGTTGGTGTGGGGGTGGGCCGAAGGCGGCGGCAGTGTTGTGCCCGCTGGCCTGCTGGCCAGCTGGGCTGTGTGCGCTTGGTGTCCTCTGCTGGCGAGCTGCCAACTCAACATTGTGCCCCTGGCTCCCTCTCTCTTCCACCCTTGCCACACGCGCCCCTGCTGCAGGTGGTGATGGTGAACAGCAGCTGGACGCGGCGGCACATCGTGGATCTGTGGTGGCAGTGGAACAAGCCGGCGCGGGTGTACCCGCCGTGCGACACGCGCGCGCTGCAGGCGCTGCCGCTGGACCGCCGCCTCAAGCGCGTCTACCTGCTGTCCATCGCCCAGTTCAGGCCCGAGAAGGATCATGCCATGCAGCTGCGGGCACTGGCGGCGGCGCGCCGCAAGGCTGCGGGCATGCACGACGGCGGCGGAGAGGCGGTGCTGGCTGCCCACCTCAAGCTGGTGGGCAGCTGCCGCAACGCCGAGGACGAGCAGCGCATACAGCAGCTCAAAGGTGGGTGAATGGATGGGCTTGGCAATCTGCAACAGCTATGTTTGCAATCCTCGCCTTGCCACACATACCACACACCTCCCCCCCCCCCCGGTGGCGCAGACCTGGCCGAGGAGCTGGGCATCGGCGACCGCGTCGACTTCTGCGTGAACGCCAGCTTTGACGAGCTGCGCGCTCTGCTGGCGGATGCGGTGGCGGGGCTGCACACCATGGTGGACGAGCACTTTGGCATCTCGGTGGTGGAGTACATGGCGGCAGGTGGGCATGTGGGGAGGCACCAGGGGCAGCTGCCTCACCCCTGACCTGCGTGGGACCAGGACAGCTTGCTGAGCGCCCCCTGCTCACACCTGACGCCGGCCCTGCACTGCTTGTGCTGCCCCTCCTGCAGGCGTGGTGCCCATAGCGCACGACTCGGCCGGCCCGCGCGAGGACATTGTGCTGCCAGAGGGGGGGCCGCCGGGCAGCGGCGGCGGCGGCGGCGGCGGCGGCGGCCAGCCCACGGGCTACCTGTGTAGCACGCTGCAGCAGTATGCGGATGCGATCATCGAGGTGCTGGGCATGGAGCAGCTGGAGCGCATGCGGGTGGCGGCGGCGGCGCGCCGCCGTGCAGCGCAGTTCTCCGACCAGCGCTTCCAGAAGGAGCTGATGGCGTGCATGGAGGACGTGCTGCCGCTGGGGCGCAGCCGGCAGCCCACCAACCTGCTGTCCGCGTCGCAGTGACTGCTCGGCACCCTGCCTGGGCCAATCCGCTTCTGCCCCTGGCGGCGCCAGCTGGACAGCGGGCTCTTCTCATGAAATGCTCACCGGGCAGGTCTTGACCACAGCACAGAGCATTACATTAACGTGAGCATGAGCAGCAAATACAATCAGATGGCAGAGGGTTGATGCGCAGAATAGGCGGCCTGCATATCCGAGTACAGGCTCGCAAGAAGCTCTGTGAGCCAAAGAGACGAGGCGGGGCCAGGGGTCTACTGGCAGCCCAAGCATCCCTCCTGGCCCCACGCTCGCTCACTGCGGCGGCGGGAACTGCATGCCGGGCTGCTGCTGCGAGGGCGCGCCCAGCTGGAAGCTGAAGGGTGGCGGTGCCATGTAGGGGGGCAGGTTGTAGGGCAGCATGCCGGGGCCGCCACCCTGGTTGCCGGGCGCCCCCTGCTGCTGCTGCTGCTGCAGGAACTGCTGCTGCCCGGGCGGCGGCTGCAGGAATTGCTGCTGCCCCGGCGGAGGCAGGAACCCCTGCTGCTGCTGCCCCTGCTGGCCACCTGGCGGGAACAGGCCCAGCGGCATTGGCGGCGCCTGGCCAAGCGGCATCGGCGGCACCGCCACGCCTGCCAGCTGCCCTGCCGCCGCAGCGTCCCCGCCAGCCAGCTCGTTAGCCTCCTCCCGCGGAACAATGTCCACCAAGAAGTCAAAGATGTCTGTGGGCGCATGGGGCAGGTGTGGGGAGGGTAAGGCGGGCAGCAGGAAGGGCGAGTAGAAACTAGCGAGCATTTGCCGGCCGTGCCTCCCGGCCGCGATGCCCCCCACACTCCTCGCCCACCTGTGCGTGCGATGGCGGTGGCCACGTCGCTGCGTTGCAGCGTGCGCCGCTTAAACTCCTGCGCCGCGCTCCACGACCGGATGGTGAGCTCCTGGATGAAGAACTCGCAGGCGCGGGCAAACAGCACGGGCGCCTCGGCGCTGATCATGCGCACATCCTCATCGCTCTTCATGATCTGGGCACACAGCGCAGCGGGGGAAGGGGCGGCACGTGGGCAGGCAAAGAAGGCGGCAAGGTGTTGCACAGAACTGAGCTGTTTAGCAGGCTGGGTGGACAGACACTGACTCGGGGTGCAGCTGTGAGGGGCAGCAAGCCAAGCCACCAGGCGTGCCCCGCAAACCTTCTTTATGCGCGCCAGTGGCAGCGCCTGGTTCTTAAAGTCCTGTAGCACCTCGCTGTGCTCATCCACCTCGGTTTGCATCTGCGCCCAGAATTTGCGCAGCTCCTCCGCCAGCTGCTGCTGCGCATAAAACTGCTGCATGTAGGTGGCGGGCTGCGCCGGGTAGGGCAGCGAGGCGCCGCCGCTGCCGCTGCCAGCCAGCTGCTGCTGCGCACCTACGCCGCCCGCAGGCTGCTGCGCCGGCTGCAGGCACAGGCAGCGTGGAGGCAGGGTCAGTTGGAGTGGATCAGGACTTGTCGGTGGAGGCAGCAACCAGGATGCCAGCGGCAGACGCGAGTGGCGGCGCGGCGGCATAGCATAGTGGCATACATCCAGCTCGCCCACCAGGGACCACAGTAGGCCCGCAGCAGGGTGCTGCCTGCTGTTCCAACAGCCCAGGCAGCGCAGGTCAGGGTGGCGGGGAGCATGTCGCGCGGATGCTCACACACCCGGCTGGCTGGGGTCCCAAATGCGCACCTGCTGCTGAGACTGTCCAGTCATGCTAGCGGAGTGGCTCTGAGGCGTGCAGCTGCCTGGACAGGGTGTGGAGTGACCACTGTTGCAGGGAGCGCCCCAGTCGGCCTGCGCAATATCGAGGGTTGCAGATGCAAGGAGTTTGAGGGCGATATGGCGCAATAGCTCCCACGCTCCCTTCCTGCGCCAGCGGGGGAGTTTTACTCACTCTGTAAACGCAGGAGGCGAAACAAAAGCGTTACTTTTGTTGGTGATTAGCGCCCGAGAGCCGCAGTCAAGGAAGGGAGGAACAGCCGCAGTACCAGCTGCGCTTCGGCGGGGCGGGAGCTGCTCTTGCGACAGGTGGCGATGTGGAGGGGGCACAGAAAGATGGCCTGCCAGGTGTTCAAGGGTTTGGAAAGGGGGTTTAGGGGGACTGAAGGAAGATTCAACAGCCGGGCGGTGCACGAGGCGGCGGTCAGCAACCTGCCGACAACTGCATGCGCCCAAGCCGCATCAAGCCGCTGCCACGCTGGTGTGACTGGACACAAGGAACTTGCTGAGCTGGGTGCAAGCCTTGCTTGTGAACTCATATGAGTTTGAGAGAGAAACATCAAAACATGCTGGGGCTGGGGAGCTGACGGGGCGGGGAGGAGCTGACGGGGCAGGGAAAATTTGGAACTGCCAGCAGTTCCAAGTTGGCCATTTACTTGGCTTCCTCCTGACCCTCCCAAGCGTGGCAGCAGCAGCCCAGTTTGGTCGAGGAAGCCTGCTGCTTTGGGGCACACTTCACTTCCGGAGGTGAGTTCTCTGGGCCTGGTGAAGCCTTGCCATGGGCATGCCTGCGCTCCAGGCAACCTCCCATGCCGCTGTGGGCTTGCACCATGGACTCCACACCAGTCAAGGTTGGGTCCAAACAACATGCTTCCTGCAGAGGATCCACACGTGTTCTCTCTCTCTGGGCTGCATGGTACGCACTGAGCATCGGCGGCATGAAGCTGCCAAACATGCCGGACGCTACCCGTCGGTGAGACCCCTAGGACTCCACTGGACGTGATGGCAGCTCTGGCTCCCTCCTAGTTGAAACTCGCTGCGTTCACCTCACTGTATGCAGGTCTGGAGCAAGCTGCACGTGCGCTTGAAGCCTGAGCAGATCCAGGCCGACCTGGAGGCCCTGAGGCACCCAGTGCGCGCGCCACTGCCAGGCCCTGGCGTGCTGGTGGAGGTGCAGCTGGTGGATGCTGCAGTGCTGCGAGCGCCTCCGCTGCAAGAGAGCTGGCTGGATCCACCTGCGGCAGGCAGCCATGGTCACCCGCCGCTGCGAGTCGAGCAGCGGCTCGCCATCCTTTGGCCGCCGCCACCGCCACAGCCTGCTCACACTGAGGTGTCAGAAAGGCCGCAACGCAGCTCACGGCGGCCAGCGAGATTAGGGTGGGAGGGGGAGGAGGTCACGCAGCAGCTTGGAGACAGCCTGGCAGCAGCGGCATCGGGGCCTGCGCCGCCCTCTCCGCCCGGCGGAGGTGGCTTTAGGGCCACTCAGGCCAGGCCACCACTCAGCAGGCCGATATCATGGCAGGCAGACACCTTGGCTGCTGCAGAGCAGGGCTATACGGGCCAAACGCCTGCCTGCCACCCAGCGATGGAGGAGGCAATTGCGGCACATCCTAGCGCAGATGCAGGCAGCCCATCGCCGCTCACCCCTGCAAGCCCTCAGCCAGACTGGGTTGCGGCCCCTATGGCTGTTCCGCAGCCGCAATCCCCCTCTCCCTGGCCAGGCGTCAGTGTACAGCTGCCTTTGGAGGTGCAGGAGCAGGGCCTGCATCTGGAAGCAGCTCCCGGACGCAACATGCTGGCTCTGGCGCATCAAGTGCAGCTTTGGCAGCAGCAGCAGCAGCAGCAGCAGCACCAGCACCAGCTTCCGGGGTGCATCGATGTCGACCTGCAGCCGCCACAGGGGGAGGCCGTCTTGTCGGGCTTGACATGGCAACAGGTGCAGGCGGCGCTCATGCAGATGATTGGAGCGGGCCTCCACCGCCGTTGAACCCGAAGCGCACAGCGTTGAACCCGAAGCGCACAACCGCTCCTGCTCTGCATGTCCTACACCTATGGTAGATTCATACAAGTTGACTGGCAGCAAGCGGTAATCTTATTAGGGAGGCAGCAGCAAAACGTTTGGATCCAGCACCGGATGGCGCGGCTGGCATGGGCGGCCTGACTGTGCATGCATGTTGTAGTGGCGCCCAGACCGCCCCGACATTGCGCACCTCATCCCGGACCTCTGGGGGTCGCACTCTGCCGCGATGCAAGTTATTCGCGCCCCAGTCACGTGTGGCATCACTGTTGCTCAGCCCGGGCAGCTTGCGGCCCGGCCGCTATTGTTCTCGCCTCATCAGGCCCATCGCACTCAGTCGCGCAGCGCAGCGCTGCAGCGGAAACCACATGCGCAGCGGGTGATGGCCTCGGTGAAGTGTGCAGCGGCTGGAGAGGCGCCCACCATGATCGCGGAGGCGGGACTGCCACGCACGGCGGTGGTGGGCGTCCTCGGTGGCGGACAGCTGGGCAAGATGCTCGCGCTGGAGGCGGTGAGGCGGGGCGGCACCGTCGCGGCAGTGCCGGCATGGACTGTAGCCGTGTACGCACAGCACTGCTTGCACCAGCAGCCTCCCAGTTCTGCCTGCAAGCTCTGCTCGCTCTCTGCCTGCCTGCCTGCCTACTTCCATGCCCCGGCAGGCTAAGATGGGCGTGACACTCAAGGTGCTCGACCCCACGCCTGCCTGCCCCGCCTCAGTGGTGGCGCAGCAGACTGTGGGCAGCTTTCGTGATTTTGAAGCAGTTGAAAAGTTCGCCGAGGGCTGCGATGTGCTGACTGTGGAGATTGAGCACATCGATGCAGACGCCATGCAGGTGTGCGGGGCGCACGGGCGGCAGCAGGCCAGCACGCCCTAGCAACAGGTGCCCCAACAAGCTGGCCAGCTAAAGGCTGCTTGTCCTGCTCTCGGCTCTCCCGGCCCTGCAGGCGGTGGCGGAGCAGTCGGGCGTGGAGGTGGAGCCCACGCCACAGACGCTGCGCACCATCCAGGACAAGTTCAGGCAGAAGCAGCACTTTGAGGCGGTGGGGGTGCCGCTGCCCGACTTCCGGGAGATCAAGTGCAGCAAGTGTGCAGAGGGGGCTGGGCGCGCCTTCGGCTACCCCTACATGCTCAAGTGCAAGAGGTGGGGTGGGGGGGGGGGGAGACATGTTGCTGGGGACGCGGGTCATGGCAGTGAGGCCGCTTTGAGACTGTAGGTTGTAGTTGCAGGAAGGCGGGCAGCCCCACAGTCTCACCTGGCCGTGCCTGTGGCATGTTTGGCAGGAGCTGATGCAGGCAGCAACCAGCTGATGCCCTGCCAGGCCAGCCCAGTTGCACCCTCGCCCCGCCTTGCCTGCTTGTCCGGGGCGCAGGCTGGCGTACGACGGACGCGGCAATGCGGTGGTGGAGTCTGAGGAGGGCATTGCAGCGGCGGTGGCCTCCCTGGGTGGCTACGAGGCGGGGCTGTATGCCGAGAAGTGGGTGCCCTTTGTGTGTGAGTTGGCAGTGATGGTGGTGCGGTCGCGGGATGGCAGCCTGGCCTCTTTCCCCGTCGTCCAGACCATCCACAAGAACAGCATTTGCTGGACGACAGAGACGCCGGCCAGGGTGCCCGCCGCCGCTCAGCGCCGTGCCAAGGAGGTGGCGGAGCAGGCCATCGGCGCGCTGGAAGGTGGGCGCGGGTTGGGGTGCGGGAGTGCTGGTGTGGTGCAGGTATGGGGGTAGTGGTGGGCAGTTGAACATGGAGCAGCAAAGGTGGCTGATGTTGGTACCAGCCGCTGTGCCGACCGCGGGGTCGGTGGTGCCGTGCCGACGATGGATGAGCTCCCGCCCGTGGCAGCTGGCTGCAGCGGGCACCGACTGACACTACCGCTGTCACTGTCACTGTGGCTGCCCCGGCTGCGCAGGGGCGGGCGTGTTTGGCGTGGAGACGTTTTTGCTGCCCGACGGCAGCGTGCTTCTGAATGAGGTGGCACCCCGGCCGCACAACAGCGGGCACTACACGATTGAGGCATGCGCCAGCAGCCAGTACGAGGCGCACCTGCGCGCGGTGCTGGGCTGGCCGGCGGGCGACACGGGGCTGCGGGTGGGCGCCTCGCTCATGCTCAACATCCTGGGGGAGGCGGACGGGGAGGAGGGGGAGCGTGCTGCGCACCAGCTCATGGGGCGCGCGTTCAAGGTGCCCGGCGCCAGCGTGCACTGGTACGGCAAGGCGGGCGTGGCGCCACAGCGCAAGATTGGCCACATCACAATCGTGGGCAGGGACAACGAGGAGTGCCGCCGCCGCCTGCGCGCCATCGACGAGAGTGAGTGGCAGCGGGGGCTACCGCGCAAGACGCTGCGAGGGCTGCGCTGCACGCAGTTGGCATTGCTACGCACCCGTGCTTGCGCCACGTTCCGGCCCCTCATCGACACCTTTCCCCTCTTCTTCCTGCCCTTGCTCCCACCTCCTCCAGGCGCCGCGGATGCCATTGAGGCTGCCACCAGCAAGGTGGCCTCGCAGCTGCAGCAGGGGGCAGGAGGAGGCAGCGGCGGCCCCTCTGTGGGGATCATCATGGGCTCAGACTCCGACCTGCCCACCATGAAGGCGGCGGCTGAGGTGCTGGAGGAGTTTGGCGTGGCCTGCGAGGTCACTGTGGTGTCGGCACACAGGTGGGTGTCGGAGGCTGTGGGGTGGAGTGGGTGGACTTGACGGGAGGGGTCGGCGGCCCGCATGCCGTGATGTGAGCATTCAAGCTCGCAGAAATATGACATCTCGTCTGAGGGGGTTCCCGCTCTCCCTCGCTTCTGCTCTGCCTCCATTTGACCCCCCCTGCACTCCACCCATATCACCATAATTCGCAACACCTACCTGCCCCCATGCGTGCAGGACCCCTGAGCGCATGTATGAGTATGCCCGCACCGCCCACCAGCGCGGCATGCTCGCCATCATCGCCGGCGCCGGCGGTGCTGCACACTTGCCCGGCATGGTGGCTGCGATGACGCCGCTCCCCGTCATCGGCGTGCCCGTCAAGCCCGCGGGCGCACACCTGGACGGCCTGGACGCCCTGCTGAGCATCGTGCAGATGCCCAAGGGAGTGCCGGTGGCCACGGTGGCCATTGGCAACGCCGCCAACGCGGGCCTGCTGGCAGTGCGCATCCTGGCGGCTGCCGACCCGCCGCTGCAGCAGAAGATGCTGGACTACCAGGGGGGAATGACGCAGACGGTGCTGGGCAAGGCGGCACGGCTGGAGGATAAAGGATGGCAGGAGTACTGATCGCGGGCGTGCACTCAGCCGAGCCGTGAGATGCACCGCAAGGCTCCTGCCGAGCGTCATGCACAACGCTGACTGTGGCCTGTTGCTGTTTTTTCATGTTTTGCTCTGCTCAACACTGGACTTCTGACCTCCTCCAACCATCTATCTGTCTCTATCAATGCTCTTCTGCTTCGAGGTTTTATACAACAAAAACTGTGAGTATGCAACAAACAAAAGGAGGCGGCACAAGTTGGCTGAAACCATAGCACACTTTAGGAAGCTCTGCAACACAGGCGACACATAGCACAGGAGAGGTACAAACAATGCCTGTGACGAAGATACAATGCGCTACAACAGCACAGGGCGCGGCCCCCAACGCATCCCAGTGCCCCAGCATTCGCAAAACGTAGCAAGCGAGGCCTGGGCGTCAGCGGTTGTAAACGGTTGTACCATGTGAACCAGCCCAGTGGCAGGATCTGGGTTGGAGCCAGACCCTCTAGTCAAAGCTAATCAGGGGCGCCTCGTCCCCGGTGGGCCTGTTCACTGCTGCGGGCTGCAGAGGCGGGGGTGCCAGGGATGCAGGGCCCAGGGCCGCAGGGGGTGCAGCCAGGCCTGCTGCTGGCACAGGGCCAGGCGCCGGCGCACTCTGCTCCTCCAGGCATCGGCTCAGCATGTCGAAGCTCTCAAAGGCCTTGGCAAAGATGCCCTCGTCGCCACCCTGCAGCACAGCGGATGGATAGGCGCACCAGGCAGCGTCGGCAACAAGCAATGCCCATGCAGTTATGATGAACAAGATGCACCATGGCCTGCCTGCCGGCCGTTCTCCTCCCTTGACCTCACCCCCTCCACACACAACACCATAAGCACCCCTCAAGCCTGGCCAGGTACCGAGCCAGCTGCAATGTGTCAGAGCTCTCGCCAGGCCCACCTGGTAGTCGCCGATGAGGCCCCGCAGCTGCGCCTGCAGCTGGTACGCCTTGCTCTTCATATCCTCCACGGCCGCGCCGCCCTCCCCCATGGCCACCATCTCCCACAGAATCTCAGCGGCATCACGCGCCAGCAGCGACAGCTCCTGCAGCTCGTCCACCTGCACCAACCACACGACGGCTGGTGGTGTCACTTACCCACCTGAAGCAGCCGGCATGCTGGCAAGTGCATCCAGCTGGCTGGAGGGTGCATGCGGATGGGTCAGCCCAGCACAGCCAACCACATCGAGGATTCATGCAGTGTTACTGGCAGGATGAGGGTGCTACCTGCGATGGCATCGGGCCCTGGCTCACTCGTGCAGCGCCGGCAGCCCCTGGAGGCGGGGGGTAGCCTGCCGCGCCCGGCGGCGGCGGATAGCCCGAAGCGGCCGTGGGTTGGGATGGGTAGTACTCGGCACCTGAAGGTGGCGGGCGGTATCCACCTGCTGCTGACCCAACGCCATGCTGCCGCTCATACTCCTCCTGCTCGTGCACATCCGACACCAGCGGCCGCTCCAGAGTGTTCAGCTCGTCATAGCCCTGCGGGTGGCGCACGTGGCGGCGGCGGCGTTGCCGGCTGTGCTCAGCCTAACCCTGGGATCTGCGAAACCCCTCGCAGCACTTGCACCGATGCCATGCTGTGGTCCAATTGCAGGTGAGTGCGCGATGGGGCGTGGGTGAATGAGGTGAACTTTGCGGCATGATCTGGCGCCCACCGGGGGCCTCATCTCACCTGAGCTTTTGCCCCAAGCAGCGACTTGAATCTCTCCTGCAGGCAGGGGTCCCACCTGAGCGTGTGAGCGCGAGCAGGATCGCCAGCACAGGGCAGCGCTGGCTTCGACCTCTGCATCCCTGCAAACCAACCGCAAACCTGAAAGTTGGACAGCTTTGTCTTGAAATTCGCCATGTCCAAACAAGATCGCTCAGAACTCAAGACCCACGAGCTTCTGCCGTGCGTGCCGATCCCTGGCAGCAAGTCGAATACCGAACAACGCCGCAGCAGCCGTCTCTTGCACGGCAGGTCCCGCGACAGGGCGCAGCACGCAGTGCAGAGACAACAAAGCCCTAAGGGTGCCATGCTCATCGGCAGCATCAGCCATCGCCATCGAGCCATATTTGCGCAGCCGTGGAAGTTTGGACACGCCCGGACGCTGTTGACCACGACGCTTACCATCAAGAGCGAGGCAGGCCGCTGCAGACCCGACCTTTTGCCCTGGCACGCCCACCTGAAGCAGATCGGAATGTGCATGACTATGGCGAGCGCCAGCTGCACTCCTCTGGCAGCAGCGGCGGCGCCGCCTCGCCGTTCACTGGCGGCAGCCCCGCCTGTAGCCTGGCGCACGGCGCAGAGGGCAGGTGTGTGCTGGGAACATCAACATCCGCTGCATACTGCATGCCAGGGACTGAAGTTGACGGCGGCGAGGGTGCCAGTGAGGGGCGTTGTCGAGCGCTGCCAGCCTGGTGCCGTGCAGGTTGCGCCGCACCCGCCAGCCGCAGCAGCCTGCGCTCCCGCAATGCGCCACGGGCTGTGGGTGTTGCCGCCGCTGCCTCCCCCGTTCCCGGCGACTTCAGCATCCCTGCTGCCCCCATCCTGATCCCCGAGGGGCCCTGGAAGGCGGTGGACGGCTGCGTGTGCGCCCCCAAGGGCTTCAAGGCGCAAGGTGCAGGCCGATGCTCTTGCTGATTTGCAAGAGCGTGGCACATGTGTGCGTTGGTGCCCGTCTGCTGCAGCTGACACACAGGCTTTGCTGCTGGCTGCACCACACTCATGGCTGCCCACCACCACCAACCACCCCTCACCACCTCAATCTCCATCCTCTCTCGTCCTCATGCAGGCATGTACGGTGGGCTGCGCGCCAAGGGCACCAAGGCTGACCTGGCGCTCATCACGTGCGACTGTGAGGCTGTGGCGGCGGGCGTGTTCACGCTTAACGTCATGTGCGCCGCCCCTGTGACCTTCTGCCAGGAGGTGCTGGCCAAGCGGGACACAGTGAGGGCAGTGCTGGTGAGTTGAGCTGCGTGGCATTGGAGCCAAGTCAGCCTGGGCGAGTCAGGAGCGCGCTCCAAGTGAAACGGGTTTCCAGGAGCGCTGGTGGTTCTCGAAGGATGGGACTGCTTTTGAACCGAGTAGCAGAATCGGTGGCTCCCCGCCGCCACTCGACACCATCCTGTCCTTGCCACTCGGTTCGGGGCTGCAGGTGAACGCAGGTCAGGCCAACGCGGCCACCGGGGAGCAAGGATACAAGGACAGCCTGGCCTCGGCTGACGCGGTGGCGGCAGCACTGGGCGTGTCGCGCGACGAGGTGCTGCTGGAGTCCACGGGCGTCATCGGGCGGCGCATCAAGATGGAGCAGCTGGTGGCGGCGGTGCCGCTGCTGGCGTCGGCGTTGGGATCGGGCGCTGAGGATGCGCACCGCGCCGCCGTGGCCATCACCACCACCGACCTCGTCAGCAAGAGTGCGGCGCTGGAGGTGGACCTGGGGTCGGGGCGCACCGTGCGGCTGGGCGGCATCGCCAAGGGCTCGGGCATGATCCACCCCAACATGTGCGTGCACATGGGCCTGGTGTTGTTGTTTGGGGGATTGCAGGGTGGATGGGTTGGGTGGAGGTTTTAGCTGCAAATTGCTAACTACTACTACTACTACTAACTACCAGCACACATTGGCCCTTTCCCCGCACCCCCCCCGCCCCCCCCGCAGGGCCACCATGCTGTCGGTGATCACATGCGATGCGCCCGTGACTCCTGAGGTGTGGCGCGGCATGTTCAAGCGTGGCTCCATCAACTCCTTCAACCAAATCACCGTGGACGGAGACACATCCACCAACGACACAGTCATCGGGCTGGCCAGCGGCCTGGAGGGCGGCGCAGGTGGGTGGGCCAGGTGCCTGGCATGTCTAGCAATCCTTGTCTGGCTGGTGCAGTCATCAAATGTTGTCAGGGCAGCTGGCAATCAGTGTTCTGGCTTCCCGTCGGCTGCTGCTGCAGTGATCAGCGACCCCGCCAGCCCCGAGGCGCAGAAGCTGGAGGCAGCGCTCACGGCACTACTGCAGGCAAGGGGCCAAGGAGTGCAGCGCGTCTGTTGATTCAGCAGCCTGCCTGAACGTCCCATGCCTCACGATTTCTTTTCTCATTTGTCCCCTTTAGGGCCTGGCCAAGTCCATTGCCTGGGACGGCGAGGGCGCCACGGTGCTGATTGAGTGCGAGGTGCTGGGCGCGCCCGACGCCGCTGCCGCCAACAAGGTGGCCAAGAGCGTGGTGGGCTCCTCGCTGGCCAAGTCCGCCATCTTTGGGCACGACCCCAACTGGGGCCGGATCGCGGCGGCCGCTGGGTGAGCCATGTACCACAGCCAGGCCTGGCGGGGAGCCCGCCAGGCAGGTAGCAGGCAGCAGCAGGTCATCGGGGACCCACCACCCTGCCTTGCACCCTGCCCCTTGCCCCCTCCGACTCCCCGCCCTCTGCGTCGGCGCTGCCTATAGCTACTCGGGTGTGCAGTATGACCAGGAGGCGGTGCGCATCCAGCTGGGTGACACGCTGCTGATGGACAAGGGGCAGCCGCTGCCGTTTGACGAGAAGGTCGCCTCCGCCTACCTCAAGAGCAAGGCCGACGTGCACGGCACCGTAGACATCCAGGCGAGGCAGCAGGGAGCAAGGCGGCGCGGCTGCCCAGGATGGCCGCTTGCCTGCTGCCTGCGCTCACCATCTCGCCCCTGCTGCACCTCATCTGCATCCCACCGCGGCTACCCTGTGCCTGTCCCTGGGGCTGCCATCCACCACCTGCAGGTCACCATTGGCAGCGGTCCAGGCAGGGGCATGGCCTGGGGCTGCGACCTGTCGTACGACTACGTCAAGGTGAGTCGTCCTGGCAGGCGTGGGTTGGTTCCGGCGGGGAAGAGGTGCGGCAGCACGGGTGCGTGGTTACCTTATGTGACACAGTGTGTGTGTGTGTGTGCAAACCTGTCGTCAGTTGGGAGGGCATCTGCAGATCTTCAGAGCTGACCCTCCTTGGCGCTTCCCTCTTCTCCTGCATGCAGATCAATGCCGAATGTGCGCTCAGTGGGGTTGAGCTGCCGGGGCAGTGGCCGCCGACTGCCGTTCGTCTGGTGCCTGTCACACTTGAACTGCACTGACCCACAATTCCGTAAGTTATTGCCTATCTGTGCTGCAGACACTACATAGGAGAAGAATTGTTGCCCAGCTGGAACCGGCGGTGTGCCGTCCAACAGTATCAGACACTCGCTCTGCCGATCCACCCTGCGGCGGGACCTCCCCAGCAGCACTGATCCGGCGTCAGCATTGTGGAGACCCCTTATCACTGAAATTGCATTGCATGGATTCCACAAGAGTGTATTCAGCAGCTGCAGAGGCTGTAATGCAGGAGAGCGACGAAGCAGCGTGCTTACGTGGCGCGTGCCGCCCATGGGCAGTGTTTCTGAAAGCTGGCGAAATCGCCAAATGCTGGCGAAATCGGGCCAAAAAACGGCTCTGGCTGGCGATTGGCCGAAGGCCATCGCCAGCCAGGGCTGGCTAAATGAGGGCAGGCGGCGGGGCGACATCGCCAGCGCGTCGCCAGCCCCCATGACTGACATCGCCAATATTTTGAGGAGAAATGGCCAATTTTCCTCAGGAACTTCACTCCATAGTGTTAAACAAGCGCCAGCTTGCTGGGGGCTTCGCCCCCAGTCCCCCAAAAGGGAGGCAATTGCCGACAAAGCAACAGCGGCGCCGCATGTGGCCGCTGCGCTGTGCCAGGCGCAAGGGTGGCTCCCCCGCATTTCGCCAATCCTCAATGTGCCATCGCCAGCTGATTGGCGAAATTTGGACGCGACAGCAGTCCTCATCGCCCGCCCATCGCCAAAGCTGCCACGAGGGCCAGAAACACTGCCCATGGGGCACACACGCAGCGGGAGCCCCTCGCCCATAGGCGCAATCCAATGGCCGCTGTGAAGCGGCGTTCGTCTCAAGGCGGCCCGCAGGGCTTCCTTCTGCAGGTCAGAAGCGCCTGCGCCCGCTCACGGCTCGTCTGGTCAACTACCGGGCAGGCTGGTAGACGTGGCCGTGTCAGCGCGATGTTTTCAGCAGAGCCCGCGGAAATGCAAACCTCTGCTAGCACTTACTGTCCTGCCGCCGGCCGCTCCCGCCCCGCCTCACCACCTAACCCCACAGGATGCCGACCTGATGGATGAGGAGGAGCAGGCCTCACTAATTGAGCAGATGCAGCGTGATGCAGCACATGCCAGGGTCTACAGTAAAGTTTTGTTAAGCGTATGCGGCCTGTTTGTGGCCCTGCTTTACCTGTCGTTTGCCGTTTCCCAAGCCCTCTTCCCCTGGCAATCGATGCACCAGGAACGCTTCAGCAGGCTGTTGCACCAGCACTCAGTCGTAGCGGCTGATCTTGCGGGCGCCGCCATGGCTGTGCTGGACATCCATGCCTGCCTGTTACACCCGCATGGCAGCTGGCGCAGCAGGCTGCTGGCCAGTGCCTTTCTGGCGGTGGTGCAAACTCTGTTTTGGAGTATGGCCATTTACAAGTTGGCGAAGGCTGAGCAGGTGCTGGTGAGGCCGCTGCTGCTGTTCTTCCTCTTCTCTCGCTTTACCTGCCAATCCAGCCCACCGTAAAAGAAATGTACTTGCACCACTCCTCTGCCTGCAGGCGACCTGTCACAAGCTGTTGTGGCTGCCGGTGGTGCCCCCACTGTTTGTGAGCCTGATGGCGGCGGCAATTCGTGTGATGGGCAGCACCGAGGCCGACCTGCAGCAACTGCGGACCTCACGGTACAGCTACAAGCGAGCCTGAGCGTGGCTAGGTTACAAGGCTTGGCGTCCATTCTAACATGTACATATCACATGAAATCAGCAACAGGGTTGAGAGAGTACAGAGGGAGCCCCTGGAAGTACAGAGCGAGAGGGCACTGCGAGAGTGCAATCAGAATTGAACATCACATGGACTGACCACTCATGGAGGTGTAATGTCGTGCATCACAGGATGCTCAACGCATCCGCTGAGAAGGCATCAAAACAACATCGTCAGTTTGCTGCTATACATAGTGCGTGGGGTGCTCCCAACCCTCACATCATGCCCAACGCCGAGCGCATGTCGCCAGGAATAGCGTGATGCAGCGTCGAGCAGTAGGCCTTGAGCTGGTCCGCCCCCGCTGCGAAGCTGTCCAAAACAAAATAGCGCTGCTGGTAGCCGTCCTGCATCCATAGCACAGACATTTGCATTGGCAAAAGTGCTGTGGGCAGGACAGTCGGTCAGGGAATGTGTTGCCGCCCTCGCATCTGGCTGGAGGCCAGCCTGCCAACCTTGTAGCTCATCTTCGGCTGCGGCGCAAACACATCCAACGGCTCCAGGCGTGCTGCGCCCGACGCCATGTGCTGCAGCTCGCCATAGGAGGACAGGATGCCCGCGCCAAAGGCCTTGACGTCTCCTCCCTCTCGCACCACGCCAAACTCCACCGTGTACCAGTAAATCTTGGTGAGATGCCAAATCTGCTTCTCGTCGGCGCCCAGGCTAGCGATCCCAATCGCATGGACCAGCTCAGCAAATGCCGGGTCCGCCAGCATCGGGACGTGCCCAATCAGCTGCAGGCAGCCAGGCGAGTAAAAGATAAGCAGAGGAGAGCAGATACAACTGCACTCCAGCCCAACACTTCAGCGACGCTTCCATATGCATGGCATGCTGTCCTTTGCGAACCTCGTGTACAACATCTGGCTCGGGGGTGTAGTCGGGGCGGCTGACATGCCTCATGTATTGAGTGCTATGAAAGGTCTGCAAGCACACAGGTAGGATGCAAGCACACAGGTAGGAGATGGAGAACCAAGGAAACACAAACAGACACACTGTTCAACAAACAGACACACTGTTCCATTCCGACCCATTCTTCACCTTGTACGCTAAACCCTGTAGGAACAAGCGAGGGTGAAGCAGGCCCGCCACGGGGCGGATGCGGAAGCCTGTTTGCTGCTGCAGTACCAGGCTCAAGTCCTCGAGCTGTGGAACCTCATCCTCGCGGAAGTCAAACAGCTGCCAGCAGCGCAGGAACTGCATTCAGGCAAGGGGTTCAGCAGCAGCAGCCTCGATCACACAGAGATAAGTGCGTCACACAGAGATACCAGACGGGGCAGGTTGCCTGCATGTGCCTCACCTCCTTGCAGGCATGGCGCGGGATCAGCTCCTTGAGCTGGGGCAGCACGGTGCCCCACACCGCCACCTCGTCTGGCGTGTACTCGATGCGGGGGATGGGTTCGCCGCTGCAGGCCCAGCACACAGCCCAGCCAGTCAGCAAAATCAGCCCAGAAATTATGCACTGCTGGCCGTACTCACATCCTGTGCTCGCGGGCCAAATTGCAGATGTCAGCACGCCTCTGCTTGTAGAAGGTATCTAAATAGCCAGGGTGGTCCTCCGACAGGTCGCTGAGGAGGGAGGCGGGGAGGCGGGCGGTGGTCTGGAGGCGTGTCGCACACCAGCTGTGCAAGTGGAGGCTGGATGCACTCACCTGCCAAAACCCAGAATCTTGCTGTTATCCACCTCGCTGATGCTGCGCGGCACGTTGAGGGCAGGCGCAGGGCCAGCACCTCCCCTCTGCGCAGGTGCAGACCCTGCAGGGCGCCAGCGCCGCAGGGGGCCTGCCGCTTGTCGGTCCCCATGGGCGCTGCGGCCGCTGGCACAGGCTCCCTGGCACCCCTGCACAGGCTCCGCTGGCTGGACACCCCCCCCCGACACCCGCCGCGTTTCAAAAAGCAGAGAAAGGCCCCTCTCACCTGTGGCCACGCAGCAGACCCTCAGGTCTCGACAAGCCCGCATCGAGCCGGGCCGTGGGGTGGCCCGTCTGCCCGCCTGCGGTGAGCAGCACCGAGGCGCGACGCCAACCGTCACTCCCATGCTCATAACGCAGCTACCAGCAGAAAGCCTGCCTGATCAGCGCAAGAAGAAGAGCGGAAGGAGCAAGAAGCGCCGCCGGGCCGGTATAGCTAGGTCCACGGTTCCTGAACCGTCCACGTCAGCAGCCAGCCGGCAGCTGCCCATGTCAGCAGGCTCCCAAGAAGAGCAGAACCGACCTTGTTTGTCTCAAACCGCGGTCCTTGTCCTTCCAGGCATCTTCTTCTCTCTTCAACCCCCTTCCCCGCCTTCCCTCAGCTGCACAAACAGAATGGCAACCACCGGCCTTGGAGCCTCTCCTGCCACCACCGGCCTGGGCAGCACCTCGGCTGGGATGGGGGCTGGCACATACGGTGCGCGGAGGAGTGCTGGGGCGGCGTGTCTACTGCGCTCCCGCCGCGTGCACGCAGTGCGCGAATCTGGTTTCCCCCACGAAATGCAGGCCGGATCATCCTGACCGTCAAGAGCGCCCACAACATGCTGGACAAGGCGTGGCTGGGCAAGAGCGATCCTTACTGCGTCATCCGCCTGGCCGATGCCGAGATCCAGACCCACCACGTCAAGAATGCTGGCGAGCACTGCACCTGGGATGAGTCGGTGCGTGGGTGCAACTGCCCAGCCAACTCCCGGACTGCCTGATGCGCCACGCTTAACGTCTCTGTCCCTTCGCATGCAGTTCTCCTTCAACAACGTCAGTGCCGACGACACCATCGAGTTTGCTGTGTACGATCACAACCGCCTGCTCAAGGATGCGCACATGGGCGAGGGCAGCATCTCGCTGCGCCAGGTGGGGGCCATGCACTGCTGCCCCTGGTAGAGCTGCATTGCGAGGCAAGTTTCCCACGACCACGTGCTCCGCTGTCCACCCTGCCTTTCGCTGCAGGTGTTCGAGGAGGGCAGCCTGGAGACGCGTGTGCCGCTCACCACTCGCACTGGCACCAAGGATGCCGGCGAGATCTGGGTGTCGCTGCGCCAGGAGGGCGGCGGCGCTGGTGCAGGCACCACAGGCGCTACTGCCGGCCTGGTGAGTTGGAATGTGTGGCAGCACAACCATAGGTGTTGGCGCTTGCAGACGGCTGCCTGCTCTGCTCTTGTATGCGCTCGAGGCAGATCGCTCTGGGCTGTGACCACAGCCATGCAATGCCTGCACCACTGGTCCTGCCCTTTCCATGCTGCAGACTGCCCAGGGCGCCACTGGCATGGGGGCTGGCTACGAGACCACGGCCACCGAGCGCGCCCCCTATGAGCGCCGCGAGGAGGAGTACGGCACCACCGCTGGCGCCGGCGCCGTGCCCGCTGTGGCGATGCAGCAGACCACTGTGCCGGTGGCTGCCTCCACTGGCGAGACGCAGGTGGCGCGCCAGGGCGCGGAGGAGGTGTGCGGCAGGGAGTACTTCACCAAGGTGGGTGGCAGGCACAAGAGGGTGTGTCTGCTGCACTCTGTCCCCTGCTGTGCAACTACTAGCAGCAGCGGGCAGCAGACCAATTGACCAGCCTGCCTGCGGCAAGTCCTGTCTGGACCTGTCTGGGCTGCCCCTGCCTGCTGCAGGTGGAGGACCGCCCTGTCATGAAAGAGAGAGTCACGCGGCTGCGCGAGCACCACCCAGTGGAGAAGGAGTTTGTGGTGAGTTGAGCAGGGGCTGCAGCAGGGGAGGGATCCACAGAGGCAGGGGAGGGGCTGGGCTGGAACCATGCATGGCCCAGCTGGCAGAAGGTCTGCTCCTCTGACTGTAACCCAGCACTGCTCCCACTCCTGCCCTCAGCAATTATCGATGCCCTGCCCCCTGCAGGTGGAGACCAGGGCCACAGGCGAAGAGAGGGAAACTGGCGAGCGGGCCCAGGAGCAGATGGGGGCGCAGGAGAGGGTGGTGGAGGTGGCGCAGCCCGTGGTGGAGCAGCCCACCGCCGAGTACTTCAGCAAGGTGTGCATGGGGATGGGGCTCAGGGTCAGGGAGATGCAAATCTGGAGGCAAGGGCAATACTGTACCCTGCAAAAATAGTGGCGCGACATAAATGTGGCTGGGGCTGTTGGCCTAGCTGGCACAGCACACAGCAGCGTGCCTGCCAGGTGCCCAAGAAGCAAGTTCCTGCCTTGATCTGTTTGGCTGCCCACCTCGCCTGCCGCAGGTGGAGGATCGCCCTGTGATGAAAGAGCGAGTGAGTCGTGTGCGCGAACACCACCCGATTGAGAAGGAGTTTGTGGTGAGTGGAGCAGGGGAGTGAGGGGTGGGGTTGGGGTGGGCTTGGCAGGTCTGCTCCCCGACTCATCGCTGGCCATTATTGACTATCAGCCTTTTTGGCTGCTGCTGCCATGTAGGTGGAGACTCGTGCCACGGGTGAGGAACGCGAGACCGGGGAGCGGGCCCAGGAGAGCATGGGCGCTACGGAGAGGGTGGTGGAGGTGGCCAAGCCGCGGGCACCCTGCGAGTAAGCAGATGATGCTGGATGATGAAGCCCACATGGGTTGACCCATGGGTGGGTGACAGCTCTAAACTCAAAGTGAACCCAAGGGGTTGTTAATGCATAGCTCCAATGATGCTAGCGAGGCTAGCAGTGCCTTTCCTGTTGCCAATAGCAGTGCGTCTTTATGCATGCAACTGTGATCATGTTCTGATGGACATCATGTGAAGCTAGTGTGTGTGACAGCTCCCCCACTGAGAAATTTCATTCATTTCGCTCTGCTACTTCCTTGTTACTGATGACATCAGGCAGGTGGAGGCTTGGCAGCTGTCCTGCTGGATGCATGCTGTTGGCAACAGCTGGCAGGCACAGCTGTATGGGGCAGCGCACCCCTGAATTCCGCGTGCGGCCTGCCTTCCATTGAGAACATAAGTGCTTGAAAGCCCGCAGCTTCCACAGGCTGTTTCCGCCAGCCGATAGCAGCATGGCCAGCGAACTGGTCGACACGGCGCAGGCCATCCTAACAGCCAGCGACACCGTGATTAGCACCCGCTACCGGGATGAGGACCGCGCCTGGCGCAAGGAGGACCTGGAATGGAGGATGGTGGAGCGGGAGTTTATGTGCGCCTGCTATTAGCCTTAGTCAGCAGTTGCTGAGCCTGCCAGTTGCGGCAGTTTTCAGAACTGTGCGCCGTAAGGGGAGGGGGCCGCCTACGCCAGCAGGGGGGCCAGTATAGGCGGCCAAGACGCGGCCAAGACAGCCTGGCTGATTTCCGCCACTTTTTCTGCGTTTTTGCCCTAATTATCTTCACTATCCCCTTCACAAACGATTACACGAAAAATAATGGCCGAAAGCGGCTGAAAATTGGCCACCTTTCCTGTCCACCCTGCTGCCGTGCTGCGCCAGCCCCGATGTACGGCGCACAGTTCTGACAACAGCCATGATTGTCACCTGCAGGCAGCAGCAGCTGGCATGGCGGCAGGAAGACATGGTGCAGCGTGATCTGGAGAACGCCAGATATCTGTGGAATCGGTCGGTTGAGAAGAACAGGCGCGACGTGGAGGAGCGGTCGGAGCAGCTCAAGGGCATCAGCAACCTGTCGGCCTTGATCGCAGGCTTTGCGCTCGTCAGCTTCTTGCAGTTTGACTTTGAGCCAAGCGCTTCTTCAGAGGGTGTGCAGCTGGCCTTTGGGCTGTCTATCGCGCTTACGGTGCTGCTGGAGGCCAACGCCATGGTGATCTGCTCCCTCATCCACGCCTCCATCCTGCGGATTGGGCGCTCCTATGTCTCGAGCCAGGAGGAGGCAGACTTCATGGCTCGCGCCCGCCAGTTTAGCGCCAGGTGCGGGTTAGATGTGGCGGGCAGGCACCACACGAGGCTGCCATACCCCTCACGCTTTCCATGCCCCCTCACGCTCTCCATGCAGCTACCAGCCAGGCGATCGGCCGCCGGCGCCCCGCCGCAACTTTCAGCAGCACTGGCAGTATGCGTGCGAAAAGCAGTGGCAAGTCGCGTTCATAATCTACATGGCGGGCATCCCCGTCTTCTTCATCAACATGGCTCTGGCTGCCTGGATCAAGGTCAGCATGCAAATGCAAGAAGCTCATCTGCCAGCGAGCGCCTTCCCCAGCGGTGGGCTGATCGGCGCCCCTTTGGCTCGCAGTTTGATTATTCCACCAAGACAGCAGCCACCATGACTGCAATCATGGGGCTAGCCGTCCTCTACTTCATTTTGGCACAGAATCGCTGGTCCTGGCACCTCATTGGCCGGCGCCACACCGAGCTGGAGGTGCGGAGTGCATACACCGTCATGCATGAGTGCATGGAGATGAGTGCATGCATGCCGGCTGCTGCTGCTAGGGAACGCACAGTCCCATGTTTGCTTGCCCTCTGCGTGGCCCTGCAGGAAGCGCTGCCACAGCCGCCACCCGCCGGCTTGCCGTGGGACTGGCATCGGCGGCCGCACGGTGGGCCCTCGATAGCAACCCGCCGCAGCTTGCTGGAGAAGCGCAGCGGCGAGATACCGCTGCACAGCCGCAGCAGCACCAACGAGCTGGTTGGCGGGGGGGGCCACCAGGCCATCTGAAGGTTGTCCAGGCTCCGAGGCCTTCATCTGGGCGGGGGTGCATGCTGAGCGCGCTGTGCAGTTGGACATGGCGATGTGCAGCCTGATCGCCGACTGGCAGCCCACACTGGGATCATGAGCAATGTCATACACTGTAACTAGCTATCTGGTTGTATAACACGCAGGATTGGGCAGCACACATACGGGGGTCCATTCGGCCTGAGCGGCGGTCCGCAAGCTCAGCCATTGGGCTGCCCCTAGCCTTAACCGCGCATAATGCTGCTAATAAACGGCTTTGCAGCGACCGCCTGCCGCGCACCAGGCGTCGTAGCCTCGCCTAGCCACCGTCTGGCAGCCAGGGCGCCCAGCAGCGCGGCGTGCGGCAGGCAACGTCATTGCCTCGCCGCGAGAGCCGCAGCACGCAGCAGCAACGGAGATGAGGCAGCGGCGGGCAGCGGCAGCGCAGCCGACCGCACGGCGTCATCGTCTGCGACTTCGGGCCTGCTGCAGCGCGTGCTGGTGAGCGGCAGCCTAGCCGACCACGGCACGCTGCTGCTGATAGCGGCACTGGGCAGCTGCATGCTGCTGGGCGCGGCGGAGCCGGCGCTGGCAGCGCACGCCGCGCCGGGCGGCGACCACGCCGCCGTCTCGCAGCTGCTGGGCGACCTGGCGGAGAACGAGGACTTTTGGGGCAACGTGTTGCGCTACATCTCCTACTTCTTCTCCGTGCTGCTGGGCACCGCGTACATCGCGGTGAAGCCCCTCATCGAGCTGATGAAGAAGCCCACAACTGCGGTGCTGGTGGTGGGCGGCCTGGCAGGCCTATTCTTCTTTGTGTCCTTCACCGTCCAGGCAAGGACGCAAGTCGGTATGCGCTGTGGCATGAAGTGTGGCATACCCTGCTGCACGTTGCATTGGGCAGGGAGCTGCAAAGGCTGTGCATTACCCCTTCTGCCGCTGGGGCTAAGCGGTACGGGCTGCGACCCTGCCTGCTGACCGCTGCAAAACCTGTGCTGCTTGGGCACCTCCCTGCCATACCGCAGGCCATGCTGGGCATGAACGAGTCAATTGACTTCACCGCATCCAGCATTGTCACCCCGCTCTCTTGAAGCATGTGCTGTGCTGCTGCACCTGCGCGTTGTTTGTGTGCTTAGCTACCTAAACATGGTGGCCACTGGTGTTTGGCATCGTTCTTGTTTTGCGAGCGAGCGACGTCGGCCGACAAACATCCTAGTGTAATACCCTGCCCTCCTAATATGCAGTTACACAACTCACTCAAAGCTGCTGTTCAAACGCCAACATGCTGTTGATCAGGCTCATCAGTGGAAGAGCTCATGGCGGGCGGGCTGCTGCACCTAGGTTCCAGAAGGACTGCTGCTCGCCTGCAAAACATGCCAGAGGGTCCAGGAGGAGCAGAATGTGCGGCTGAAAGCCGAGATCGAAGATCTCCTTGCTGCTGCTGCATCGCTGCCACCAGGATGGCGCACGGTGTGCACCCGTTGCTGTTCCCAATTCGCCGCCCAACGATAGCCAGTCAGTGCCTTGGAGTAGCAAACTTCGAGTTCTTAACGTCCTCATCTGCAGAACTTTTAGGAGGACGTGATCAGACCTGCTGTTCATAAGCAGCAGCAAATCCAGCAGCTTGTCGCACAGCTGAGCCGGCAAGAGCGGGGCAAGAGCCGGGGGCGGCGGCGGCGGCCGCGCACCCGTCACGCTGCCAGCTATCTTGACGAAGATGTAGCCCGTGCAGCTGAAGCCGAGCACGAAGGGCCACCTGCAGGTCCAGGCGGGGGTTTTCAGGGCAGCCCGGCAAAGCGGTCGGCTGAAAATCACACACTGTCAAGCCCCTCCGGCTCACATCTCCTTGACGCTCCGCGTGATGGTGGTCAGCGGCGCCTCCTTGGTAAAGGCGTGCACCGGGAACCGGGGCGGCATCTCCCTGCGAGGTGGGGTTGGCCTGGGCTGTGGGCCACTCACAAAGAGAGTGATCAGCGCTGGGAGAGGTGATGTGTGTCACCGGTGTCGGCTTGAGGAGGGAAGGCAAGGGGGTCGGCGTGCGCAGCAGGAAGGAGGGCATGGGGCTGCTGTTGTCAAGCAAGGGGGAAGTGTTTACAACCTATGCCCTCATCAATTATGTTGGCCTGAGCCACCGCTGCTGATGATGAAGTGCACGGCTTACGTGACCACCGCCCCGCCCTCGCAACATGGTGAGGCACCGTTTTCTGCATTGAGTTACCAACAGGCCTTCAAAACTCATATCCTGTTCCGCTTCTGGATTGCACTACGAGATACGGGCCTCTGCCAGGCTGGCCACAGTCACAGGGCCGGCGCTGGTCATCATCTGCTGGCCATTGAACCCTGCCACCCGTGCGCCGTCAGTGCGCAGCAGCGGTTGCACCTCCTCAAACATCTTCTTCTTGTCGACCTGGCAGAGGGGGGCGGTTGGGTTGGGGTACACAGGGTGTGTGGAAGGGGAAGGGGTGGCCTTCAGCACGCATGGGCATGCACCGTGCTATGCGGCAGCAGCCGAGCTGGATGCAGCAAGAGTGGTTTCCTTGCGACAAGCAGCAGGCCAAGCGCTACCCATGGCTGATCACTACCTGGTTGGGCTTGGCGGGCTCGCCCTGCTCCGACGCCTCGCCAAACCAGACACGCTCGCCAACCGCGGCGCCCTCGGGCGGTGTTAGCGGCTCCACCGCCGTGTGCTCCTCGTTGGAAGCGCACAGCACCATGCCATTGCTCTTGATGCCACGCATGTTGCGAGGCTTCAGGTTGGCGATGATCACCACTGCGCGGTTCTGCAGGGGGCAGGTGGAGGAGGGAGGAGATGCACACCAACCGCTGTGGTGCACCACGGACAGCAGCGAGCACAGGCTTGCGGTAGCGCTCCTCATGCAACCCAAGCTCTGCCCATGCGCCTCACCTGCATCTCCTCCAGCGGCACATACTTGACCAGGCCGCTCACAATGGTGCGGGGCCCCTCAGCCTCGCCCACGTCAATATGCTCCACATACAGCGCGTCAGCGTCGGGGTGCTTCTCGCAGCTCACTATGCGGCCCACCCTGATGTCCATCTTTGTCACGTCTGGCACACTTGCGGCAGCAGCCGCTGGCGCTGCGACAGTGGGTGGACCAGCCTCGCCGCCATGAAGAGCCGCTCCTGGGGACACATGCAACCATAAAACCTCCGATTCCCAGCCGCGAGTCACCTGCAGTCTCGACCTCCGCGGCAGCCAGCACCACACGCGACGTGGCATGACGCTGCTGAGCGGCGGCAGGTTGCCGAGGTGCCGCTGTCGCCCAGGAAGCGCGCAGGCTGCGCTGGGCTGGCTGCAGCTGGGAGCCGACTGCTCTCAATGAACGACTCGCGCGAGCAGCCGACATGGTAGCCATGCCGCTTTTGCAGATGTGCGTGAAGCGGCCGGCGGCAGGGATGTGACTGAGAGAACGGCTAGCGAGACACACCAGCAAGCAGAAGACCCATGGTTGCGAATTGCCCAAGATAATTTCCGTACGCCGAGCTGTACTGCAAGACCATGTGTCAAGCTGGCTACCGACGTTCCTGCATGGCTTGTTCGTGCGATGCATGCTGCTGCGGGCTGCTGTTCAGCCCCTAACCTAATTCCAGGCCAAAAGGGCGACCTTCGAAATTGTTGGCCAAAGACATGTCCACTCATAAAACAAACAAGTCCCAGTGCTTTTACACGGAAGGTATGGCATCAAGGGAAGGAGCTGGGCACGTGTGTGCTCTACATAAATAGCCTGCAGTGCAGATGGGAGCGGCTGTGGTCGTGGACACAGCGGAGCCCAGTTGTGGGCGGCGGAGGGCAGGCCTCTTTTTCGGGTGTCCACTTGACTAACTGTGCGCCTGCAACATTTCCTCCTTGCGCTGTGCCTTCTTGATCTTACCAGCAACGAAAAACAGGCGAGCAGCGCTAGAAGAGGGAGTGCAGAGCAGTGCATGTCAGGGAGCACGGGAGCACGCCACATGCAGGTCAGAGGAGAATGCGGCGGCGGAAGCAGGGTGCGAGAGTAAGCAGGGGAGGCAAAGCTGGACCAGCGGTCAAAATGATGAGGCAGTCAACCCAGGGAGCAGCGGGAGAGGCAGTGAAGTAAAGATGCCAGCCCAGTCAATGAAGAGGGGGCGCTCCTCGCTCCTGGCACCAAACCAAATGTGTGAGTATGGGTGGAACCGTAAACAGATGTCAAGCGCAGGCTAGGGCTGTGCGAGGAAAATTAGCCCCAAAGCCAAAAACAAAGAGACATGGCAACCTTTGAGAGATGCAATAAGGGACGGGAGGACTTTTGCCCTACACACACACAGAAGACAGTCTCCTTGAGGGCACGGGGCTGGGGCTGGCGCTGCGCTTCTGCTCCGTCTGCTCTGCCACCACCTTGGCAACGGCAGCGTCCAGGAAGTCGCGCTTCACGCAGACGGTGGGGTAGGAGAGCAGGCGGGCAACGTAACGGCGGTCTCCCACCACCACCGCGTCGCTCTCAAACTCGGCCAGCTGCAGGAATGCGGAGAGGCGTATGCAGCAGGAGCAGGTTGGCAGGGATACACCCTCCAATGTTGGCATCGATGGCTTGCCCGCATACTCAAGGCAGCAGCCTGCCAACCACCCCGGCGCTCACCGTAACGAGCAGCTTGCGCTCGGGGTCGGGCGTGCCGGGCAGCTGGCGCTCGCACACCGTGTACTCCCACCCGTCCAGCGTGGCCACCAGGCGGAACTCGGTGCGCGCAATGTCGGCGGGCAGGCTGATCAGCTCTTCGGCGGGGGAGAACTTGTAGTAGTCGGCTGCTGTGAGATAGTCGGGCAGCGCAGAGGGCGTGCCAAACGCTCCCTTGATCAGGCGCCTGCATGATGGGGCAAGGCACGGCAAGCGTGCTAGGTAGGCAGGTTAATGAGGCGAAGGATTACATAAGGCCTTTTTTTCCTCTTCTACTTCCTGCTTTTTAAACCCACTTGAACAGGCCGCGAAGGTCGTCCACCCCTGCGATGGGGTCCAGGGGCAGGCGGTTGACACGCACACCGCCCGCTGCCGAATGCCATCGCACGTAGAGGTCGAGGTCGTAGCCGCAGAGGCCGGCGCTGGCGCGACGGGGGCGCTGCAGCAGCAAGGAGCATTGGCAGTGCGGCAGGGGCACCGCGAGATCAGCTTGGTGAGAAGACCCTTGTAGCAGCGTGCATCCCACCATTCTGGCCAGGAGGACCGGCATGGCACGGTACGTCCTTCTTCCAGCCCGCACCTTGCGTAGCGCGGGCCCCGCCGACGTGCAGCTCTCGGTGTCGCTGCAGCTCTGCAGCCGCTTGCGCTGTCGCGTGCTGGGCTTGCACGCCGCTCCATGGCGGAGCGGCTTGCTGCCAAGCGGCTCCATGCTGGCAAGGGCTGCCAGTCGCTCAGCAGCGCGCCTGGAGGCACAGGCGCGTTGCTGAGGGCTGGCGGCTGCAGAGCTGCAACCGAGGGCCGGCTGCGGCTCGTGAGGAAACGCTCTGCAAGACAGGGCGCGCAGAGGCAGTTGGAGCAAAGAAGCTGGGGTGGACCTGTGTTGGGGCCAGGGGTCGGCACCGCCCCCGGCAGCGAGCGCACAACCCGCCATCGTGCAGCGTGCATGGCGGCCGCGGCGCCGCGCCCAGAGTCCTGGGGCGCAGCCTGTGGCCTGGGCCTGGGGGACCAGGGCGCTATTGGCTGCCGGCGCCGAGCTTGCAACACGTGCGCCCCTGGCGCAACTATGCGGCAGCGCGGGCCAGCCCCACAGCAGCCACTAGATAGACAGCGGCAGGGCAAGCCGCCCAGCAGCACGCACCAGCGTTTCGCCCGGCTGCTGCAGTGCGGGGCAGAACCCAGCGTGGTGCAGTGCAAGCAGCAAAGCTATCCTACCGCCCAACAGACAACAACAACAAGGAGGGCCCAGGCCCTCGCGAGGAAGTGGACACCCGCAACCCTGTATCGGTGGAAGGCACGCCTCGCAATAGTCTCTCTTCGGTGGTCTCATCGATTCAACCAGGCGTATGGTGGCTCTCGGAGGCTTCTGCACCGTTGTTGCTCCCCGCTCAGTGTCCCCCGTAAATCGAGTCCCTCTTTCCGCAGCGCCCGCCCTGCCACTCACCCGGCTCATAGCACCATAGCAACATAGCGGCACCCGACATCTTTTGGGATCGCGCAGGCTAGGTCCAGGGCTGCTGCCCCGTCCCGCCTGACTGCAGCGGCGGGCGTTTTGGGGCAGGCGGGCGGGCGCCATACCGTCCCATGCAGCCGCAGCATACCATGCACCCAGTAGGGCCATCGCCCTCCATGGTGCGGCGCACACCAATCATCACACTGCGAATGGATGAGGTGCAAGAGGAGCTGCGGCAGCAGAAGGCCGTCAACACCCCATCATCCAGCCGCGCTGCGGGTGGGCAGTGCAGCAGTTGGCTCTCTGTGTTACAGCCCGGATATGAAGGCCGCGTGAGAAAACCCAGGCCAGGGGCTGATGTGCGTTTGGAAAATCATGCATTCAAGCTGCGGTGCTCACCAGCACGTCGACTGCTTGCGTGCAGCACCGGAAGCCATGGTCAGGTGCTTCTCCACCATTCGATTCGTCGTCGCCTGCCTGGCTGGTGCAGTGCACACACTGGTGAGCAGCCTCCATGTTCGCATTGCAAAGTGGTTTTCGCAGCCCACTGCAGCCATCAATTGAGTGCTGCATTTCTAACAAGCACCTGCCTGCTGGCACATTGCCCTGCCTGCAGGCCCCACCCACCTTGGCAGCTGCCGAGGCCACGTGTGTGCTTCTCATATACTTTGGAGCAATACCCAACTCAATGCCCACACACAGCCGCAGTTGGGCGTACTCCTTCACAGGCTCAGCTGAGGATGTGGTGCTGCTGTCCCTGTTGAGGAGCATCGCCGTCACAGTGGCGCATGCACTGGGCGATGGGCCGTGCTTCCAGAGGTGTTCAGCCTGCCGCCACGCCTTCTCGCCTGCCGTAGGCAGCGCCTCTCTTGCCTCCCCTGCCCGATTGCCTCATGTTCCCGTGATGCTGCCTGGTTGCTTGTCGGCGCCCTTTGTTGCAGGAAGCTGACCTTGAGGTGATCCTGCCCTCGTTTTGCTGCAGACCCTACCTGTGGACAGCAACAACATTTGCTGCTCTGTCGGTGCCACTGGGCCTGCTGAAGCTTGTGGCCTTACGGCGGAGCGAGTGGGCAGAAAGGATGTGGCCCCCTTTCATCGCCCTATACTCTGCCCACATCGGATTTGCTGTGGCGCAACTGCTAACAGCTCAGGCAGGGAAAAACACACGCACAATTGCTTGACGTTCAACGCGCAGCACCAATGACGCCCTGTTGACTGCTGTTGAGCCGCTTGCGCTGCAGCGCATCTCGACTTGGGCCCGCAAGCGGTGGGAGAGTGGGCTCGCTGGTTTTGGCTACGTAAGTTGCATGCATGCATGTGGACCGCCCTCCAGCAATATGTTTGCGACAGTGCGTTAAAGACGTATGCAGTCAGCGAGCCAAGGGGGAGGTCAGGTGCTGGCAACAGGTAAAGTCATGTTGCCCAATAGTCACTTAACAGATCGCCGCTCTCCCGGCCTGCTGCTGCAGCCTTGGCAGGTGGATGATGCGCATTTGCACGCGTGGTTGTGGTTGTTTCGCTTGGAGGCCAAGCACTGTGTACTGGATGTAGCTACACCTGAAGCTGCAGCTCATTGGTGGCTGTCCAGCTTACGGCTTCCAGTTCCTCAAGGGGCATTGTGCTTTGCTGCTTTATGCAGGAGGGCACGGAGACCTGGCTGATGGCCGGGCGTCTAGATTCACAGGCAGAAGAGGGGTGGGGCGGCGTTCTGGATCACATGGAGCCGGAATCTGATGTGCCTGCCGAGGAGCTTGCAGATGCTGACAGCCGCTGGATTGATGTCGATGGCCTGAACATACACTACAAGCTGGCGATGCCGCTGGTGTGTGGGAGCAGGGACAGGGGGCTGCAAGCGCGCCTGCACCCGTTTGTGCCACCTGACATTTGTGCACATTTACGAATCTCCTTCAACGCATCATGCTGCGGCAAATTCACCCCCGCTGCCTGGATGCCGTGCTGCAGGGCCACCGCCACATCCAGGGCACCGGACTGGTGCTGGTTCATTCTTTTGGTGGCGGCACGTTCAGCTGGCGCAACATCCAGCAGCCACTGGCAGATGCATCCGGCCTGCCAGTGCTTTCGTTTGACCGCCCAGGTTTCGGTGAGCTGTGTCTGTGCCTGGAAAGCTGCACTGCCTGCCTGAGGCGGCCCCTCCTTGGTGGTGCTGCATGGTGTACAACCCCGCCCTCCTGCTCCCATGTGCCTGCCTGGCCCTTTGACTCCCCGCTACTCATCTGCTGCTCTGGCTTCAGGCTTGACAGACCGCCCGATCATTCCCCGGCACGACACCCCGCTTTCGCTTGACAGCAACCCATATGGCCTGAAGTTCCAGGCATTGCTGACGCTGCAGCTCTCTTCCGCTCTGGGTTTGGAACGCATCGTTTTGGCTGGGCACGACGACGGCGCCCTGCTGGCACTAATGGCGGCAGCCATGGCCTGCAGGGAACAAGCTCTGGGCAGCCCCATACAGCCGCTGCTTGATGTTGGTGGTGGCGAGACACCGCCCCCGAGAGCCCAGAGCAGCTCTGATGGGCTAGCCTCTGGTGGTGGCAGGATGCCTCCAGCCTCTGCGGCACATGCAGTGCCATTGCAGGGGGCGTCGCGCCACCGCCGCTACGGCTCCGTTGGCTCCCTCCCAGACAGTCTTGATTGGGGCTGGATGAGCAGCCACCAGGGGCACAGCGTCCTGCAGAAGCTGCTCAAGGGCGAGTGGCCCGCTTCCATTGACCCGCGCACCGCCTTCGGCGCCAGCGCCCTGGCCACTTCATCCCACGGCCGGCCTCCAGGTGCGTGGCGCTCACCAGCAAGGCCACATTTGCTGGGGCGGCCACATTTGATGGGACTGCGTCGGCAGCTGGGCAGCCTGGAGCCTTTCCAGGAGCAGGAGGAGGCCTCAGGCGCGCCCACAGAGCATGCACATGCCTCTGGTGCGGCCCTGGATCAGCTTGCTCAGGTGCCACCGCCGGGGCAGGCACAGCCCCAGGCGAACGGCATGGCCGCCAGCTCAAGCACGGAGCAGGGCGGCACCAGGCTGTCAGGCATGCTGATAGACAACCCGTCCTTCCTCTCGCAGGTGAGCATGCTGCCCTGCTCTCTCTCCTTACCCTGCCTTGCATGTTTTCGTGAGAGTGCGTGGCACACAAGGATGCATCTTGCGCCATCCCATCATGTGCCGCGCCCAACTGTTCTCTGCTGCAGACCAGCGATTGTGAGCAGTGGCAGGGCGGCCGGTATAGCATGCAGGAGGCGGCTGCGCCGCACCTCCTGTCAGATCGTCAGCAGGCGCAGCAGCAGCAGGGTCTCGATGCGCAGCTCAGCTGGGATGGGTCAGTACAGGAGCAGCGGGCTGTTGAAGGAGACGACGTGGAAGAGGAAACCTTTCTAGGGCTGGAGCTGCATGACAACCCCAGCTTTGTGGCAAACGGCAGCTCCGGCATTGAGGCGCTGTCATCGTCGCCGCCACACATGGTTGCGGCCACCGTGGGAGGAGGGGAGCATGCTGCAAGTGCTGCTGGCCCTGCTACTACTGGGGACGAGAGCAGGCTTATGAACTCTGCAGCAGCAGCGACAGATGACGAGGGATTGTGGCGCGTCCCAGGGGCTGTTGGCCTCATCCTGCTGCACCCAGGTATGCACCTGCTATGCATGCGGCTTACTTTACCAAAGCTCATAATTTGGCAGACGGTACACTGGCATGAAGGCCACCGGTCTGCAAATCCTGTTTACTGCACTGCTGTGCAGATTTAAGTGGCGGCGTCGCACCAAAATACGCTCGCGTGCTGGCACAGAGCCGGCTTGGACGGCGTGTGCTGCGCTCCCTGCTAAGAACAGAAATGGGAGAGGCGAGTGATTTTTTTGTACTATAGGCTTTCATTCAGTTTGGATTCTGGATACATTGTGCTGCACCGATGGCCATTCCTAAGAACCTTGCTTTTCTGTGCTTGCCTGGCTTGGCTGTGCTTGCAGGTCAGCAACCGGCGGGCGTGGGCTGACCCACACCACCTCACCCCCGAGTTGCTGGCACTGTACCGCCGGCCCCTGCACGTCCAAGGCTGGGACACAGCCCTCATAGAGGCAAGCCGCAGTGTAATGTCAGAGTCAGCGTTGAAAGGGCTGTGGCAATTTTCACAGTGCTTCGGTCATGTATTGCTCTGCTCAACCTCCACCCTTTCAACCAAGCTCTCATGTTCTGGCTACAGGTGGCGCGGGCGCGCAGCGAGATTCACTCATTGGAGCGCAGCCAATTGCTGGGATCTGTAGTGGAGGCTGGGCTGCCAGTGATGGTGGCCACCGGTGACCACGACCACATGGTGCCCCCCAGCGCTGTGAGCAGGATTGCTGAGCGCCTAGGAGGACTAGCGCCCCGGCTTGCCGTGCTGCCGTGCGGCCACCTGTCCCACGAGGAGGCGCCACATGTGCTCATCGATTTTCTTCTCTCCTTCGTTAATGGTTTGTCTGCATGATGGTCAACCGCACCTCACGGATGTGGCGGCAACTGCCGCTGCGGACACCGCGTCGAGCCCATCGAGCCACCGCCGGATACGGGCTGGGCTATCCATGCGCACGCCGGGTCCACCGCACCGCAGATTGGTCACGTCGCTTCATCATGCTTCATCAGTGCTGCTTTCAACATTGTCTGCCTGTCATGTCTCCTGGTTTCTTTGTCTCCAACACCTGAGGCAACTTGCAGCATGAGCAACAAGACAAAAGAGCAATGGAGGCGGCGCGGCTGGCACTGTCCCAGGCGGAGGCGCCAGCGCCAGCCCCGCCTGCGCAACTTGTGCCCGGCGATAGCGGCGCGCGTCCTCAATTGGCTTTGGGCAGTTTCCAGTGCCTGAAAATGGCCCAACTGCTGCCAGATGCAACGGAAGACGCGCGTGCTGGGCTTCCAATGGGCTTGGAGCCCATATCCGGACACACACCCTGATCCCTTTCATTGATCGGTGCAGGCCAAGCCGCTGCACCAGTGCCCCCTCTCCTGCTTGGGGGGTCTTGGGCGGCAATCTTCTCCGCACAGCATGGCGGCCCCTGCATGGCGCAGCAAGACTGCTGCGGCCGCCAGAAGCGCGTCTGTTGCACCGCCCACCCTGGGCGCGGCCAAGGGCGGCACCAGCAAGCCGGCCTTGAAGCCGGCGATTGAGGCTCCCGCGGGTGGCCAGAACCAGCCCATTGATGAGCGGATGCTATTTGTGGCGTCTGTGCTGATAGGTTACACGGTGCAGGTCCAGGTGCGTGCGAGACGATCACCCCGCTGCCCTGGGGGTGCTCTGGAGCAGCCACCAGCCGCGATTGGGGCTACCGTGGGCCGCCAACAGCGCCTTGGGCCTGCCCAGCATCCACACCTGGGCCGCCTGCCGCCGCCTTCCCCAGCCGTTTCGTAAAACAGCCAACTCCCTGCTTGCCCCCTGCTTGCTGTCGAGCGTGGCCCCCTCGCTTTTTCGTAGGTCAAGTCTGGCGTGGTGTACGAGGGCGTCTTTCATGCGCTGCGCCCTGCGGACGGCGACTTTGACGTCCTGCTGCGCATGGCCAAGGTGGTGGCGGGTCTGGACGACGGTGACCGTCAGCGTGAGCGGCCGCAGCCGCTGCTGGCCATTGAGGGCGCGGAACTGGTGCAGCTGACGGCCACGGACGTACGCATGGGCGCCTCAGATGTGGGAGCGCACGGCGCAGCCTGGGACGACGCCGGCGGCTTCGGCACCGATGCCGCCATCTCACGCAACCGCGGGGCTTGGGGCCGCGAGCGCGAGCTGCAGCGCTGGGCGCCCGACGAGGGCGACGCGGCGCACATGCTGCACCTGGAGGAGTCTGTTGGGCCGGCAACACGCGGCTGGGACCAGTTTGCGGTGAACGAGGCCAAGTTTGGTGTCCGTACCAATTATGCAGAGGAGCTGTACACCACGGAGCTGGACCCCAGGTGTGACATCAAAGTGCGGGGATCACCCAGAAGGGGGGGCTGGGCAAGTTCACAGTTTTGTGGCTAGGCAGGCAGGAAGATGGCTGTGACAGATGGGGCGCCGCAGTGTGTGCCTGGGCTTCAGCAGCGCAGCGTTTGGTCGTAAGGCAGGGCTGCCTGTTTTCATTCCCCTTCTGCCCTTGTTGCTTCAATTGCTGGTGGCCAGCCTGTCAACCGTGAGGACTCGTTGAGACTGCATCCTCACTTTCCCCCGCCCCCTCTGCTCCATGCAGCAAGTCCAAGATCAGCGTGGCCGATGCAGCGCGTATTGCTGCCGAGATTGAGCGTGGCGACCACTCCGCCCTCTCCAACATCCACATGCTGGAAGAGCGGGGCGTGGCCATTGATGACTCCCAGATGGATGAGGAGGATAGGTATGGCGCAGTGGTGCGTGACGCACCACGCCCAGGCGCGGCGGCCAACGGTGCTGGCGGTGCTGCAGCGGCCGCCGCGGCGCCGCGCCCCAACGCCTGGACACAGGGCCGGCCGCGCCCGCTTATGCCCGGTGCCGCACCCTCGGCGCCCATCAGCATCGACCCACGCAAGGAGGCAAACAAGCTGCGCATGCAGGTACGTGGGTATGGACAATGGTGTTTGTGGTGGCGTGCAGATGTAGGGCTGGCGTGGAGGCGGTGCTCGCTTTGGAACCAGGGGAGCTGACTGTTCCAGCCCGCCGGCCCCCTGTACGCAGATGACCTCCGCCATCAAGCAGACCTCGCCCTACGGAACCCCCAATGCACACAAGCGCCCGTCGCCCCTCAGCTCGCCGTTGATCAGGTGGGCGGCTGGAAGGGCATGGAACCACATTAAACGCAGCACACTGATGGCAGGCCCCCGCGCCTAGCTTGCCATGGCTCATATCATCGTGGCTGCATGCACACTGGGTTGCTGCTGGGTGGCCCCATCGCAGCTACCCTGCACTCACTGTTGCTGCAGCGATCCTAGCAAGCTGGAGGCGCTCAACCTGAACCCGGGGGTGCCACGGTTGAATGAAGAGACCCGCCGCGATTTTGAGCAGTTTAAGGCGGAGCAGGCGGCTAGCAAGAGGTGAATGGCGGCGAGTGGGGCGCACATATTGTCTGACGACTGCCCTGAACAGTGTGCGCAGAGGTTGGCTGAATGGTGCAGGAGCAACATTTTGCCTCCCTGCGCACCAGGGTTGGCTTGCACTCTTTGCCAAGCCATTTCCTCCCTGCTGCTGCTGCCTGCCTGCAGTGGCGACATGTTCAAAAAGCAGGACATCCAGGAGCTCCGCCAGTTCAGTCAAAACATTGAGAGCAAGCTGTCACGCAGCCTGGGGGCCGAGAGCAAGATGCCAGCTCAGCCGCCATCCGCTCAGGCAGCCGCAGGAGCAGCAGGGGAAGGCGGGCAGGCGGCAGCTGCGGCAGCTGTGCACAGCGCAGCAGCTGCCGGGGAGGCAGGCGCGCCCGCTGCGGGTGGTGCAGAGCAGCCGGCGGCCTCGCCCGCGGTTGACGCCTCCAAGAAGTCTGCCCTCAATCCATTTGCAAAGTCCTTCAACTTCAATGTCAACGCAAAGGAGTTCAAGCCAGTCTTCATCCCGCCAGCAGCAGCAGCAGGAGCAGCCCCCGCAGCAGCGCCAGCGCCCACGCCACCTGCAGCAGCAGCTGGGGCAGCGGCCGCGCCAGTCCCCGAGGCCGCGCCTGGCGCCGCCTCCACTGCATCGGCAGTCCTTGCGGGCCCACCGCCATCCAGCGTCCAGCCTGGCCCTGCAACTGGTGGTGGGCCGGCAGGTGTGGGCGCTTTCAAGCAGGGACCTGCCAGCCCGCTGCGCGGCCCCATGCAGCCCAGCATCCCCATGCCAGACATGCGCCCCGACTTCCGCCGCATGCCAAGAGGGGATGGCCGCGACATGGATGGTGGCGGCCCGCACCCACCCCGCCCCGAGCGCGACAGCAGCTTTGGGCGGCGGCGAGAGGAGAGCCGGGAGCGTGGTGGCCCAGCCTTTGAACGGCGGCGCGATGGGCGGCACTACGAGGGAGGGCCGGGGATGCGGCCAGGGGAGGGCGGCCCGCCGCCGCCGCCACCAAAGGGTCCTGGCGGGCCGCAGGGCATGCAGGCAAGCCACTGCCTGCCTTCGTGCTGCCTCCTGTGGTGCTTGGCGCGTATTCATGCTTCTGGAGCATGGGGGCTGCCCTAGTTTGCCTGCCGTCTAGTTGTTGCACCTAAGCCAGGTCAGCCATGCTCTCGGAATCCCTGCTCTGTCACCGCAACTTTCCGCCCCTCGCTTGCTCTGCCAGCAGATGTCGATGATGGGCCAGCCGATGATGATGCCTCCAGGAATGATGCCCATGCCTGGAAACATGGGCATGAACGCGGCCGGCCAAATGGTTCCCGTCATGATGCCAGGCATGGGTGGCGGGCCCGGCCAGCCGATGTTCATGGTGCGACCCATGGGCCCCGGCCAGCCCGGCATGGGACCCATGATGATGCAGGGCGGCATGATGCCAGGAATGGGACCGGCCATGATGATGGTGCCGCCCTCGGCGATGTCCAACCCCGGCCAGCGCCCTCACGGCATGATGATGGGTCCGCAGGTAGGCAGGGAAACCCAGCGGGAAAAGCAGCGACGTGCCCGGGATGTGCTCCGTGTTGGACGTCGGTGTTTGGACGCATGTGGGGTTGAAGGTTGGCAGCCACCGACATCCTTACTCACCTTGCAGATGATGATGATGCCCGGCATGGGCATGATGATGCCTGCGCAGCATGGCGGCCCACCAGGCGGCGGCAAAGCGGACGACCGCGACGGTCGCGGCGAGTGAGCAACCCTGCTGACCTCCGTGGCTGCTGCCTTCTCCCCAGAGTTGGGCGGTCAATGTGTAAGGCAGGGAATTGCGAGGAGCTCAGGAGGTGCATGCATCGTTTGGCCCGGGTCTGGCAAGGCTCATGCGAGCATCGCGTCAGCTGCGCTCGCCCCGTTCCAGTACATACCAATCTGAATTGCTCCAGCCGGCAATTGAGATTCTCGCTGCAACCGCCGGAAGAAGCCGTCAAGGGCGCTCTCCACAGTGTGCGGTGCACGTTTGCAAATTGACCTGCGCCAACACCGGGCGGCTTCTGCAGCTATGAGCGCCGCCCGGGCCCAGACCAGCGTCAATCTGGACAATGACAAAGTGCCAGGTGCGTGTGGCAGGAGAGTGCGGGGACTCCTCTCATTGGCACCAGCCTGCCCGCGCCCTCTTCTTTTACGTGCCTGTCTTCTTGGCAGAGGACCGCTGCCAGCCCGTAGCAGGGTCAGACGCGCGCTGGGTTGCGGGCTGAGTTTGAAAACCGGGCAGTGCCGCCGGCAGGCCGCGCCGCCGGCCAGTGGTGGTCAACCGACACTGTTGGGCGTGCGTGTGCTGCAGACTACCGCCACGGCGCACCAGTGGCGCTCAAGTACGTGAAGCGCGGCTACCACGTGCTGTGCAGCCATGGCCTCACGCTGGCGCTCATGCCGCTGGCCGCCACGGGCGTGGTGAGCGCACGGGGCGCTGTCTGCGCTGGGGGAGATTTAGTCTCATCGTCGCTAGTATTCTGCAGAGCCAGACTGGGGGCACGCTGCGTGCATGGAGGCTGCAGCATGTGCGACAGGGATGAGGCAAGCATTCCTGGCCTTTGACTTGATTGCTGCCCTTGCCAATGTGCAGCTGGAGCTGGCCAACATGTTCAAGAATGGCGACCTGCAGAGCATGTGGGAGGTGGCGCGCCAGACCGACCTCACCTTCAACATGGTGGGTGGGCATGCTGGTTTCGATGGCTGGTGAACGCCCACATCCTTGCCCCGTTCCTGCAGTTGCCCGCTCCCTGTGCTAGAGCGCCGCCCTGCCACCCGTTGCATGTGCAGGTCACGTTTGTGCTGAGCTGCCTGCTGCTGGTGTTTGTGGCCGCCACCTACGTCTTCACCCGCTCGCGCCCTGTATACCTCCTCAACTTCTACTGCTTGAAGCCCCCCGCGAAGTGAGCCGCGCCCTCCAGCTCGTGCAGATGTGAGGGTGAACAGCTAGAGGGCGTGGCAACTCCCTCTCCCCCTTTTCAGTGGCCCTCTTTGCTCCTGCGCCCGCATACTGCAGCCTCAAAATAAACAACGAGTTCTTCATGCAGCACTCCCGCAACAGCAAGGTGGGTGAATCAACCTGCACTTAGCTGACTCGCACGACTGGAGCGAGCAGGTCGTGTTAAAGGCTGTGGCGTGCTGTCACGATGCGAAAATCTATTTCTGTTGCTTGCAGGCCTTCACCCAGGACAGTTTGGACTTCCAGGAGAAGGTGCTATCACGGTCGGGGCTGGGAGAAGAGACCTACCTGCCGGGAGGTGAGCCAGGGGATGAGCTGTGCCTGCTGCGGCCCTCGCGGCACGGGCAGGGCCCAGCAGGGGTGCAAACTACCCTGCGACCGAGCAGCAATTGCCGTTTGCCTTGCCGGCGGCTTCCACTGCTTGCGCCGCCGCACCGCCGTCTTAATCCCACTTGCATTTGCCACCTACGCCTGCGCCGCAGGCATAATGTCGCAGCCGCCACGCATTAACATGCAGGCAGCGCGGGAGGAGGCCCAGCTGGTGCTGTTCAACACCGTGGCAGAGGTGCTCAAGGCCACGGGCACTAAGCCGCAGGCAGTCGACATCCTTGTTGTCAACTGCTCCCTCTTCAACCCCACTCCCTCGCTCTCAGGTGCATGTGTACTAAGGGAGGCATGTGTTTGCTTGGCATACGTCTCCATCTGGCAAAGCCATTGTTCCACCTTCGCTTTGCCAGCACGTTCTGCCACCGCTGTTCCCCTTACCTGCCCCTGGCGCCCTGCCACGACGCAGCCATGATTGTCAACCACTTCAAGATGCGCTCCAATGTGATGACCTACAACCTGTCGGGCATGGGGTGCTCCGCGGGCGTCATCTCCATCGGCCTTGCCCAGCAGCTGCTCCAGGTGTTCCCCAACTCCACCGCCCTGGTGGTGTCCACTGAGAACCTGACCAAGAATTGGTACTTTGGCAACGACAAGTCCATGCTCGTGCCCAACTGCCTCTTCCGCCTTGGCGGCGCCGCCATGGTGCTGTCCAACAAGTGAGTGCGCAGGGCGGGCAGGAATGCTGGGGTTTGTGCCTTCTCCTGTCTGCTGACGCTGCCTTGCCCACCTGCCTTATCCGCTTGCCGCCAACCACTGCACCCTCAATTCCCTCTATAAATCCTGCGGAACGTTGGTCGTCGCACTCTGCAGGCGCACCGACCGCTGGCGGGCCAAGTACGAGCTGCTGCACGTGGTGCGCACCCACATGGGGCAGGACGATGCGCACTATGGGTGCGTGTACCAGAAGGAGGACAGTGACGGCAAGGAGGGCGTGTTTCTGTCCAAGGAGCTGATGCGGATTGCGGGCCACGCGCTCAAGGCCAACATCACCACGCTGGGCCCCCTGGTGCTGCCCATCAGCGAGCAGCTGCTCTTCTTCGGCAACCTGGTGGCGCGCAAGGTGTGCCTTGCGGAGTTGTAGGGCAGCTGTTTGTTGCAATTGGCTGGTTCGCGTGCTGCTGCGTGCATGGCTGCCTGGCATGCCAGCCACCCAATGTATTGCTTTGGATGAGGCATGGCGTGCGAGGCGCTGGCCCGCTGCAGATGCTGCGCCTCAAGGTGCGCTCCTACATCCCCGACTTTAAACTCGCCTTTGAGCACTTCTGCATCCACACGGGCGGCCGTGGCGTGATTGATGCCATTGAGAAGCAGCTGGAGCTGCTGCCTGAGAATGTGGCGCCCTCGCGTGAGACGCTCTTCCGCTATGGAAACGTCTCCTCCTCGTCGATCTGGTGCGCCCCACAGGCGGGCCCGGCGTCTGGCGCACGGTTCAGGCGTGGATCTTGCCACCCTTTGGTGTGCAGAGCCCTCGCCCCTGCTGTCCTGGGCTGCTTTGTGCAACTTCTGTCGAATGTCGCCTGCTGTGCCCCGCGCTGCCCCTCGCCTGCAGGTACGTGCTATCCAACATCGAGACCAAGCGGGGGGTGAAGCGCGGCGAGCGGGTGTGGCAGGTTGGTGGCCTGGCGGCAGGTTGTTGTGCCTGCGCGCAGCTGTCCGTTTGTTGTTGCTGTTGACATCAGTGCAGCCTCACTTTGCTTTGCCAAACTGGCTTGCAAGCTGGTTCACCGCCAGGTGCAACCAAGCTTTCAGGAATCCCCTCCCTGGCAACTAGGCGGCACTCCTCCCCCTCACTGATACTGCAGATTGCCTTCGGCAGCGGCTTCAAGTGCAACAGCGCAGTGTGGCGTGCGCTGCGCCCCGTCAATGACCGGCATGAGGCGTGGCTGGAAGATGGAGGGGCCAGCCCCAGCGCCTCAGGCAGCCCCAAGGTGTAGGCAGGCCCACACCGTTGGTCTGGTTGCAGGAGTTTGCCAGCAACGGTAGCTCCAAATTTTCAATGGTGTCGCCAGCCCGGCCTTCTTATCCCTTGATCACGGCTCCATGGTTTGATTCCAGGCATACTACAGCCATTCTGCGCAGTGTTGGTGGGCAGCCCCCTTGCCCTTCTCTCTTTGCTTCTGAGAGCAATAACATTGATATGCTGCGATCTCCCATCGATCCATCTAGGCCAGGCTCTCCCATGCTGATGCAGCTGAGCAGCCTGGACCAGCAGCTGTTGATTTTCCTCCCAAGTTTCTTTTTCCAGCCATCTAGGCTGGATCTAACTGTTGATCCTCTCTGCTGAAATGTACACCCCAGTTGCAAGTTTGAAAATCTCAGGCTGGCAAGTCTCTGTGTAACGCCAGCGACGATGCAACATGTCCCAAAAAAACATGAGCAAAAGTGGATGGATGGGGAAAATTTAACAGGATGTGAGAACGAATGGGTAAGAAAATAGAAATGAGAGGAGGGGAGAGGGTCCGGGTCAGCAGCCATTAGATGGGGCGCGAGCAAGAGAGAGGAGGCACAGGCAAGACAGCTACAAAATGAGAGAAGAAAATGTGACATACATTGTGTGTTGGGAAAGGAGGAGGACGGAGAACAGAGGAGGGCAACACTAAATCTGCGGTAGAGGGCCCCAGTTAACGGGGGCTACAATCATTCAATGAGCTCCAGCCTATGTCCTGGCTCCGGCTTGTCGTAGATAAGGAATTTTCCTGCAGAAGGGCAATGACGCTGGCGGTGTGGACCGAAGGCAGGATCAGCGCTCTCCGCAACTTAAAACATGTGCGCGCCCCATGCCGCATCCCAACTCCAATGCTCACCGTAGTAAACGTCCTTGATCTGCCAAACTTTTGCTCCGTTTAGTGCTGTGTGCTGCTCCAAATCAACATAGATTGGCCCGTCCAGGTTGAGGTTGCCTGCAGGCAGGTGAAGAACGAAGCAGTTGTACGATAACCAAGGGGGAGTCCAGCAGGCACCCTGCGCCAACACAAGCTCCTCACCCATCTTCACCAAATCCTGGTACATCGTGATGCGCTTCACGCTGGCCCGGGCTACGCTGTCCCAGTTGTACAGTAGGTTGTACCGCGCCGTCAGGAACGCGTTTAGCCACTTCACCTCATCCACTCCTGTGGCAGGGGTGCCTCCAGCTGCCTTTTTGGCCTGGTCAAGGATGTAGTCCACCGAGAACTTGTCTCCCAGACCCTGTCCATGCTGTATACAGGAAAATGGCGAAGTCAGCTATGCTACCATACCATCAGGGGTATGAGCCGCTATTCTCTGTTGTTGGCCAGGGGTGAGCTGGTTCAGGCTCAAGGCAACGCTGCTCAAGCACTGATGCCACAACTGTCAGAAGCCCGCAAACTACGGCTCACGTTGACCAGCGCGTCGTGCAGCTGGGCTTTGCTGAGGGCATGCACGCAGTGGATGTCCCGGCAGATCTGCATGGCCGGCTCGTGGTACTCTCTGTCGCACACCTCCCACTGCGACTTGATGAACTCTGCAGAACCAGCCAGAAGTTGTCCATCTGTTGGCCATCTGCAAACCTCTTTGCTAGGCGATGCAGTTTGCACCCCATTGAGCGCATGGCATTGCACCTTGGTCGCTGCCCAGCTTGTGGACCGCCTCGTCAAACCCTGTCAACCCGGTGAACTTGTCGCCTTTGCCTTCCAGCGCTCGCAGGGCCGGCAAGTACTTTGCCAGTGGGTTGCTGGGCTTGAGCTTGGTGTACTCCTCCACCACCTGCGGTTCACAGGCTTGATGGTATGTGGATACCTGCTTGCATGGCATAGCCTGCCATGATATCTGGCCATGCAGCATGTGCCACCAACAGGCGATCTACAGCATGCAGCATTGCCGCCAGCAGGCCCGCGCCCTACCTGCAGCCCGTCTGATGTGCCAGTTGTGAAGCCGCAGAACCCATATGTGACACCTCGGTCATCCCCAAGGCGATCAGCATACGCATATTGCAGATTGATCTGCAAGAAACCATGGAAAAGAATGAAGAAGGGACTTGAACTCGTATGCAGGGATGGCAGTAGTGCAGAGTGCATGCGTGCCCGCCTCTCACTCACATCTGCGTTCTCGAAGATGCTGGTCAGCTGGTACATGCGCTGCATTTGTTGCTGAGTCATGGGCACAAAGGTGTAGCCGCCGGGCTTGCCGCCGCCGGTTGGAGGCGGGGTGGGCGTTGGAGTGGACGGGGTGGACGACGCAGCCACAATGACGGACTGCAAGCCCGTGTTGGTCTTCCATGTCCAGCCAGTGCTGTACTTGAGGTAGCAGAGGTTGTTGTTGGGCAGGAAGGTGAATGCGCCGCATGATGCCTGCGCCTTGCAGGCTGCACAGCAATCGTCAATGCTGTACGCCGTGGCCGTCATGCCGCCATTGATGTCGCCGCCCTGAAGGTCCACGTCTTGCAATACCCCGCCACATGCGCCTGCAGCAGCAGCAGCAGCAGGTTCGTTGGATTCCTGCCTGTCAAACTCCAGAATTGGCGCCTTTGGTTGGCAACAATGCCACCCAGTGATGGAGCATGGTGCGGAATGCCACACGGACTTTGAACAAGAGCGGGCGGCGGTCTCGGTGAGGGTGGGCGTGGCGAGGGTGGACGTGGTGAGGAAGGACTAGGCGAGGGCGGGCGCGGTGAGGGAGGGCTTGGCGATAGTGACGGGAAGGGCGAGGGCGGCGGAGGAGGAGGTGGCGACGTGGTCATGGGAGTGCCCTCACAGGCGCCCCGAGCACAGTTCCCCTGCTTGCAGTAGTGCGTTCCTATCCCGCAGATTCCCTGCAGCCAGAATGATGCAGTCTAGAAGTCTCATATCGCATCCAGGTGGTGGCAAGCACTCCTCACCATTGCGTGGCATGCGTCAAGGCAGCGTCCAACAGGTTCTCAGCACATTCAAGGAGACATGGTGCCTGCAATCTGGCTGGTCACTCACCCAGACTGCACAGCACTGATCAGGGTCGGGGCAGGGTTGCGTGTCCCCATCCGCCCGAGGCAGGCACCAGTCCACTGCCTCGGCCAGCGGCAGGGCGGCGAGGCCGAGCAGCAGCGCTGCCATGACCAGCGCCCTGCCGCGGGTCCCTAGACAAGCAGGCTTTTGAGGCATCCCTGGGGCAATGGCCACCGCAGCGGAGAGTCCCGGTCCAGGTTCCTGCGGAGGCAGTTGCGCTTGCGCGTTCTTAGCTGCCCGCGGCTTCAGGAAAACCCGGCTCCGGGACGGAATGCTGCTGCGATCGCACAGCAAGGCCCCAGGAAGTCCCAGGAGAACGGATCCCAACAAGCTTGTGGCAGCGTCCGCAGCAGATCTCCGCTAATCTCTTACCTCTCTGTCTCTCCTAGGCCCTCCAACCTTGTGTAACGAAAGATCAAAGCTCAGCAAAAGTAATGGCCACCTCTGCCCACAAACCGACTGCTATGCATGTAATAGATTGCAATGCGCTCCCCTCAGGAGCGCAGGTGGCACCAGGATGTCTCTGTTCGGATGCACACGAGGAAGCCTTACCGAGATAGACCGGCGGAGTGGCGTCTAACAGGCAATCTCGCTTTTCTTTTTCAGGGCGCCGGCGCCACCTCAGCACGGCGGCCAGGCGGCCCCCCCCAACACACTTTCTGCTGATCTGGTGACCTGCCCCACCCCCAACTGAACGCATGTGAACTGCACTTGGAGAGAGAGTTAATCATCATAGCAATGGCTTAATTCAAGCTATGGACAAAGGGCCACATCGACAGATGACACCGAGCAGTGTGATGGAAGGTGCTTGCAGTGTGATGGAAGGTGCTTGATGGCAATCCGCTCATTTCCAGTGACTTGATTGAGGCATGGAAAAAATAGTTGGCGCCAGTCCAGCGTTGCTGCTCAAAGAGCCAGTGCCAGAACATCAGACAATGAGTGCCAGCTTGTGGTCGTCTTGGGGGTTGTCGTAGATCAGGAACGTGCCTAGCAGCAGATGAGAGCAACTGGAGATCTCAGCTTGGGAGCACGAGCAGCAGCAGCTCCCCACACCTAACGTTACAGCCCCCGCCCTATGGGAGAATGATAGCAGACGACTGGCAACTGCAGCCCCCCATCCACCCACCGTAATAGACGTCCTTGATCTGCCAGACTGTCTGTCCATTTGCGTCCTTGCACTGCTGGAGATCAATGTAGATTGGCCCATCCAGGTTGAGGTTGCCTGCAGGGCAGTTGAGTGAGCACACGCGATGGCATATGCGCACCTCGTGCTGTTACCATGACGACGGCTCGGTGTGCGGAGCTGAGAGGACGTGAACAAGCAGCTGCGGTCCTCTGTCCCTGCCGTGCATCAACCCCAGCGCTCTGCTCACTCACCCAGGTCAACCAGCTTCTCATACATGGTGATACGCTTCACGCTTGCACGGGCCACCTTGTCCCAGTTGTACAACATTGTGTGGCGCGCCTTCAGAAAAGCCTGCAGCCATGCCACCTCGTCCACACCCGAGGCAGGGGTGCCTCCCACTGCTTTTTTGGCGGCGGCAAGGATGTAGTCCACTGAGAACTTGTCCCCCAGACCCTGGCCATGCTGTGGAGGAGGAAGGCGGAGGGAGGAAGCAGTGAGGACAGCCCAGCCACCACGGCAAGCAAAGGCTGCACATCTGCCAAGTGTGCTGTTGTTAAGCCTCGGGGCCTGTGCGTGCAGCCACGGGCTCACGTTGACCAGCGCGTCGTGCAGCTGGGCCTTGGTGATGGCATGAGCGCAGCGGATGCTTCGGCAAATCTCCATGGCCGGCTCGTGGTACTCAGAATCACACACCTCCCACTGCGCCTTGATGAAGTCTGCGGTCCAGGGATTGGTCAGGCATGCGCCGAGGAGCTAAAAGCAGTTGATAAAATGCATCATTGCTTGTTCTATTAACATACGCAAAGCAGGTGCTGGCGAGTAACAGCCAGTGTCACCTTCATCTTTTGCCAGCTTGCTGATCTCCTTCTCAATCCCGTCCAGGCCATTGAACTTGTCCCCCTTGCCAGCTACACTGCGCAGCGCTGGCAGGTACTTTGCAAGCGGGTTGTTGGGCTTGAGATTGGTGTACTTCTCCACAACCTGCAAGCCATAGCAGGGCGCCATTGCATCGAGGCAGACGGCAGGTGCGCATGTGGCAGTGATGTGTGATGAGGACCGCAAAGCATAGACCGGGATGCCACCATTCACCATCAGGCCATCGCCAGTGCCAGTTGTGAAGCCACAAAAGCCATACGTGACGCCTGCAGAGGGACAGCAATAGGCCAGATTTGAGCATTAAAACTGCCTGCTGCATATCAGCCACTGGGCACCCCCGCTTATGTACTGCAATTCACAAAGACGGGCATCAACCCACCCCGGTCATCGTACAGCCTCTCGGCGTAGCCATACTGGAGTGTGGTCTGCAGCCAAATCAATATGTGGGTTAGGCCAGTTGGGGAGAGATGTGGGTTGGGCCGGTCGGTTCATGGCCGCATTCAAGCTTACCATCGGCCATCAGACGGCCCACCTCCCACTCACATCTGCATTCTCAAAGATGCTGGTCAGCTGGTACATGCGCCGCATCTGGTCCTGAGTCATGGTCACATAGGTGTAGCCGCCGGGCTTGCCGCCGCCGCTGGTGGTTGTCGGCGGTTTCACAGCAGGGGGTTCGGTGGACGGCGTGGTGGCTGTCTTGTTCACAATCACAGACATCATGCCGCTGCCGGGTTTGCCCTGCCTGTTCCAGCCCTGCTTGTCCTTGAGATAGCACAGGCTGGCCTGGGGCACGAAGGTGAAGGCGCCACATGAATTCTGTGCCCGGCACGAGGCACAGCAGCCCTCCAGGCTGGAAGCCTGCACACTGCTGGCGATGTCGCCGCCATTCAAATCAATGTCCTGAAGCACCACACCACAAGAGCCTGCAGCAGCACAGTGGGGTTGGGTGCAGCCATCGGCAGCAGGGCACAGCAGACGTGCACGAATTGCCGGGCGTACAACTCGGTCAACAGAAGCTCACTTTGACCTGCTGCAGATGACGGCTTGGGTTGCTCAGGCGATGGCTTGGGCTGCTCAGGCGATGGCTTGGCTGTTTGCCCCGCTTCCTTTCCAATAATGACCGACTTCAGGCCAGCCCCAGCCTTCCTGTCCCAGCCGCTGGCCGACTTGAGGTAGCACGTGCCGCTCAGGGGGTCGAAAGTGAAGGCACCACAAGCGTCGAGGGCACTGCAGGTCGCACAGCAGTCCTGGATGCTCTTCCCAGGTGTGCCATTGTTCACATCGGCGCCAAAGAGGTCAATGCCCTCAAGCACAGCGCCACATGAGGCTGCAGCGCCAAGACAGGCGGCAGTTGTGAGCAGCTGCTCAGCAGGTTCGCCCAGACCAAGGCAGGGTGGATGGATGTGGAGCAGCCTCCAAACTTAATGCAAGCAACCTTTCATCTTCTCGAGGGTGCACCAACAAACCAGCAACAGACACGCACACGCAAGAACCAGCTCACTCTGGTCGCCAGCAGGGGAAGGCTTCGGGCCTTGCCCATTAGATGCAGGAATGATGGGGCTGCTAAGGCAGGCGCCCCTGGCACAGTGACCTTTCTTGCAGTAGTGCGTCCCGGTGCCACAGATGCCCTGCGAGGCGATGCAGTGCGCCAGGCTTGCTCAATGCCAGGATGTGCTAGCGCATGCTGCCAAGCACTGCCGCATGGTATCCTGCACTCTCACCCAAACTGCGCAGCACTGGTTGGCCTGGGGGCAGGGCTGCTCGGTGTCGGTTGCCCGCGGGTGGCACCATACCGGCGACCCGTCGATTGCCTGTGCCACCAGCAGCGCCGCCAGGCACAGAAGCACTGCTGCCAGGTTAACAAGTGCACGATTCATGCCTGCATAGTTGCACCATCAACAGATTGCTTTAGCTTTCGACCGCTTGAGCCGATTGCCACCAAACGTTCGATGGGCGCCGAAGAGGGATTTCCGGGAGACCTGCCCTGCCCGGTTCCCTGTTGACCACCATTCAGCAGCCTCCAGGGCCGCCCAGAAAGCGGCGCGCACTGCGTAACTGACGTGCATGACAAACATGCCGGTCCACGCACCGAAGTCAAGTGCCTTGGACGAGGCGTGGAACAGCCCTTCGGGATGCAGGCTTCAATATTGCTATCCTCGTCCGTCGAGCAAGCGAGAGAAGACAACGCACAGACGGGGTTTGTCCAGAGAGGCGACAAGGGTGGGTGACCCCCGGGGAAATGAATGAGAGCCGTGTACAAAGCGAGCTGCGGAACGTCTCAAGGTTTGCTCAAGGTTTAGGCCTGTGCGCTTGGTTAATTCCTGCTGACATGGCAGCGTCGTCTGACCGAGGCGCGGGCAAGTTACATGCCCGTTGTGTGGACGAGTGCTGATGCCCAGCAGGGGCATTAATGCACGTGAATTTGTTTCAGCAAAGTGTTGCACAGCCCAGAAGCAAAAAGCAAGCACACACGGGCAGCGGCAGCCGGAAACAGTGCAAGTCAGCGAGGTCAGCAATGCGAACGGCTGTGGTCAAGGAGGGCCAGCACCTCGCCAGGGTGATGACCGCTACAACGGGGCAGATACCACCCCTAAATAATCTTCCTTTATCGATCCAACCGCAAACTGCAGGCAGGGCAGCCACGGAGCAGACGGATTCCAAGACCAGGCACAGCGCAGTTGTCTCCTACCTGGCTGCCCCTGCGCAGGCGGTGCAACCAGAGTCATGCTCCATGCAGGCATTGTGAGTGCAGCCAAACTTGGCACCGCACTTACAATGTCACTGGCATCTACGCGGGTGCCCACGATGCGCAACCGCACTTCGCTGCCTGGCACAATTTTCTGCTCGCCGTCGGCCGTCTGATAGCAGGGCTCGTGAGCGGTGTTGAACTCAAAGCCCTCGGGAATCAGGTGGTTGGACACAAACACCTGGAGCGGGCCCGCTTCAGCAAAGAACCCCATCTGCACGCCAGAAAGCAACAGTGGGGAGCGCATGGCAGGCATTGACGTGTCAGGCAGTGGTGCAAGGCACCCCGCAGTAAAAAGTGAGGCCTCCCAAGGGCCACACAAGCATGCTGCACGACGCCACGGCACTGGTCGATGTAGGGCACCTTGTTTACTGAGGTGACCACCACGTCCATGACCTGGCCCTTGAAGGGCTTCATGCAGATGCACTTGTACTTGAGGTTGAACACGGCGCTGCCGCTGCCTTCACGTATCAGGCCCTTGCCCGTGTCCAGCACGCCCATGACCGACAGGATGAAACCATACCTGCCATTGCAAGTGCCCTCCACCTGTCCAGCACGCAGACAGCATGGTGGATAAGGTTGCCATGTCGAAATCAGGGGCAAGACATGCAGGAGGGGCCAACCCACTGCTGGCGCGGCGCACCTCTTGCCGCAGCCGACGCTCAATTTCCTCGCGCAGTTTGGGCCCAAAAAACCGTGGATGCACCTCCAGCTCCTTGTAGAGCTCTATCAAGTAAAACATGCTGCGCTATTGGTCGTCCTTCGCCTTGGGGCAGCTGCACCCGTGGACAGGCGGCGGCAGGAGTCTGGCGCAGGAGCTGGCCGCCGCTGCTGGTCTCCACGTCTCGGCCCCTGGGCCCTGCTGTTTGCTTGGATCCTGGCCTGCTGTTGCCTGCCGATTGCGATCGCCGCCAGGCAAAAAGTGAGAACTTCAGCGAGGAGGATGCTTGGGGTGTATATGTACCGTGTATATATACTGGGACGATGCCATGCACGATGGCTTCTGAAATGGTCTCTGCGCGCCTGGAAAGAGAGGGAAAAGGTTTTGGCAGCCCGCAGAAAGCCCCCTGAATTCCTTTAATCATTGATTTTGACGTTCTTTGCAGTCCCATGCGCCTGATGAACACGATCCTGTTTCCCACCTGCTGATGCTGAGACGCCGGGTGGGCTCCGTCCACCCCCTGCGTTCGGCGGTTGCGTGCGCTCTAGACGGCCAGGTGGCTGCCCGCGGTGGCTGCGCAGGGTGGGCGCTGCCGGCGGAGGGGCTGCCGCCAGCGGCGGCCACCTGTGAGAGGGGCCCCTGGGCTGCGTCCCTTCGCCACCAAGCCCAGCAGTTGCGGGACTTGACAGCATGCCAATGGTGGTCGTACTCTGCCCTTCCCCGGCTCAAACGTGATGATGATGATGCAGCATCAGCCGCCAGCACCTCGCAGCACTGTCAGCCGCCGCTGGAGCTACACGCCAGGACACTGCAGCCTCTTCAGCACGATCCTGCAGTGCTGGAAGACTTAAGGTGTATGGCAAGAAGAACCGGAGGTGAGAATTGGGGCTGCTGACGCATTGTGCTCAGGCAGGCATCGGTAAATCAACCGCTCTTGGTGCATGCCATCTTCTTTCGCTGTCCCACCGATTTGCTGTTACAAATTGCTGCCGGATGCTGCACTGCAGGCAGGCCCGAGCTGGGCGTCAAGGTTCTGGAGGTGCTCAAGAAGCACCCAAACATTCACCTGTTCAATGCTGCGCTCCACGCGGCGCCAGACAGCTTGTTTCTGCCAGTGGTGCAGCTCCTGTGCCAGGGTGGGCATGAGGAGGGCGCTGGCGGCGCAGCTGGCTGGCCGAGGCCCGGCATGGATACTGCGCTGCTAGTGCTGGAACGCATGCCGCCCGATGAGATGGACCGCTCCATGCAGCTGCTACTGCATGCGGGGCTGAAGCCTCACTACCGAGTCTTCCTGGCCTGGGCCAGCTGGCATGCACGGCGGGGCAGCATCCAGGGCGTGCGGCATGTCATGCAGCTGGTGGAGGAGGTGCAGCTCCCGTTGGCTCCCCACTACTATGTGCAGCTAATCCGGGTGAGGACAATGAGAGGGCGGGTGGGTGGGGTTGGGGGGCAGCAGGGAGATGCGGCGTTGCTAGATCATGCATGCTTGTGCTGCCTTGCCGGGTGATGCCATGATGAGCGTCTTTGGTGCTCTTCACTGGCAGCACCTCCTGGCGGCAGACCCCTTGCAAGGGTGTATGCGTGATCGATGCTGTGTCCTTTGATGCATGCCTCAGGCGTACTGTTCTCGGGGGCGCTGGAAGGAGGTGGAGGCACTGGTGGCGGAAATGCGTGGGCGGGGTGTGCGCCCCTCTGAACATATTTACCGCGCCCTCTTCTTTTGCCTTGGCCAACACCATCGAGCAGGTGAGTCTAGAATTGCTAGGCTGCAAGGCTTGCACAGGCATCATGTGTATCATGCGTATCTGGCAGTCAAGCTGCCCAGGTGATTGAGCAGTCTGTGTGTAATCGTACGTTAGTTGGGAATTTCTAACACAGCCTTCCTCCCCATCCGCAGACCGTGCGCAGCGACTGTTTGATGAGATGGTGGGGGAGGGGTTGGAGCCGTCCATGGCCACCTGGGCGGCGCTCCTCAATGCCTATGCCAACTCCAAGCAGCCGCAGCGAGCCGCAGAGGTGCTGGTGCACTTGCACAAGCGGGGCCTCACGCCCTCCGTGCAGGTGAGTGGTGACTAGTGGGCGTTGCTAAAGTGCCTTATGTACAACAGGTGCTGGTGCTGGCGCTCATCTCGGAGGTCGCTGCAGCACACCGCGGCAGTGCCTTGGCTGCCTGCTGATGCCCAGCGTAGGTTTATGGCGCGCTCACCAAGGCGTTTGCCCGCAGCGGCGACTGGCGGCGTGCGCACGATGTGCTGGAGCTGATGCAGTTTGACGGCGTGCAGCCCAATGAGCAGGTAGGTGGGTGGCTTGGGACAGTGTTTGATGAATTGGCAGCTGCGGGCCTCAAGCACCGACCCATCCATTTTATCAGTACCTCAGTCATTTCGCTCTCTGTACTCGCTGCCCAGTGCTGCGAGCATCAATGCGCCCCTTGGTTTCCCTCTGCAGGTGTTTGGCAGTATTATCGAGGCAGCGGCCGTGGCTGGCAAGCCAAGCGTGGCGGCAGAGCTGCTGCGGCGCATGCAAGCAGCAGGCATCCAACCTAATGTGATCGCCTATACGAGTCTGTTGTCAAGTTATAGCGCCACAGGGGATGTGGAGGCAGCAGAGGCAGTGCTGCAGGAGATGGAGGCTGTTGGGTGTCTTCCCAACAGCAAGAGTTATACGGAGGTCATGTCCCAACTGGCAGCCAAAGGTGTGGCCTGCCGAGTTGCTGCTCGTGCCAGCTGGGTTGGGGCAGCACGGTGTTGGCTGGGTGCCAGGTGTGGCAGTGGCATCTGTGTGCCCCATGTGCAGGTTTTACATACGGGTTCGCTCTCTCTGCACAGTTGCTCATGCATTGCTGCCATGCTGTGTGGCCTGCAGGGCGGTATGAAGATTGCGAATTGTACTTCAACAAAATGGTGGCAGGTGGGCAAAGCCGGGAGAGCAAGCAAACATAGTGGAGCCACCCTTTTCGTGTCCCCACCGCCCTCCCTCTGTGTTTCCTCGTGCTGAATTGCTTGCTTCCCACTGCCGCAGCTGGCTGCCTGCCAGACAAGGTCTCCTATGCAATTCTCATCGACTCTATGCTGAATCGCTGGGCCACGGACCGCGAGGGGCAACAGCAGTTGCTGGGCCTAGTGCAGGCGCGGTGGGATGAGGCGGGCGGTGCCGGTGGCGCGCTAAGGCCCCACACCTTCCTGCATCAGCCGCAGGGCCGCCTGACCCTCGACCTGCACGGTTATAGCGCCTGGACAGCGCAGTTGGCGGTGCTGGCCACACTCGACAAGCTGCTGCAGCAGCACAGCCAGCAGGGGGGGCGCATCGGCGACCATCTGTCGCGGTTCGACATCATTACAGGTCGTGGAAACCGCAGGTGTGTGCAACTAAGCCGGCTTTGCTGACGGGTGGTACGCACGGCCCTTGGATAAGCGCTTTACTGCCCATTCTATGAGAGACTGTGGCCAGCACGTGCCCTGCCTGGTTGCAGCGAGCAACGCCACAAATCTGTGCTGCGCGAGCTGGTGCTGGAGATGCTGCAGCACTTAGTGCCCGTGTCCTTTGCACGGGCCAACGACGGATTACTGGTGCTGCACGCCAAGAACCTGCGGCGCCTGTTTGACGCTATGTTGGACCAGGGCCAAATCCAACCATTTTCTTTGCAGAGCATGCAACATTGCCTGGTTGACCCCTCGTCTCTTTGATGCTCCGATTCATTTCATGTACGACATGTTGTGCCATTATGGGCGCTACCTCACTGCCCGCCATTGCTTGCTGGTGAGCCCAGCAGATGCATAGGCACGACAGACGGTAGCAAGCAAGCAAGAAAGAATACGTCCTTGGGCTGGTGAGGGAGGCCGGTCGGTTGCGTCTACGCCGCCGCCAGCTGGCGGTGGGGAACCCCCGTGTCCATCCATGGCTTCGATGGAACCTTTATCTGCGTCTTTCCCTACTGTTTGTGTTATTAATAAGCTCGACAATAGGCCCACCCATACTGATCGAAAATTCGACAGCGGTCTCCCCGCTCTCGTTGTATTTTGCCTGCGATGGTATAGTCCGCTGGTTTGTGGTGTGCACCGCCGCGTGCTGGCTGGGCTGCAACCTACAGAGTCGGGTCCCGCTCTTGTTGCCGTCTGCTTTCAGCACTTGGATTCAGTAAAGCAAGTAGCAGGCCCAGGCGTGCCACTGCGCACCGCAACAGGTGTGCAACGCGCACTTTGGCCGCCGCCAGCGCACCGCCCCGATCGCCTGGTTGCAATAGGCGGCCTTATGAACTCTGCACCTGGCGCACTTTCTACATCTGCAGGAGGTGACCAGACGTGCCTCTGATTGCTTTGCGGCACTGCAAAGAGCAATTTGCAGCATGCTGCACTCCGCGCCATCTCAAGTGGTGTACTTGAGGGAATGGTGGGCGGCGCTCTGCCGGACGCCTCAGATCTTCTCCCGCACCGCCTTCCGCCGGCGCACCCTGGAGGAGGAGCTGCAGGAGGTTTGTAATTAGGAACCCAAGTTGGATGTTATTGGCGGCAGCATAATGTCTCACCGACACAGGGGTTGAGCCCGGTACCGCAACCACCGTCACCGCTTTGCGCCCGTCGCTGCAGGCCCTTCTGCGTGGCAGCCTGCGCAAGGCATTTGGTGGCTTCGAGCTGCTGTGCCTGGGGTTGGGGATTGTGATTGGTAGCGGCTGGGCCCAGCTCATGGGCAACGCTGCCCAGCAGTACGCTGGGTGAGGCGTTTTGGCCTGCGGCAACTTTCTGGCAGCTGGTGCTTTCCTGCCTGGAGATTGCGGTTCCCTGGTGCCAATGCCTCTGCAACTTCAAATGACGCTGGGCACGCCCTACGCCGTGCCCCATATCTCCCCTCCAGCACGCCCCCTCGTGCCGACCGTGCCTGCAGGCCGGCGATCATCATCAGCTATCTTGTGAGCGGGCTGGCGGCATTGCTGTCGGCCACGTGCTATGCCGAGCTGTGCGCCGAATATCCCGTGTCAGGTGGAGTTTAGGGTTCGCGAGGCAGCACCGCTAGCACCCGCCACGCCCGTTCCTGCTCGCAACCTCACCCCGCACCTCCCCTCCCACCTTCCGGCTGTGTCAGTGATGATCAAGTTCCCCTGACTTTTCTTTGCCCTGCAGGCGGCGCTTTTTCTTATGTGCTGGTGCGCAAGCTTGCCAGACACGATGATGGGGCCCATGTCGCACAGCGCATGCTGTGCAGCAGGGCATGCCAGCAGCCAAACCACAGCCCCTTCCTGACTATAAATTTCCCGTGCTTGCTGGTATTGCCTGCGTATTCGCCGTAGGTCACCTTTGGAGAGCTGCCTGCCTTCTTCACATTGGCGGGCCTGATGCTGGAGTATGCGCTGGGCATGGCGGCAGTGGCGCGCGGCTTCAGCGACTACCTGGCGACCCTGCTGAACCAGAACCCCGCGTCGCCTCCTTTTGAGTTTGAGTTAGTGCCGGGCGGCCACACCTTCGACATCGTGGCGGCAGCCATCATCATGCTCATGTCGGTGCTGTTGAGTCTGGGGGTGCATGAGAGCGCTTTTTTCATCTCAGGTAGGGTGGCCACCCAGTCGCGCACCTCAGCTTGCGACTTGCACATTGAGGCTTGTCGATTTGCATTTTGTCGCCCTTGCAGCTTTCCCTCCTCCCTCCTCACCCTTGCCGCCCTTGAGAGCTGCCTGCTGCCTGGTTTCCGATGCCTCTGCAGGCATCACTGTCGTCAAAATTCTGCTGCTACTTTTTGTGTGTGTGGCAAGCTACACCCAGGGAAGTTGGGATAACATGAATCCCTTTATGAATACCATCTACGATACCGACGGGACATTGATGGCGGCCTCCATCGTCTTCTTTAGCTATACTGGTATGCTGCCATATCGCAGTTGCCTCTGCAGCTTGCGTATCTGACTCAACACGGTTTGGTTGCCCTGGAATGCAGGCTTTGACGCAATTGGCAACGCAGCAGAAGAGGTGGGCTGTTGCCTCTCCTGCCTGCCGCCTAGGAATGCGTCAGAGTTCGGGTGAAAGCAGCAGGCAGTGTGTGAGCGGTGCTCCCTGATTGCATTTGCTGCAAATGTGCCCCTTCAGGTCCGCAACGTGGCACACCTGCCATGGGCCATCCTAGGCACTGTCGCCACGTCCATAATCGTCTACTTTATGCTAGCATTTGGACTGGCCCTCATGGTCTGCCCCACCATCGCATGCCCCGCTCTATATTTCCTGCCATTGTCGGGCACGGGAGACTGCAAAGGCTATTCGCAGATGATGTGCCCCCAGCCATGCACATGCTCCACTTCGGCACCCCCTCCATTAGCCCCCCCGCCGCCGGCTCCCTCTGGATACGCTCTGGCCCCCGTGGAGGATTGTTACCTTGCAGTCACTTTCGTCTCAGCTTTTTTGGCGCATGGTGCGTGGACACCATGCAGCTGCATGCCATCCTGCAAGCCGCATTGCCTCATGGCATGCATGCTTTCTACTATTATGCACCGCCCTTGCAGGCATGAAGTGGATGCAGTACATTGTGTCGCTGGCGGCGCTGTCTGGCATTGTCACCGCGCTCACCGTCGGCCTCTTCTCGCTCTCCCGCATCGTCATGGCGGCCAGCCGCGATTGGCTGCTGCCTCCCTTCCTGGCTCGCATCTCGCCGCGTACTCAGACCCCGCTGGTGGCGCAGATGGTGCTTGGCGTGATCATAGGTGGGACAGGGACCAGCTGACGTGCACCTGGCTATGGCTCTTTGCGCTGGCGAGCGCTCTCTGCTGGGGGCAAGCAGCAGCAGGTCCCATCCGTCCCTACTCGGACAGTCCGGCAGGACTGCATCAATGCGCTATTCTTGGCTGGTTGGGCTCGTTATCGTGATCTGCTGCCATCTGCTTTCGCTGTGCAGCGGTGCTGGCAATGTTTGTGGAGGTGGACGCGGCCACGTCCCTGGTATCTTTTGGAACGCTGGTCTCGATGTGGTTAGTCTGCAACGCTCAGATGTACCGCCGCTACATCCCGGAAGTCCAAATGCGCTTCACGAGGTGCTGAAGAAGCTCACAGAGCCGCGTGCACCGCAAACCAGCCAGTGCAATGTAGTCCGCTGAGCTTATCATGCGTGAGCTTATCCTCGGGCCTCCCAATACTTAAACTCACGCCGCCATTGTAGTCTTGATAATGATGTGTTGCACCTCGTGATGTGTTGCTGTGCAGGTATGGAACTGTTGAAACAGCGCCCAAGATTGACCTGGGCAGCTGGATGCCTGGACGCCACCTTCCAGCAAAAGCACGCAAATACCTGGTGTGGCTGCACCTGGTGCTGATCAACGCTGTGAGCCTGAGTGAGTCGCCGCCACCTGAAAAGGATGGGCAGGACGCTGAAGTGGCGGCAGCATGGGGTGGGGAAGGCGCCCTCAGTTGGTTTCATGTCGCGTTCTTGTCCCAACGCGTCGCACCGCCTGTGTGCAGCGACGGCCATATATTACGGGGAGACAATACATCAACAGAGCTCGTCATTTACCCCCGCCGTCGATCCTCTGCAAGATGCATGCAACCCAGCCGCGGCCAACCTCCACCACAGCCCCTACACTGCCATATTTGTGCTGGCCTGGTTCCTGGTCACCCTCTCCTTCCAGCTGTGCTGCCCCATGGAGTACGAGCCTGTCGGCTGGCACATCAAGTGGTGGCTTATGCCATGGTTGCCTTCGACAGCTATAGGTCTGATAATTTTCAGGTGAGTGTAGTGTTGCATGATGGTGTACTGTGAGAACTACTGGTCGGCTGGGCTGTCTAGGATGCGGCGCAGCTCACTGCTGCTCCCTGGTGCCTGCAGCGTGGGTGCGCTGCCCAAGGCCGAATACTGGAAGATTGGATTCTACTTTGGGCTGCTGGTGGTTGTGTACCTGCTCTTCAGCCTGCCCATGAGCTACATCCGTCACAGCAGGGTGGACTATACCAACGCAGAGGAGCTCAAGTTAGTGCCACCAGTTGGTGCCTGTGGGGTGCTGAAGCTGTCAGCCGGTTGCTGGTGTTGGTTGCGCCCCTTGCCAGGCTCAAGTCGCTTGCTATAACTTGCACCTGCCCCATGCACCCCACAGAGTCGTGGAGCTGACCTTTGTCAACGCCCAATGGCAGCCGTCGCGGCTGGTGCCAGTGTTCCCCACCCCGGCTCTGCATCCGGCTGCTTCGAGCCAGAACGGCGATGGGCCCAAGGATGACCTGTACCACTTGCATAGCGGCGCCCGCAGCGGAAGCGTCAGAGCTGGCATCAAAGGCAGCGGACCATCGGCTAGCGGCAGACCTGGCAGCAGCGCCAGGCCGGGGCAGGTACGGGCGCTGCATTCACCCTTGGGGCCTCGCCGTTCCTCGCGGCCCAGGCTGGCGGCAGCGCCGACGCTGCCGCCGATGGACGAGACAGAAGAAGCATGATGCAGGGCAATCTGCTTCGGGTAAACACTGTAACCTGAGCTTGGCATGTTGGAATGTGAGTGTTCATGAAAGCAAGAGGATGCCACCCAAAATGGGTGGCCAGTACAGCACCACCCAGGTTTGCGCCCGAGGTGGATGCCCCTCCCCGCTTTGCTGCGTTCATTGTACTCTTACGTGCATGAATTTTCACACATTTTGCGCCCTTTAGCCGCCAACTTGCGCAAGCCATGTGCCGCACTGCATTGTGGCCGACCTGTGTAGCGTCCCAGGCACCCTGCCTCGCGTTCTATCAGCTCATTACACAGGTTAGATAGTTGTGGGGAACGGGCGGAGTGCGGTATGCAGCACAGCGGGGACTTCCTCTAGGGCTCAGCACTCGGCAGGAAAAGCGGCAGGGGGGCTGAGGGTGGCTGCAGGCTTGGGCTGGCAGGTGGTTGCCCCGTTTCAGCCCTCATCAACTTCATCAACATACCGTTCTATTGCTTTACAGAGTGAGTGGGAAGGTGAGAGGTCATTGAGGCAGTGGGGTCAAGGGTGCGGTACATCGGTGCTGGATGGTTTTGCGGCAACGGCACGCTGGACGGGTGCAGGCCAGGAGCATGCATACGAGCATTCAAGGCATGTAGCGAACCTATCATCGACTGTATCTGGGCCAGCTGGATGTGCGGGGGGACGCCCATGCCAGCGACATGAGGGATGGCCAGCGACATTCAGGGGGCCACAGGCATGAGAGCGGGGCAGGGCGGGAGCGCCATTTGGGGCCCTTGCGACGGCAGCGCTGCCGTCTGCTGCTGCTGCATCCAGGGTCCCAGTGCTGCCATGCTTCTCAATGTAATAACGCTGCCACTTCTGTTGTAACATGAGCATGAATGGCAGCTGACCTGCTGACACTTCATTTGGCCTGCATGGCGTGGGGCAAGAAAAACCATCGTCAGGGAGGCCATCGGCCCGGTACTGCCATGCAGCGCTGCGGCTTGTGCCAACACAAGGCACGGTTGATCGCTACCAAAGCTGCCATGCAGACCACTACTAGGCATGCCAACGTAGCACGCAGAAACACGCCTTGTGCCCGAGGGTGGCACGTGCCTGCGGCGGCGCGGCGTGCAGCGTGGGCGCACCGGCACACACACCCTTTGTTGGTGAAGCCCACCTGATTTGTCCCTGTAGCAAGTGCCCTGGAAGTGTTGGTAGTAGGTGAAGTCAGAGTTGCCAACAGTTTCAGGAGTGTGTGCGGTGCTTCCACCAGTCCGCCACCACGCACCGCATCGGCTTGGCGACGGCTTGTTGGTCGTCAGCGTCCAAGCATGCGCTGCTCTTGAACTGCCTCTCCAGCCCTTGGAGCTGATGCAGGGTTGGGAGGCAGTGTGCATCAGACGCCATGCCATCAGTGGCGGGAGGAGGTGGCAGTTCGGCGCCTGTGGTGGCCACAGCACATGGGGTCGAGAGCAGCGACTTAACGGTGCTGCCACCAAGAGAAATCCCCCTGCTGGCAGCGCAGCGGTGCTCCCCAGCGGCCGCCAGCTGGATCCCCACCAGCATGCTGCCTGGCCTCACCTGCACATCTGTGCTACCGCCAGCCAGCTGAGAGTCTTCTGCCGCACCGCCCGCACCCGCCTGTGGCAGAGGAGAGCAGAGAGCAGGGCGGGCATGAGCAGCAGGGGCAGCGGCGGACCTGGCGCAGCCAACCTGGCCCCCTGCTAGCGATGCACAGCACAGAGAGCACCCAGCAACCTGCTCTTCCAGCCCCAGCAGCCTGTTTTCACTCTGACCTTTTGTCGCTGCTTGAAGCACTCAAAACATGCTCTTGTGCAAAGGAATGGGCCTCGGCAGCCTTCCCGCGCTGCGCCGCACGGCCAGCGCAGGCGACACAGACTTAAGCGCCGGGCTCCTGTTTGAGGAGCGTGGCGATGAAGGCTGCAGGTTGGTGACTGGCTGTAGTGGGCCGCGGGGCTGCGGGGCACGAGTGGATCTGCAGGCCATGGAGGACAAGTTGCCGCATGCGAATTGGGGCAGACCAGCCCCGCAGCGACATTGGATCCATGCACTGATCATACCTTTTAGTGAGGATGGAGGCATCTATATTGATTGCCAAACTTCGCCAGGCATCCTCAAGGGACAGAAGGATGGGCAGGCTGCGCTGGTCGAGCACGAGCGAAACAAAGACGGCATGGAGGCGCTCCCAAACAGTCCGCCGCTGGGTGGCCTCGACGCAGATGATGCAGCCCCACCTGGCGCAGCAGCGCCAGAGGTAAGTAGCATGCTGCCAATATCGTTGGGCCAAAAGATCTTGTCCACCTGCGTGCCACCGAAGGGCACTTGACGAGCAGCGGCATCGTGTGCCCCCTGGCCCGCTCAGTGAGGGTGAGGAAGAAGCCACTGGTGCCTCCTGCTGCTTCCATTGCTGTCTCTGCTGCCTGCTGCACTGCTTGAGTTGCCTCGAGAGCTTTGCTGTGCTCGAATGCTGCCTCAAAGCCTGCAGGCAGTTTTCCGCTGGGCGGCGTGACTGCCGCCTCCCAAGTGCCGACATGGTGGGTGCCAGGAGTGTACTTTGCAGCGTCCTTGGCCTCTTAGTCGGGATTTAAGTCCCCCAAAAGCTGCCGGCGCAATTCCATGCTCTCCTCCACTACTTTTGAGTTTCAGCGATCGGTAATCTCCTCGCCCCGCCTCCATGCGCGCTTTTTAGACGCTGATACTATCACACATCAGTTTCTGCGCTGTGCAGCGGAGGTCTTGGCCACAGCTGCGTTTGGGCGGCGGCGCCCATTGGCGGGCAGCATGTGGGGCACAAAGCCAGTCGCCTGGAGGGCGGAAAGAGACACCAACATCATGCTAGACCATCGGCAACAGAGCGGGGATGCAATGGCGGCGAGTATTGGGGGGGCGCAAACTTGGGTGGTGCTGTGCTGGCCACCCCAAAATGGGCGCCAGGTGGACGACGTGCCCCGCCCCGCCGGTGGGGGTGACTGGTGTCACATCTGCAAAGGCCGCGGCGCTCGTCGTATCTTTGGGCTTGTCGGGCCGGTTTGCCTGTGCACCAGGGCAACAGCGAGGCTCGCGGTTCCTAACTCAGTTAGGGTTACAAACGGGTCAGGCCGTCCTTCCAACTGCTTGAACAACTGGAACGCAGCACCCTCGGCGTTCCATCTTGGCGCCGCCCGCCGACCGCTGGAGGCCGTTCCCTTGTCGCCCGCCGCTTCCGCCGCCTGCCGGGCGAACCCGTGGCCGCTGGCTCCTTGGCTGAGCTTGGCGTAGTGAGCTGTCTGCTTGATTCATAGCAACCGCCCACACCATCCATGGCGCGATGGGGTGGAACAGCCGTGGTGGAGAGCTGGGGCGGTACCTTGGCGTTTTTGAAGGAGTACTGGGCAGCACTCCGCAACACGCACCAGATCTTCTGGCGCATTGCATTTCGCAGGCGCACCTTAGAAGAGGAGCTGCAGGAGGTGCGTGGGTGGTGGCGGCGGGCTAATGTTAACCGAAACGGGCCTTTTGAGATCTCATCAATGTATTTGGGCTTATTCCCTGCAGGCCCTGTTGCGAGGCAGCTTGCGCAAGGCTTTCAGCGGCTTTGACCTGCTCCTGCTGGGCCTGGGCATTGTCATTGGCAGCGGTTGGGCGCAGCTGTCTGGAGTGACTGCGCAGCAGTTCGCTGGGTGAGGCAGCACCATTCTGCATGTCAATTTCACCATTCCTCGAGTGCCTGCATCCAGCAGGCGACACGTCGGCCTGCTGCTCCACTGCCTTGGCCATGGCTGCCGTCGGTGCAGGCCATCAATCATCTTGAGCTACCTATTCAGTGGCGTGGCCATGCTGCTGGCGGCAGCGTGCTTTGCCGAGCTGGTCACCGAGTACCCGGTGTCTGGGGGCGCCTTTGCCTTTGTGATGGTGGGTGGGCACACTGTAGGCTGGGCGCCAGATGCGTGCCAGCACCGTGCTGGCATCAACGGTGGCAGTTCAGGGCTGTCATGTCCATGCCGCAGCAGGTCAAATGTTAGGCATGCGTGCAGCTCTCTGTTGTTATGGCTGGCACCGTGGGTCGCTGAATGCGCTCGTGCAGATCAACTTTGGCGAGCTGGCGGCTTTTGTGACGCTGGGCGGCCTGGTGTTGGAGTATGCGCTGGGCATGGCGGCGGTGGCGCGCGGCTTCAGCCGCTACCTGGCGCGGCTGTGCAACCTGGACCAGAACCTCTTTGTGCTGGAGTTCTACGATTGCCCACCTGGGCTTGAGCCGCCAGACTGCCCATACACCCACAGCTTTGACTTCATGGCCGCTGGAGTTGTGGTATTCGTGTCTTTCTTGCTCAGCATTGGGGTGCGCGAGAGCGCTTTCTTCATCACAGGTAGGCTGCATCGCGTTCCCACCGCCTTGCGCCCTTTCCTGGGCCTGCCTGCATGTTGGTACTTCGCTACAGCACAGCTGCAGATCTCTTCCGGCGCTGCCGCTTAAAGTGGGGCAGCGTCTCACACCAATCCCTGATCCTTGCAGCTGTGACGGCTATCAAGGTTGTTCTGCTGGTGTTCATCAGCATCGTGGGCTACACCCGCGCGGGCCCAACCTGTGAAGACACAAGCCAGTGTGTAGGCATGAGCTGCGCAGACTACTGCCAGCTGCAAGGAGTGTCTTCAGCAACAGACCCCTTCTTTGATCCAGACTTTGGCGCAAATGGCGTGTTCCTGGGAGCCGCCGCCCTATTCTTCACCTACACCGGCATGGACGCCATCTGCAATGCGGCCGAGGAGGTGGGCATGATTAAGCACCCTGGTTGCCACCCTTCAATTTTCTTATCCTCAGCCAGCTCCAGCATCCAGCATAGGTGCGCCATGCTCTTCGATGCGTGCAGGCCAGAGATGTGGCTCACCTGCCATGGGCGCTGGTGGGGACGGTTGGCGTGTCTATGTTGCTGTACACTATGCTGGCTGTGGCTATGATGTACATTGCAACTCCCAATGCTGCCAAACCGGCGCTGCCACCGATTGGACAGCCGAGCGAGACAGCGCTAACGTTTACCACCGCATTTGTGTGGCTGCAAGGTGTGATTGGGCTGCACCTGCATTGCTCATGCAATCTTTGGCATGGGACTCGGCGCTGATGCCAGTGCTTCAATACTGCAGGCATGAAGTGGATGCAGTACATTGTGTCGCTGGCGGCGCTGTCTGGCATTGTCACCGCGCTCACCGTCGGCCTCTTCTCGCTCTCCCGCATTGTCATGGCCGCCAGCCGCGATTGGCTGCTGCCTCCCTTCCTGGCCCGCATCTCGCCGCGTACGCAGACCCCGCTGGTGGCGCAGATGGTGCTTGGCGTGATCATAGGTGGGACCGGGGAGCAGCTGACTCTCCACCTGGGCCTTAGCTTCTGATCGCACTTTGCACAATGGGCAGCAGCTGTATCTCTGGAAACCCCCCAAAACTCTGGCTAACATTTGCCAGCATTGTGATCAAGGCGGACTGCTCGGTTTGCTCAGCACCCCAATATCTGCCTTTTCTGCTGTGCAGCACTGCTGGCCATGCTTGTGGAAGTGGAGCTTGCCACGGCGCTGGTGTCTTTTGGAACGCTGGTGTCGATGTGGATAGTTTGCAATGTTCAGCTGTACCGCCGCTTTTACCCTGAAGTCCAGCTGCGCTTCACCAGGTGCCGCTGCTGCTTGGCACATTACTGGGGGCTGGGCAGATATGGAGAGTCCATGGCAGTTGGGCGTTGCATCGTTTTATTCATCCCCCCCTGGCTTAGGTATGGAACTGTCGAATTGGCGCCCAAGGCCCAGGTCAGCTCCCGGATGCCCGGCCGGCACTTCTCGGTGCGCACGCGCAAGAGGCTGGTGTTGGCGCACATGGTGCTGCTGAACGCTGTTTGCCTAGGTGAGTTGAACATGGGAGTGCACCATGACTGCTGGGTGCCCTTCAAATGGTGTCGTTTTTCTCAGACACTTGAACTTGCCGTTGTGGTGACTTGCAGCCCTGGCGACGTTTTACGCAGTAGTGACAAACAGCTTTCATGACGAGGATGCTGTACCCCCTCTTGCAAGTCCACCACCAGCATTTAGCACGCTTTCCCCGCCTCTTCCAGCGCCGCCGCCTCCCGAGTCCGACGGAAACTTGGATGGTCTGGAGGTGGAAGAGGGCGAGAGGCTAGTTCGCTCCAGTGCAGGCACCGAGTGGTTTGCGCTGGCTTGGTTCCTTGTCACCCTCTCCTTCCAGCTGTGCTGCCCCCTGGAATACGAGCCCGCCAGGTGGCACGTGCCTTGGTGGCTCATGCCATGGTTGCCCTCCACAGCAATCGGGCTCGTGCTTTTCTGGCAAGTGCTTGCTGTATGGCGCTGCCCTACGCTGGCGGCATCAGTTGCACCAACTTGGTTTCTGCCCACATCCTGTTCCCACATACTATGCTATGCATAACTAATCTGAGCCTGCCTGCTTGCAGCACGGGTGCTCTGAATAATCGGGATTTCTGGAAGACAGCCATCTACTTTGGCGTCATATTGGTGGTGTACCTGCTCTTCAGCCTGCCCATGAGCTACATCCGCCACAGCAGAGTGGATTACACGGAGGAGATGAAGTGAGCAGCGCTGTGTTTTTGTGCATGTGATGCATTTTAGCATTTGGAATCATGCTAGGGCCGAGCAACAGATACGTTTTGCAGCCCAGGTCCTAGCATGGTTTATATCAGCTCCGGATTCAAGAGGTGCTCACCTCTGGATTCATGCCTCGTGCCTTCTGCAGTGTCGTTGAGCTGGCATTTGTCGATGGACAGTGGCAGCCGGCGCGGCTCAAACCGCTTTTCCCAGTCATCGTGAACCCAGCAGCCTCGTTACATGGCTCGGGCTTTCCCTCTGAGAACCTGTCGACCACAAGATTAGGCAGTGGCCTGAGGCCGGCACCGAGTGGGGCACATAGCAGAACATTGAGTGCTGCGCCCAGCAAAACAAGCATGGCTGTGCTGCCACCAACGGAGGAGGGGCGTCCGTGCTAGCGTGTTCGCTGCGCTGCAATTCTGTGTACTACGCACATACTGCGTGCGCGTTGAACTTGCGTGGATGCAATTTGTTCATTGTTAACATTTTTGTGAGTTTGCGTCGGTGTCAAACCTTTCTGCTGTAAAGTATACAAGGATGTTATGCTACATGCAGCGCGCAAGAAGAGATATGAAGCAAACAAGAAGAAAAAACCTGCTGCTGGGCTACCGCTTGCTGCACCGTCTGTTAAGGCTGCTCTTCAGATGGGCTTGGCCGACAGGCAGCGAGAGTATGTGGCCCTCACTGCGGCTGCGCGTGTGCTGCCGTCCACTGCCGCGCGGTGTTCATTGCATCCACCTCGTTTGTCTTCCAGTGGCGTGCAACGTTCTCGTCCAGCGGATCGTCGGGGTTTGGGGCGCTCATCAAGGCCTGGATGCTGCAGGCAGAGGCAGGCAACCACCGCAGGGTCAGCAGGGAACAGATTGAAGCTTCCCTGCACTTTTTAGAGGGAGGGGCACCATGCCCTGCTAGACACAACACCTACATCATCCGGCAAGCCATCGCACCTGAGCAGCACAGTCCTGATCTGCAGCGCGGGGCTCCACTTGTCCTTCAGGATGTCGAGGCAGATCCGGCCAAGCTTGTCCACGTTGGGGTGGTAGATTTTTGTAAGGAAGCGCACCTTTGGCGCCGCCATGGGATAGTCCTCGGGCAGGAAGAGCTCAAGCTTGAACATACCACCTGACAGGCAGTCATTTATCAGGGTGGGCAGGCCAGGGGTCAGAATACCGCAGCTCGGAAAGGCGCGTGGCAGCATGGGTGGTGCCACTCCGCTCACAGCAGAAAGAACAAGACTCCCAGTCGAACAAGGCTCCCAGAAGGAACAAGGCTCCAATTGCGGGCTGCCCCCACCGCGAGCATGAGGAGGGAGCCGGGGTGGCCGGAGGAGGAACCGGCTGCCGCCACCCACCCACCCACCAAACCCTCCAACCAAATCCACACCCACCTTGGTATGGGGAGGAGTCGGGTCCCAAGATGATGACATTAAAATAGCGCTGTGAACAAGGGAAGGCAAAGCAAGGCAGACAGGATGGCGGGTTGGGCCTGGCACGGGTCCAAGCGCTGGCGGGTCCCCGACTTCACACGACACACCACCAGTGAACACGAAGATGAAGGGATTGGCTCAAAGAGCGATGCTGCTGGTGCCAGCCCGCAGCCGGAAGCACGCCAGCGAGCCGCTGCCCGCCAGCGGGCCGCCGCCGCTCACCAGGTTATCTTCGCTAGGGGCTGCGCTGATTCCGGCCACAGGCTCGCTCAGCAGCCGCTGAGTCTCCTGCAAGCACCAGAAAGGACGCAGGTCACCAAAACGGAGGACCTCACAGCGATCCAGACGGCGGCGAAGACCAAGAACAGCTGGTAGGGGTTCAACACGGGGCTGATCGCTCCCACACTCCTCCCAGTGCTCCGTAGGCTGCGCAGCACACCTTAATGATGCGCCGGGGTAGCTGCGAAGTTTCCATGGCGCAGAGAGCCTCGGACACGCCACGATACGTGTTTTCCGCAATCAAATGGGTGCAGAGGGAGCCGAGGCCGCCGCATTTCCCACGGAGGTACGGTACTGCTGTGCCAACTTTCGCTGGCTTCATTTCTCTGCACCGCGCCGGCTGGCCACTCTCTTGCAGGTGACGCTCGGTCTGGTTGCTCCAGTGCGGCGCTGGTGAGCGCCCGAGAGAGCACCCTACCCCCGCAGCAGCGGAGGCAGCACAATGGGCGGCGGGGGCAGCGGACTAAACGTGCCCCCAGGTGCGAGGGTGCGGGGTGTACCACACGTCGGCCGGCTGCCGCTGTGGTTGCGGCGCTCGCTGCCGCAGCTCGGCGGGCCCGAGCGGCACGCCGGTAGGAGCCTGCTTCCTGCTTCTGCTCGCGTTTGGCTCAGGGCGGGTTGAGGGGCATGTTTGCATCCGGGACCTGGTGTTCTTGCACCTGCTTCCTCGCGCCCGCCACCGATTGTGGTCGTCCTGCCCGCGCCTCCCATACCCAATCACTTCAGAGATTTGGTCACCAGCCGGCGGCTTCTATGCTGACCCCAAGAAGTGGAAGCGCAACACCCTCATCACTGCTGCGTGAGTGTGTGGGGGCTGCTGATCCCGCCACCATCACTCTCTGCCCAACCCTTATGCACTGAGCCAACGCTGCCCTTTCGGATAAGGTGCAGCGCAATTGCCTCGATAGCCTACCTAGCATTCCAGCAGAGCATCAAGATGGAGGATCGTCACGCACGGGTGCGCGCGCATGCTGTGCATCGATGCCTGTGCCGGGCAGTAGACTGCTCTTGCATCACCCTCGGTGTGTCGGCCCTCGGTTTCCTGTGCAGCCACACTCGACCATCGTCAACGAGCGATTCTACACTGACAAGAACTTCCCTCAGCAGTGAATGTGATTCCCACGATGAGTGGGAAAACCCCCGCCTCATCAGCCAGTACCGAGCCTTGGCGAGACAGCGTTGAAACCACTCTCCTTTGGAGTAGCTCGAGCTGGTTGTGACAAAGCCAGCCCTTGCCTGTGACCTGCAGCGTGGCTCCCTGGCCAGTGTAATAAGCTGCTTGGCCTTGAGGCGGATCAGGCGTCGAGCGAGCAGGAGGGCAGGGTGGCGGGCGGGTGGCTCAGACCTCGGCCACCAATTCCCTGCTCAGCACCCCCGCAACCCAGTGCTCCTTTCGAAACAGTCCCAGCGCTCAGTCTGCCTATGCGTGGCTCCTGCCGCAACACTTCTGCCCGCCCAGGGGCAGGCGGTGTTGGGGCGTCAGGCGTCTATCCTGGGCCAAGATTCTGCACAATTGACCACCTGATTTGAGTAAATGTCGGGAAGCAAACCCCGGGTAGCCCAGGTCGCCAACTCATCCGCCTGCCTGGTGACAAGTGCGCCGCATGCGGCCCCGCCACTGCACAACCTCGTGATTGCGGCTCCCGGGCTTGAGGGAGCGTGAGCCGCCTGCAGCTGGGCCTCAAACAGTGCACGCGCACCCGACCCACCTCATCCCTCAGCTATGGCAGCCCAGGACCGGGAGACGTGCGTGTTCCTGGCCAAGCTGGCCGAGCAGGCGGAGCGGTATGACGAGATGGTGAGCCCCTGATCGAGCACCGAAGTTGGCTGTTGGGCCACGGCCAATCGGGGAGCCCTGGGCGCCAGGCGGCCCGCGTGACGGCTTCAGTCCCACCGGGGGCGCCCACGGCGGCGGGCGCAGCCTCTGCGGGCCACGGGTTTGACCAGAAGGGTCGTGGGGCGCGCTCCCCTGCCCCTTGGCGTGCTGCTGGGGCTGGAGGCGAGCGGACGGCCCTGTTTGTCGTGCAGGTGGCTGAGATGAAGAAGGTGGCACAGATGGTGCACGATCAGGAGCTGTCGGTGGAGGAGCGGAACCTGCTGTCGGTGGCGTACAAGAACGTCATTGGTGCGCGCCGCGCTTCCTGGCGCATCATCTCTAGCATTGAGCAGAAGGAGGAGGCCAAGGGCAACGAGGAGCATGTGAAGCGCATCAAGGCCTACCGTGAAGTGGTGCGCCTGTGGGCACTAGTGGGAGCGCGGGGAGGCGGGGACCGCTGCTGTGCCCAGCCTTTCTGCTGGCTGCAGCTGCTTTGCAACACTAATTGCTTCTTCCGCCCAGTATCATAGTTCCAGCAATGCTGGTGCAGATGCCTGTGTGGCCAAATTTGTCGCTGAGCTGCCACCCGCTGCACAGGTGGAGAAGGAGCTGCAGGACATTTGCAGCAGCATCCTGCAGCTGCTGGATGACCATCTGATCCCCACTGCCTCCACCGGCGAGTCCAAGGTGTTCTACCTGAAGATGAAGGTGGGTTGCTGCTCTGCGGGTGCTCAGAATGACCCGGCCCGACCGTTTCTTTTTCTTTTTGGAGCTAGCGCGGACAGCCTCAGTTCAGAGCTGCGCGGACAGCTTGGGTTCGGAGTGGCGAAGAGCGCCGGCTGCTCATGCGGCGAGCGACTCCGCAGGCTTGCAGCCCTTATGGCATCATGGCAGCGCATTCTGACAGCGCCCTGTTTGGCGTGCTTGCCTCTTTTGGTGCCGTGTTGTATGCTGGCATGGTTGCGTGTGAGATACAGTGGCAGTTGCCTTTACGTTGGCGCAGGGTGACTACCACCGCTACCTGGCCGAGTTCAAGACTGGCACGGAGCGCAAGGAGGCAGCCGAGCACACGCTGCTGGCGTACAAGGCGGCGCAGGTCCGTGGGCATGCTAGTGCCTCTGCTGCCGCTGTGCACCTTTGCTAGCTGTGCCAACCTGCCACCATTGTCTGTCGCCATGGCTACTGGAGGGGAAGCAGCAGGTGTTCAACAGAGCATGCCAACAGCTATTCCCTCCTGCTGGTGGTTGCTGCATTTTGGTGTATCACCAATTGCCCCGAGATCCTATGCTTCTCTCAAACTGCTGCACCGGCCACTGCTCGCACGCGATGCAGGACATCGCGCTGGTTGACCTGCCCCCAACCCACCCCATCCGCCTGGGCCTGGCGCTGAACTTCAGTGTGTTCTACTACGAAATTCTGAACTCGCCAGAGCGTGCTTGCCACCTCGCTAAGCAGGTGTGGCAAGTCGGGCCTTGGCACAGCATTGCAACCACAGTTTTGGCTGGGCATGGGCAAATTCATTGGATTGCTGGACCCTCGATTACCAGTGGTGTCTGTGCCACTGTGCGCTGCAGGCATTTGACGAGGCGATTGCCGAGCTTGACACACTGGGAGAGGAAAGCTACAAGGATAGCACCCTCATCATGCAGCTTCTGCGCGACAACCTCACGCTCTGGACCAGCGACATGCAGGCAAGCACGAATGGATGCCCGACATCAGATGCGTTGCTGCAGGACATGAGCACTCAACATTGCTTTGATCATGCTCACACAGAGGCTGTCTGCCTGGCTGGTTGGCTGCAGGATGCTGAGCAGGGTCGCGAGGGCGCCGGCGAGGGTGAGATGAAGGACCAGGAGTGAAGCTAGGGTGGCAGCCTCGGAGACCCGCCGCAGAACCTCTCTCGCGACAGTTGCAGCGTGTCAATGGTTCTGGGCGCGCAGCAGCATCAGTAACAGCGTGTATCCATCCGCACAGCAAGCTTTCCAAGCAAGCAAATCACGATACGAGGTACCGTCGGGCAGCGGCGAGGCTGGGACGAGCTTGCACTGTGCAGCCCCTTCCTCCTACCTGCCAGTGGGGGGCGGCATGCCTGCTCGTGTTTGCAATCAGCACCAGGGGCGAGTCTCGCTCTTCTGCAACGCTCTTCTGCAACGCTTCACACTTGAGCCTGTACAGCGGCGAGTGGTGGGCTCTGACTGAAAATACCTGCTTGTTGTCTGTTCAACCCTTCCGTTCCCCGCACAGCGACAGTTTCTGCCTGACACACTTCATCTTCACGTCTCCTGCCCCCGTTCTTCCACTAGGCCTAGACTTGCTCTTTGCAACATCACTGGAATGTCGCACTCTTTTCCATTCATGGATGAGCTGCCATGCGCCCCTGGGCGCCTGTCAACAAACGTGTTGCACAAAGCACAGGAGGGAGCCTACGCTCGAGCTGGATTGCCCACAATTACAAAGTAGAGAAACACAATGGAAGTCGGGAATCAACAATAGACAGGCGAGGCGGTACTGCAGCGGGGGACAGGCCACACACAGGGACAGAGCAGCGCGGGGATGACTTGAGTGAGTTCGGCTAGTGGTGAAATGAAAGGGAAAGGGCAGTTGCACGCTGGCCGAGTGGGAGGGTGGTGGAGCAAGCGGCATGGCAGGCGCAAGTGGCTGGGCAGGCAGCCTCTTAGGCGACCTGACAGCCGGTAAAAGATGCCAATCAAGCAGAGTGAGGGATGCATCCTGGGGGGATCCAGGTGAAGCACAGAATCATAAACCCATTTGAGTGTCTACAACAAGAGCACAGGAGAAAATCAAGACTGGGGTGCCGCCAGCACGGCAATGTTGAGTTGAGGGGTGTGCCCAGCAGGGCACGCACGGGGAGCTCTGGCACAGCCGCTGTGCAAGGCAGCATGCACGTGCAGCCAGGGCGCCGTTGCCGTGGCGAACGAACAAGCGCAGCCCAAGAGCTGGCTGGCGCTGCCGCAGCGTGTGCTTAGGGTGGTGCTCAGACGGAGGCGGGCATGTCCTTCTTCAGCTTCTCCAGGGCCTCCTCGATCTTGCGGTCCACCATGTCGGGGGTGAGGCTGAAGCCCACGTCGCCGTTGCCGCCGCCCACGCCCTTGCCACCCTCGTGGGGGTAGGCAGAGCCGCCTGCGGTGGGATGGGGCAAGGGGCAACAGAAGCGCAGTGAGCAAGCCAGGCAAGCGGAAGGCGGTGCCATGTCGGGCATGGCCTGCAAACACGTTGCCCAGGGTTACAGGGCGCTGAACTCACCGTGGTGGCTGACATCCAGGCCCTGAGCCTCAACCTCGGGTGACACGCGGAACAGGCCGACCTTCTTGAGCAGGATGAAGAAAGGAGTCATGATAGCTGCACAGGGTAGGCACCAGGGCCAACAGGGCTGTCAGTAGATGATGAGGAAGGAGAGGGAATGGGGCATGACGAGAGCGGTCGTGGGGCATGACAGTTGCGGTGCTGGCTGCAGCTCACCCAGGGTCCAGCCAAACACAACGAGGATGGCCATGCTGTTGGCGGCCAGCACGCTGCCGTTTCCACCCATGATGAAGCCATAAGGGCGTTGCTGCAGGAGGTCACGGAGGAGGTGGGGGTGTAAAGAGAAGGGAAGGTGGGTGAGGCGAGCGCATGCAGGGGTGCAGGCGAGGCGGTGCAGGCGTGAAGAGTAGGCAGCTCACCGAGCCGTCTGGCATGGTGCCATACACATCAGTGACCATGCCGGGGGCAGAGAAGGCGCCACCGGCCAGCAGGCCCCAGACACCGCAGCCCGCATGCACTGCGATGGCATCCAGGGGGTCGTCGATCTGCAACAACGGCGGCAGGTGCACAAAGCACCAAAGGTGCGAGGTTGGGCTGGGGCAGATGATCAGCTAACCACAGGACAGACCAGCCTGGAGGGTGCTCACCTTGAGGACATTGAGGTTGACCTTAGAGGCCACGAAGTAGACAAAGCCCCCGATGCCGCCGATGATGAAGGCCGCCCAGGTGTTGACAAAGCCGCAGGGGCCGGTGATGGACACCAAGCCCGCCAGCGCGCCGTTGCCGGCGATGATCAGGTCCCACACAACCACACCTGCACATGCGGAGGCACCAAATCTGTGATGATGTTTGCAGGGGGGGAGGTGGGCGCACTGCCATGCCTCGATCAGCGAATCAATTTGCAGACTGCGCCGAAGCCGAATGGAAGGCAAGCCACGCACCCAGGGTGAAATACTGGTAGGCCATGGCGATGAAGAGGGTGCAAATGGTGCCGGCGGCAGCGCCCACAGTGGTGTTGATGGCCACGGCAATGGCGACCTTGGAATAGTTTTCGGAACCGGTAAGAGAGAACGCAACAGCAGAGCCGGGGTTGAAACCTGCAGGGGGTCGATGCGTGGTGCAGGTGAGGGGGCACGCACCGAGGTGGAGGTTGTGCAAGGATGCCGTGCTAGAAGCGCGACTCACTCACGCAGCTCGGCAAACATAGCACGAACTCACCGTACCAGCCGAACCACAGCAGGAAGACACCAAGCAGAGTCAGGGAGGCATTGTGGCCCGGCATATCAACCTACAAGGGAAAACAGAAAGGAAAGGGCTGAGAGTGAGCAAGCTCATCGCACACTGCTCAACGCTCATTGCCCTATATCCCACCCAGCCGCAGGACTCTACTGCCGCCCGCGCCCCGCCCCATCTGGCCGCTTGCGCGCCCCATCCCCCCTCGATGGGGCCCGCCCACACCGGGGCCTCCCCCCTCCCGCCCACTGCTTTCTCAACGGCCCCGAGCCGGGGCTGCCCTCATTGCATACATAGTGCGCCTTTCCCTGCTTTTCTAGTGACCTAGCGTTCCGCACTGCCGTTTGGCCAGCCCATGCTCCCGTACCGTTGCGTTTCTCCCCAATGCGCCATGCCACTTTGCCAGTCATACACACGTTTCGATGCGTGCCCTGTCAGCTGCTTGCGTTGCATGTCGCCTTGCTCCACCCCTGTTTTATTGCTTTCTCTGCTTTCGCCCGGTTCCCGTCCCGTTTCGGCGGGGAGTCTATGTTGCAAGCTAGTTCTTGCTTTACCAGACTTTAAGCCCACACAAGCAAGCAAGCAAGCAAGGGCAGCCCACAGCACACATTCTGGGCACAATGGGTTGCTGGCCGCATTGCACACAAACTTACCGGGTTGCCTGCGGCGTCAAAGCGGCCAATGCGGGGGCCCAGGACCCAAGCGGCAGCCAGGGACGCAACGCCACCAACCTGTGTCGAGCAGGGACGAGCCAAAGTGAGCGTTGCGGCCCTCGGTGCAGCTGGCAGTGCAGGGCGGGCCGTAAGCAACCCGCCTTACCATGTGCACAGCGGCATCGCCAGCAAAGTCGTAGACGCCGGAGCCGGCAAAGTAGAGGTACGACTGCTTGGCGGCGGTGGCCTCAGACCTCCAGGGGGACAGCCAGCCGCAGGTGGACCACATCCAGTGGGCGACCACGGGGTAGACAAACATCACAATCATGAGCTCGTACAGCTGCAGGGACAGAGCAGGGGCTCAGTGACGGCGGTGACAGGCAGGTGCAGCTGCGAGGCAGGCAGGCAATCAGCACGATGCAAGTGGCGTGGCTAAACACCTAGGGACGGTGGTCACTCACCATGTAGGCCTCGAACTTGCAGCGCTCGGCCACGGCACCGGACACAATGGTGGCGCCGGTGGCAGCAAAGGTGAACTGGAAGAACCTGCTCATGGGAGGGCGGGGGATGAAGCGGGTTCAGTCGGGGCACGTGGGGCGGCAGGACATGAGGCGAACGAGGGGCGGGAGTGGGGGTGCAATGTGCAGGGCAGGCGGGGTGGGCCGCACCAGAGCCAGAAGCTGGAGCGTGGCAGGTTGGACTGGGCAAAGAAGCGGTTGCCGATGAAGGCCTGGCTCGCCGACAGGCCAGGGATGGGGTCGCCTGCCTCGCACTCCAACAGGGCAGGGCCCTCCAGACCGCCGCAGTGCTCGAAGGGCACGGGGTCGCCGAACGCAAAGGCGAAGCCGGTGAGGTACCAGGCGCAGCAGCCGAAGCAGGCATCCAGGATGTTGAGGAGGATGATGTTCTTGGCGTTCTTCGACCGCACGCTGCCGGCGCACAGCATGGCGAAGCCGGCTTGCATGAAGAACACCAGGTAGCCCGAGAACACGGTGAAGTAATTGTTGACTGCAGGCAGAAGGAGGGGCAGGCAGACCAGGTCAGGGGAGCAGCTGCAGAGCACGGATGCGTCAGAAGGCGAGGCACACTGCTCAAATGAAGCAAAATGGTGACCCACCATCGGCCACGAGAGTGGTGCCCACGTTGGCCTCAATCAGGGCCTGCAGATAGTGGGGGTGAGCCGCTCGGCAAGGTCAGCGGCGGCGGCGGCACTGTTGTGGCTGCGTGTTCCAGAGGCACCGCCCGCCTGAGCGGCACATGGGCACGGTCATGCCATCTGTTCCTGATTTAGCCGCAGAGAGCGGCAGCGACTGGGGCAATAGTACCCCACGTGGGGGTCCCAAGCCCTAGCAGAGCCAGAGGCAAAGGGGGCCCCGGGGCGCCAAAGGCCCGCGCCGACGTCCTCTCACCAGGCCGCCCAGGCCCAGCGGGGTGCCCCTTGTGGGACCCTGTGCGCTGGGGCTCGCCAACGAATGCCCTAGCAGGGTGGGCAAAGTGCGGCCTGCGGGCCTGCTTACATTAACTTCAGCGGCCATCGCCTCGGTAAGCACGGGGGCAACGTCCGCCATGGTGCCCAGCTGCTTGTAATCGTTGGGCGCCGCCGCGGATTAGGGCTCTCTACTCCTCCACGGCCAGGAAAGGTTTGCCACTCCCACGCTGCTCAGACAGTCTCCAGACACAAGCTGTTACACAGGCTCCTAGCAGAATGGAGAAGTGTTTGGCAAGAGCCTGGGACAAAAAAATTTGGGCTCACTTCATGGGTTCACCAAACCCTGCACCTGTGCACGCTGTGCGAAGAACTATTTGAGCACCTGGCTGTTTCTTCAGGAGGAGACACGGGCCTAGCTTTGAAAGGCTGCAGTCCAACCCAGTGGTTGCCTTGGCTTTGGTTCTTTGCTGCTGCTTGCATCTGTGTCTGTCCGAACAAAAGCAAATGAAGGCCTGTGATGCAGCGTGCAAGACGCATTGGGCAGGGTGGGGTTCCCAAACCGCCGGCTGCGCAGCACCTTCTGCGACCCCTTGGGCGCCCAAGGTGTGTTCATAGTCTCTCAAATGGCTCTCTCTGCCACAAAGTGCATGTACGCCTTGTGGCATGGGCAGTGGCGTAGGAGTTGTTATACCCGCACCGGTGCTGGAGCCCGCGTCGTGACAACATGAAAATTGTTCCAACGGGTCCAGTGGCGGCAGCAGAACCAGGGGCCCACCGGGCCCCGCCTGCACAGCACGGGTCAGCGCAGGGGTCGGAGCAGCATTCTGTGGTTTGCAGGCAGAGAAGCAGAGCAGATAGAGGTCCAGACTGTGCTGTGACGCGAGGGATCCAGGCTGCAACTGCTTAAACGGTGCAAGGCTCAACCTGTCAAGTGGTTTGCTTGACGCAAGGTCTTTTTTATGCTTGATCAGGCCAGCAGCTGCTCCAGCTGCATGTGTACTTGCCTGCAGCCCATGGCCCACAGCGCTCCAGACCAATGCCTGATCACAGCTTCACGATCTCGAGCCGGGCAGCCGCCTGACTGGCAGGCCACGCATCTCTAGCGCCTGTGCAAGGCCGCCAGGCAGCCTGTCTGCCTTGAGGGCCCGGTACCATCGCACCAGAGCCGCGGCATCTGCGCATGTCAACCCGGTGCCAGGGGCTGCGGATGTGCTGCTGCTGCTACTGGCCAGGGAGGTTGCCCCCGGATGCCCGTCTGATGGCTGCGCTGCTGGCTCCGGCTGGTGCCCTGCCACGATCCTTGATAGAGCCTCGGCGGCCATGGTGGCAGCGCTACTGGCAGGTGCCAGCGCCAGCAGCGCATATGTGGCTGGCAGCCCAAGGCAGCTGATCAGTGCATCCAGATCTGCTAGCCGCTGCCTCCACCATTGCTTCCGCTGGCTGGGTGCCAGCCCCAGCGCCTCCAGCTTGGCAGCACTACAGGAGGTATGAAGCATGGTGCAAGTCGCTGCCACAGAACCTGGGCACTGCTGCTGCAAACATCAAGGCACCATCTCAAGCTCGCCAAGTTATGGTTCAGCCGCCGAGCACCACTGCAGCCCAGCAAAGCTGAGAGGGCCACCCACCGATCTGGCGCCAGCCGTCCATCCTGCCACTGCCGCAGCTGAAAACGCCCCCACGCAGCCAAGCCATCGTCTGCAGGGAGTGGCGTGCTTAGCAGATCGCCACCACGCTGCTGTCGCAGCGTGTGCAGCTGGGCATAGCGGCGGTCCCACCGGCCTTCCATCGGCGCAAACTCAAACCTGCACCATGGCCGGCGGGGGGCTCGCAGGAAAGCGAGGTCAGCAGTCCACAGGAGATGAAGTTGCACAATGCAGGGAGTCAGCAGCAGGCAGCGCCGGCTGTGTCGCGACAGGCAACACGAGCAATTCGAATCGCACCCGCAGCTCAGAAGGCGGCTCAGCTGTGAGGGCGTCAGTGAAGCGCCCTGGTCACCGCGCCACCGCCGCCGCTGCGTCATCACCCAAGCCGCTAGCCGCGGGTTGGGAGCCCACTGGAATGGCACATCCGTGTGCCCAAACTCCTGCGCAGCACCGCGAGGTGCTACTTCAGGCAGGGGGCGGCAGGGCTTCAGCGGGAAGGGCTCCCAATCAAAGCGAGGCAGGCAAAGCAAGCTTGATTCACCCCCAAACCTCACAACTCGCCCTCAACCCCAGCTTACCACTCCACGCTCCCACTTTTCCATCGCCTACCTCTCTGAAGTCCAGCAACTCTGCAAATCGCGCGTCCCACCCACTTTCGTGCACTTGAAACACAACGCCCAGGCCCTCCAACCGCCGTCGCCGCTCGTCCGCCAGCGTGCCCTCCCGCCACTGATGCAGCTGCGCTTGCAGCCAGCGGTGCAGCCCAGGGTAGCGGTGCTGCGCCCACGGTGCACGGGGCACGCGGCAGTGGCCATGGTCAGAGTGGAATGCGGCCAGCTGTCGGAACTGTGCAGCCCAAGCATCCTGGAAGGCGTCGCAGCAAAATCCCAGCGCCGTCAGCTGGCGCTGCCGACTTGTGGGCAGGTGGCCTGCTTTCCAGGCATGCCGCTGCTGCGCCACCCATGCGCCCAGCCCTGCGCATACGCACGGTCGCAAAAAGTCGTGTGCAGGCCAGCGGCGCCTGCTGCAGGGTTCCCAGCTGATTTTCAAGGGAAACAGGCCAACCCATCACCTGAATGCATGCTGACAGGGACACGGGTGTGAGCATGCTCCTGGTAGAAGAGCTCCAGCTGGCGGCAGCGCTCCTCGAACGAGATGCGCCGGCGGTGACTGCCGGCGTGCGAGGGGGCCGCGGCAGACTGTCTTGGGGCACGGCTGGCCGCGTCCGCTGCCCTCGCCGATTGTCTTGCGCTGCTCTTTATCCACAAGCCCCAAGGCCGATGGCTAACACCGGCGGGATCTCCTCTGTGACCGACCAACCAAGCTCCCCGCGCTATTTCTATCATTTCAACTTGGGGAGGTGCGCGCACTGGCACCTTTCGTGCCGTACTTGCATACGGCGGCGGCGCAGGCGGGACAGCCGCCTTGGCACAGCCGCCATGCGGCCGACCTCGACTCCTTGCCAGGGTGGATGTTGTCATGCTGGATGGTTCATACTCAATGACAGTGTGCAAGACTTGTAGCATTCAGCGAAGGGAGCTCGAGAAGCCAGACGAAGAAACTACCTCACGACAGCACCCATGGGCGGAATGAGCGCTAGCTCACAGAGGCGTGTCAGCGCAGAAGCAGCAGCCGTACACGCGAGATGACAGGCTGCGCACGGGTTCCAGCCTGGCCAGCGGTGGCCGCAGCGCTGGCGACAGCAGGTCGCCACCCAGCGTGGCCACCAGCGGCACAGCCTTGGCCAGCGGGAGCTCCCGATCCCCCATGCTGCTACCCAGCCGGTGGGAGGCCACCTTGAGCACCTCCTTGGAGCACACCTGCAGCAGGAAAACATGCACATACTGGCGGGAAGGTAGGCACAGCATGCTCAAAACACTGCTGCATGTGTGCTCTGCCGCCGCTCATGTGTGCGTGCACCTGCACCGTGGTGACCCACCATGGTGCAACAGGCCTCAACACCCACAATAAACATGCAAGCCCAATTGACACACCTGCAGCGCCGCTGCAAACTCATCGCCGCTAGCCACCGCCTCTGCCTCTGCCGCCAGCTGCTCCACCACATGCCCATCCACGAGCATCGCCTCCGCCCCAAGTAGCACCGCTCGGTCATCAGGGGCCCGCGGTGTCAGCGATTCTTGCAGCGACTTAGGATCAGGGAGCAGAAACTGCGCCCAGCCGCGCCCTGCGATCGCGGCCGGGATCTGGTCCGCAAATGCCGCTGCTATGCCGGCCATCAGCTGCTGCACCTGCGCCGCACTAAGCGATTCTGCCAGCGGCACATGCGCCAACTGCGTCACTGCTACACGTCGCAGCACTCCCACCAGCTCTCGTGTGCCCTGCTGCGACAAAAACTCGGCAAAAGACAGAAACCGCTCCTGCGATGGGGCTGACAGCTTGGGCACGCCCAACGGCCGTTGCACGCCGCTGCACAGGTGACCAGGCAGGAGCAGCAGTGGTGGGGTCCATGCAAGATCCGTCAGCCTGACATGTCATGCACACCGGCGGCGGGGAGGCAGTTGATCATGTCCAACCCAGTGGATGCACACCCGCCCGCCGCACACCCGTCCGCGCAAGGAGCCAACTCACCTGCCCTCCACGGCTGACTCGAGGTATAGGTGCCTGCCCAGGATGTTGAGCTGCACCCGCACAAACAGATCCAGCAGGGGCAGCAGCCAGGCCGCGCCCACCGCACGGCTGAAGGCAGCCACCTTGAGCTCCTCCCACGTTGCGAGCTTCTCAGCCTGCGAAAGCGGCGCGCTGCCTTCCTTGGCTCGTCTGCAGGCAAGTGGGTGCCGCGGCATGGCTGTGCATGTCAGGCCCGCACATACGCTGGCAAGAAAATTGGCCAAGCTTGGCTGCATTATTGCACACACACAGCAGTGCACCACCCAGCCGTTGCTGCACAGCAACACAGCAACCTGCCAGCAGCACACCACCGTAGAGCACACGGGAGACGGGCATAGCGCACCGCAGAAGTTCGAGCGGCGTCTCCACATCAGCCGCTGCCATCAACGCGCGGGAAAGCGCCGGTAGCAGCGACGGCAGTGTTGTGCTGTCTGCAATGTCCTGTATGCTGTCAAAGTGGTGCTGTAGATGCGCCTCCGCATCCTGCGCAACGCCAGCGGAGCACCGCACGGCGCAGCAAACATGCGTCATGGAGACTGGCTGATCATTACGTCCGAGCAGGCTGGATGTCGCTGAGGACAAAAGAATAGCAGTGGCACTGTGTTTTGCATGGCTGATTTACCAGCTGGGCGGCGCCGGCGCTGCCGCGAGGGTCCAGCAGCACGCTGCCCTCTTGAGGATGCGAGCCTGAGCTAGAGGGCCCTGCCTCGCTCGTTTCGGCACTCTCTGCGTACCACCACTTGTAAAGCGTGTACGCTGCTGCGCTGCCTGCTGCTCCGGCCGCTGTCAGGCCCAGGATACGGCGCCGGTTCCTGCACAGGCTAGGAGCGGGCAGGGGTGTCGGCAACGACCGCCGTGGCACCGCCCCTGGTGCCGCCTGGTGGGCTCGAGCACCGCGAGGCTCCGCACCTTCTCCAGCTCTCCATTGCAAACTAAATAGAGGTGAACCTGCGCCCTCGAATCGAATCGCCTGGCAGTCGTTGTCAGCCACTCAACTAGATCGATCGGGCTTTGCAAATTGGCGTGCAGAAGGGAGGTGCAAGGAAGGAAGGTGATTTTGGCCTGCAGCCGGCTGGCGGCTTTCGAGAAAGCCCCTCTCGCCACTAGACTTGCAGCCTTCGAGTTAAGCAGAATCGCTGGAGTTGGCACAAAATCCGAGAGGAGCGCAGCAGGGTCTGGGCACTACCTCCACCTGCAAGGTGGCACCTGCCCCGCTCGCGAGCCCTGTGTTTGCCCCGCTCATCTTCCCCCGTGGTCGGGCATCGATTGCGCCCCAAGCGACTCGCTGGTGAGGGTTCTCTGCAGTCTGTTGCATTGCGTTCAGCGCCTGTGATTGGCCAACAACTGTGTTGACGGTGTAAAGGGCAAATCTGCCGAGAAGCAGGTTTGTGAGGCGGCCGAAGAGCGCCCAGCCCCACAAACTGCCGCCCCGCCCGCACGGCTCAATGGACTCCACGGCGGCGGCGGCGGCGGCGGCGGTGCGAGCTTTTTACGACTTCTTGAACGCAAAGGACGCCGAGGGACTGTATGGCCTCCTGGCTGAGAACATCGAATGGGATTGCAATGAGATTGCCACCAGTGCGCAAAAGGTGCACCGCTGCATTCTGAAGTTGTCCGAGTCAGTATGGGCGCCCAGCAGGAGTGGGCGCCCAGCAGGAGTCAGATGACATCAGCTGGGTTATCTTACCCAGCTAGCTGCTAGATGATGCTACCTTACCTTAACACCATAAATGCTCCTTGGTCTGTTGTGTGCAGGCAGGCGTACCCTGGCTGCAGACGGCGAGTGGCAAGCAGGCACTTATTGAGATGTCGGCCAAGGGGGCTGCTGTGGAGCTGGACACCAGCAAGTTTCAGTTCTGCCTGAAGCAGGTAGGGGTCCGTCAGCGCACCTCCTTCCTAGTTTTTAAGTGGCAGCCCTTGTTGTTGTTTTTGTGATTTTTTTAAAGCAGGTGTTTGTTTTACAGCAGGTGGTGGTGGACGGTGATGCTGCATTCTCAGTCTCAGAGACGACCATCGCCTGCAGGCGAACAGGTGGGAATGAGGAAGGCTTGTTGGTGGTTACGTGGGCATGCAGGTGTAATGCCTTCTTCTCCAGCTTTGCGCCCCATGCCTTCCTTCACAGGCAAGAGCGTGCGGACCGAGAATGTGCACCAGGTTTGTGCTGCTTGTGGGCTATTGAGCATGGTGCAAGCAGTGGGCTTGTTCTGAGCCATGCAATGTCTGCTATTAAGTCAGCAGTTGCTGCGGTACAGTTTGGGTTTGATGCTGCGGGCAAGATCAGCAAGTTCCGGCACTGGGTGGACACAGGTGGGCTGGTTAGTCGTGCATTTGCGAGGGGCAGCCCCCCTTTGGTTGGTGTTTTGCCTCCATCCGCTCCCGGCTAGGTTGCAGGAGCGCACGTATACGTGTGGACACCTGACGAGCAGATGCCGGCAGCTTGGGCAGCCATGGGCACCGAGGGCGCCGGCGCCATCGACAGTTAGGCGACCCCTTCCCCTCGATGGCTCGGTTCACCATCAACCCAAAGAGAGAGAGATCGGGAACCAGACAACCTGGCTTTGTTTACTTCGGCAATTTATCATGCTGCAACTAGTGGTTGCTTCCCGAGTTTTGCTGTTAACTCGGTAGCAGAGGATGAGAGTGGGCATGCAGCAGCACGCACCACTTCAAGACGTGCCGGGCGCCCATGGCAGCACAATGCTTTCATTTCACATGCATTTATATGTATTCGCATCACATCGCAAACCGAGGAGAGGTGATAGGTGCAGGCATTGGCGCCAGCAATGAAGACGGTGCACAGCCAGAACGATTGGTGGGATGCAGGGCATACCTAGTTATAGAATAGAGGTGCATGGGAGCCTTCTTCCTGAGTTTGCAATCTGGGCAGGGACGAGCTGGCGCCGTGCGGGGATGACGTGGCGCACACCGCCACCTCAACCCCCGGTGGTGAACACAGCTAGCATCAGCTTAGCGATCGGCTGAGGATGGGCGCTCGTTTACATTGGTATTGAGCACCGCCAAACAAAAGTGTTTAGGAGGCGGCCAATGCTCATCGCTTTGGCTTACTTGTTTGCCGCAGCCAGTATAGCTGCTGTCATGCTGAAGCTGAATTGGTCGAGGCTCGCATGGTCCCGGAGCCGGCCGCCTGCTGCCGCCAGGTGCGGTCCCAGTGGTAGCCCGGGCCGCCTGCTACCGCCAGGTGCATGCTGCCGCCGGCCGGGCTATGGCCGTGCTGCCAAGGGGCCGCATCAGTCAGTGCTCATCAGACTCGTACCATGCAGGTATGTGCCCTGGGAGGTGGCCAAGGATGCCAAAAATGATAGCGTGCTGGTAGTCGACTGCACCCACACAGGCCTCCCCACCATGACTCACCACAAGGGCCACCGCAACCCGCCGGGCGGCTGCAGCGACTGCAGCACGGGGCTTGTGCTCGATGCGCTGGCCGCCACCGGAAGCCTCGGTGCAATGGTTGCACCCTGGCTCGTCAAGCCGGCTGTCAGCGTGAATCACTTTGACGCTGATGCGGTGCTGTCGCTCTGGGCGTATTGCCATCAGGACACTGCGCTGGAGCATAGCGCGCTGCTGCGACATGCAGCGCGCATTGGGGATCTGCGCGAGGCAGGCTTGGGCAGCAGCCCTGAGGCGCTGGCGGCAAGGAGCTGGGACGGCGTGACTTCAGAAGAGCAGGTGCACCACGCGCTAAAGCTATGCTGCTGGATTAACACCATAGAGCGAACACGGTTCTCGCCTCCGTACGGTGAGGCATTACTAACCTGAGGGGTGGTGATTACACATCAAAAGACATCCGAAGATGGCAAACCATGTATTGAGGAACCACACTTCCTCTTTCTGCTCTTCAGTGGACAAGGATGCAGATGCCAAGCATGTTTATTTCCTAGAGCGCCTGGCGGCAGCGCTAACCACGGAGGGAATTGCGGAGCTGCGCCAGGTGACAGGGCGCGTTGCAGCGCGTGTATGTGTGTGTCTGCTGGTCGTCTGCCTGAGCATGCATTGCATATCTGTCGCACCTGGCCCTTGTTGTGCTGTGGTGGTGCTACGTGCAGCATCAATCAGGCTCTCTTGATGCAGATCAGCGAGTGCTGCTACATGCAGGAGTGGGAGGAGGATTACAGTTCGGTGCTGGCTGGCTGGCAGCTGATGGAGGACATGCGACCCAACTCGGTGCACCGACACGACAACCTTGGCATGGTCGTTCTTCGGCCGGCCCGACCTTTGAATTACTACTCTCTTTTCAGCTTCGCCATTGGTGCTGACACAGTGGTGACTGTGCTGCCGGGAAACCGATATGAGGTGGAGAGCAGGTAGGTGGGCGGCTGGGTGGACCGGGGGTTGAGTAAAGGCAGTGGATGTGCTACCTGATGCATGGGTTCATTGACATCACAACCAAACTTCTCCTCTCCTGCCTCATGTTTGTGCAGGTACACGCAGTTTGTGAGCCTCTTTAGTCGCCCTGTGCAAGCTCGCTTGGACCTGGGGCCTCTGGCCAAAGCGCTTAACAGGCGCGCTCCGCCTTCCATCCATGAAGCTATTGTGGGGGGGCTGGGCAGGGAGGCTGATGTTTGCAAAAGTGTTGACAATTGGCTGCTGACTGTTGACTGGCACTCGCTACCTGGCCGCTGGCTAGCTTCCTGCAGGGTTGACACTGGGCGTGAGGAGGGAGTGCAGTGGGCGTCCAACAGCTTGGTCGACACCGGGCCTCTCCTGCGGTGAGCACTGCACCATTTGCATGGTGGCACGCAATGCATGACAGAGCTTATCTGCACTTGCTTCACCACCACTTGCTATGCCAAGGCTGCTGTCCCCCCCCCCACCCACACACACACACACACCCACCCCACCCACTCCCCACACACGCACACGCACACAGGCTTGAAAGGGATGGTGACAAACTTTCCAAAGCACAACGGTATGGGCAGCCTAACGAGCGGCTGCACTACCGTTCCGGCCTGCCGCCTGCCATCTTTGAGGCCGTGGTGTGTAGCTACCATCACCATGGCTTGCGCGGCACACAGCCCAAGGTTGGGGGGTGGAGCTGGGAGTTGCTGCAGCAGCACAATGCCAGCATAGACTGGGCCGCCTGGGAGCGTGACGTGCTGTCGGGCGTGTTGGCTGGGTGAATATGTTGCGCATTGCAGAGGCCCAGTGCCCTCCAAAACATTCTGCATAACTAATAGTACAACTTTCATGGAACCAATTTGGGCGATTTCTTGCTAGAGGCATTCCAGAGTGACGTACAACTGTTAGAGAGGGTATGTCTTGTACAGGAGAGCAAACGCACTGAAACGGGATCAGTGTGTTTGTTGCACAACCAAAAGGTGCAGCACCGCGATGCGACTGCTCCTCCTGAAGGCCTAACGGAAGTAGTTGCGTGCCAGCTGTCGCACTTTCTGGTGGAACAATGGTGTTGTGATCTTGCTGGATGCGGTGTGGAAGGGGTTGAGCAGCACCTGTAGGGGCATGAGAATGAGCATCGAGCAAAGTTCAGGGCAGGGGCCATCGCTGTGGCTGGCGTGCTCCAAGCTGGATGGCCATGCAGCGGATCAAAACTGCCGCACACTGCTGACTGTTTGTAGTGCACCTACCCGAAGGTACAGCTCATACACGTCCTTGAAGAAACTCTTCACCAGATCGTCGCTGCGACCGTCATGCAGCAGCAAAAACTTGACGTGCGCGGCGGTGGTGAAGGCGGACACCTGGGCATGTATCAGGGGAGGGGCGCCGAGCGGTATGGGCAGGGTGGCAGCACAGAGTGAATGCGGCAGCGGCGCAGGGTGGAGTGGTGCAAAAGCACCCTACCCAGCCCGCTTTGTCCTGCCCACCTGCAGGTTGTTGAAGCGGTCCACAACCCCAAGGTGCATTGAGCTGGAGTGCCACTCTGCCTCCTCCACCGCGTCCAGCGCTGCGTGCAGCACAAAGTGGTACAGATACTGCGGCCGCTCCTGCACAGAAGTGATGCCAGGCAAGGGTAGGGCGGAGCGGTCTGGGCTGACGAGCAGCCAGAGCGGTCTTGTTCGCGTTCACACTGCTGTTACCCGGCGGGTGCGCACCTCCCGCCCGCCGGCGTCTGTCGACTTGGCGCTGAGGTCCGCCTCGTACAGTGGCACATCCTCGGCCCCCACGATCACCATTTGCAGCACCGACATGGGTGCAACGCCCGCACCCCTTTAGTGCGGTTTTCAATGTGCTGTAGGGAGCTTCATCGCGCAGGGCTGGATCTCTGAAGCCTGCACGCCTGCCGTGCATTGCTCGCAAAGAAGCGTTTTAAAGAGAGCGCGCGTCAGCAGGACAAGAGGCGGTACGCGGGTATTTTTTGGCCGGCGCAGACTCCCAACATTGTTGCAAGGAGACTGCTGCTCCTGCTGTGCCGGCGATCCCACAGGCAGCCAGATGGAACGGCGAGGCGGGCCATCGGCGCTTGCAGCCGTGCTAGCAGCCGTTTTGGTCGGCCAGGCGGCCGCCTTCTACTTGCCAGGCACGTACCGACCACTTGCAGGGCCGCTGGAAGCAGGCTGAGTGCCACCGCTTGCTGCTGTTGGGCAGGGGCGCAGCCCGCAGGCTCGGCTAACTGGCTGGCCCTATTGGCTGCAGGCGTGGCGCCGCAAGATTTCAAGAAAGTGAGGAGCTGGAGCCGGGGGGCGGCTCCACACAAACTGTAGCAGCTCGAAGTTTGGTTGCGAACCCTCGGCTGAGCAGGCCAGGGCCTCTGGGGGCGGCCACTGTGGCACCGTGGGCGATTCGCCCCGACCACAGCCGATCACCCAGCCCACCCGCATGCGCGTCCTCCCGCCGCTGACAACACGCCCACGCCTGCCCCGCCCCGTGCGTACCCACGCTGCAGGGCGACCCCATCACCCTCAAAGTAAACAAGCTGATGTCAGTGAAGAACCTTCCGTATGAATACTTCTCGTTGCCCTACTGCCGCCCTGAGAAAATCATCAGTTCGGCGGAGAACCTTGGCGAGGTGCTGCGCGGCGACCGCATCGAAAACTCGCCCTACACGGTGCGCGCCCATGCGGCGCAGATGCGGGGTGTCTGCAGGCTGCGCCCGGCAACCCAGGTCTCCAGAACTTGGCGGCAGCGGCAGGGAAGGCGAGGGGAGGAGCAGAATGGCGGTAGAGGTCTCTGTTGGGTCAAGTGTGCAGGGTGGAAACATGGCGTTTCACGTCCTCACCCTATTCTGCGGGCTTCCTGTCGCCCCTGCCATTGCTGCACTGGTACGTGCAGGCCAAGTTCCGTGTGAACCAGCACTGCAAGGTGCTGTGCCGCATCGCGTCGCTGAACAAGGCACAGGAGAAGGCGTTCAAGAGCCGCATCAGCGACGAATACCGCGTGAACATGTGCGTGGGAGAGGGAACGCAGAGCAGTAGCCCAACAATGGAAGGAGGGATTGAAACAGGGCGTTGCTGCATGCTGCCCCCCTCGTGCATGTACAGCTGGCAGTATTGCGGTTGAGATTAGCACCACCAATCCCATCTCCACCTGTTGCAGGATTCTGGACAACCTGCCCATCGGCATGGTGCGCATGCGTGAGGATGACGGAGAGCAGATCAAGACTTATGAGCGCGGCTTCCCCGTGGGTTTTATGGACGTGAGCCAGGCTGCCTGCACCTGCTCTCGTGCTTCCACGTGCCTGGTGATACACGATGTCCAGCCACCGTGCCTTGTGCCTTTCCAGGCATCTGCTACTTACGTGTGTGGCTGGCGGCATGCATGCGCTGCCTCACGTCCCACTGCAGGACCAGGACCGCACATACCTCAACAACCACCTCAGCTTCACCATTCTGTACCACAAGGACGCTGAGACCGACCTGGCGCGCATCGTGGGCTTCGAGGTGGAGCCATACAGTGTGCAGCACAAGTACAAGGGAGAGTGGGATGCGGAGGGCACCACCAAGCTGACCAGCTGTGACCCGGATGAGAAGAAGTATGTGACCGACAAGGGCCCTCACCAGCTGGTGTCAGAGGGCAAGGAGGTGCGCATGGTGCAGGGCTTCGGCGGGTGGGAGTGGCTGATTGCAAGGGGACACAGCCATTTGGGCAGATTGTGCTGCTTTGCTTTTACAATTCACTTTTGCCCTGCACCTGCATCACGGCTCTTGCCCTGCGCTCGTGCACCTGCTGCGCAGGTAATCTTCACGTATGATGTGGCCTTCAAGGCCAGCGACATTCGGTGGGCCTCCCGCTGGGACACCTACCTGCTGGCCACTGACGACCAGGTGCACTGGTTCTCCATTATCAACTCCCTCATGATCGTCCTCTTCCTCAGGTGCGTGGTTAGGTGGGAGGTGGCTGGCGCATCCTTGCATATTTATTGACCCGCCAATCAATCTGCTTGTTGCACTGCCCAGCTTATAGAATTCCTTTGCGCGTCCCCAAATGCAGCGGCATGGTCGCCATGATCATGATGCGCACGCTCCACCGCGATATTTCCAAGTACAACCAGCTGGAGACGGCTGAGGAGGCGCAGGAAGAGACGGGGTGGAAGCTGGTGAGGTGCTATTTTTGTGATGGTGGTGCTGCTGTTGCTTGCGTTGGAGCCGTCCGTCCCCGTGCTGGTGTGGTGGCCGCAGCAGTGCTGCTTTGGTTCAGTTGCAGCATGTGCTTGCTGTTTCTCGTTGAGATCCTCTGGTCGCACATTGCATCTTCTCTTTTATGTTCATCGCACCCTACCTGGCTGGTCTGCCCTCGGGCAGGACATTGGGGTGTAATGCTACGTTGCCAGTCCTACCTGTCGCTCCTACAACTCGCTTCACCCTGTTGCTCGCACCCTGCAGGTGCATGGCGATGTGTTCCGGCCGCCCTCGCATGGGTCCTGGCTGGCTGTGCTGGTGGGCACTGGCGTGCAGCTGTTTGGTATGACCCTGGTGACGATGTTGTTTGCCACGCTGGGCTTCCTGTCCCCCGCCAATCGTGGCGGCCTGATGACGGCGGTGCTGCTGCTGTTCGTCTTCATGGGCTGCTTCGCTGGCTACTTCTCTGCCCGCCTATTCAAGACCTTCAAGGTGCGTGGGCGCACGGGCTGTTTACACTTGCGATGTCGGCTTTTTGCAGCGGAACCACAAAAGTGTGCAATCCCTTCTGTTGCTGCCTGGCCATACCGTGTCGCAGGGCGAGCAGTGGAAGCAGACCACGATCCGCACTGCGCTGACCTTCCCCGGCTTTGTCTCCGTCATCTTCCTCACCCTTAACTTCCTGGTGTGGGGCCAGAAGAGCAGCGGCGCCGTGCCCTTTGGCACTCTCTGCGCGCTGGTCTTCCTCTGGTGCGGCATCTCCGTGCCGCTCTGCTTCGTGGGCAGCTACTTTGGCTACAAGAAGCCGGCGCCAGAGGTGCAGTGGGTGGCAGGCGGGGCATGCAATCAGCGCAAATGCGTATTGGGCCGCCCACAGCTTCCATCATTGCCTGACAGGGCTGGGCCTCCCTCTGTTTGCCTCCCCGCTGCCTCGGTGCAGGACCCAGTGCGCACCAACAAGATCCCGCGCCAGGTTCCGGAGCAGCCATGGTACATGCACCCCGCCTTCTCCATCCTCATTGGCGGCATCCTGCCCTTTGGCGCCGTGTTCATCGAGCTCTTCTTCATTCTCACCTCCATGTGGCTCCACCAGTTCTACTACCTCTTTGGCTTCCTGGCCCTGGTGTTTGTCATCCTGATCATCACATGCGCCGAGATCACCATCGTGCTGGCATACTTCCAGCTCTGCTCTGGTGCGCCACTGGGGCTGTAGGGGGTGTGGCATGCAGGAGTGGCCCGATCGGGCGTGTGTCGGTGAAGCTCTGGCAATGGCACAGCCTCTGCTCTACCACCCCTTTTCCCCTGCCATCCGCCGCCGTGCAGAGGACTACCACTGGTGGTGGCGTGCATACCTTACAAGCGGCTCCAGCGCGCTCTACCTCTTCCTCTATTCCCTGTTCTATTTCTACACCAAGCTGGACATCACCAAGCTTGTTCCCGCGCTCATGTACTTCGGTGAGCTTAGCAATGAGTTGTGGATGTGTGGCGGAGGGTGCACCCGGCCCACAACCCGCGCCTGCTTTGTTTCAACTGTGCAGGCTACATGACAATCGTGTCGGCCACCTTCTTTTGCCTCACCGGCACGATAGGCTTCTTTGCAACTTACACCTTTATCCGCAAGATATATGGTGCCGTCAAGATTGACTGACCTAGCCGTGGGATTACTATGAAAATGGTGGCCAAGCCACACACCAATTTCACAACACTGCTACAGGCTGGCAGGGCGTGGGCTTGGCCTTTCGCTGGCCCGCGCCCCACAGCAGTGCTCTTAGAATTCCTGCAGCGGCCATGGCTGCCCGTGGGCTGCCAGACCCCCCCTGCCACCTTCTCTGTTTGCTGTTTGTTTTCGCTTGCCGCCTGCATCCCTCCCACGTTTGGCCGGCCGCCATCAAATGTGAAAGGCAAAATTGTTTGTGAAACATGAAATCGCGTTTCACATAATGACAGGCATGATCACGATCAGCAATCATGCAAGGGCAGAGGCGCCTTTTAGCAATCACTTGTCATTGTCAAAACCGCCACCGCCAGCCACCGACTTTGCCGCCTGTTGCTGCGCATTGTGGGCCAGCACGGCCTTTCGGCTGAGCTTGACCTGTCCCTTGGGGTCACGGCCCACGCACATCACCTCCACCTGCTGTCCGATCTGCAGCCGCATTGCAAGGGACAGGAACATAAAAATGCCGCAGAGTGCGATGAAGGCATGCAATCCCTGCAAGTGGCCAATCTAGGCCAGCAACAATCAACTCAGCATTCAGCCTGCCGCAGCTCTCCCTGACCTGCAGCACGTCATCAATGCTGCGCACGCGTTGCGCTGATACTTCAGAGATGTGTAGCAACGCGCGCAGCCCGCTGGGCTCCAGCTCTACCATGGCCCCAAAGTCCATCAGCCGCGTCACAGTTCCGCGGTAGACGGCGCCCTCCTGCAGGCCGCCACGACGGAGATGATGATGTGCAGGTGCGCACAAATTCGAGACACAGGAGGCAAAAGGAAGGAGGTGGCTTTGGTACTGTGGCAGGATCGGCATGACAGCATTTTTGGCGGCAGCAAGCCTGGCCTTGACGCTCTCCCCAGTCAGATCCAGGATGCGGGCCTCGGCAGCCTGATAGCCATTTTGGCTGGGCGCAAACACGTTGATGACGCCTGCACAAGGCAACATCACAGCTTCTTGGCCAGGGCCGTGCAGGAACACTACCGGAGTGCGGTGAGGCCGTGCTGGGCAGCATGCAACAGTGTGAAGACAGATCAATCAATGGCGCCATACGTTTGTGTGTGTCGCTCCCTGAATCACCCACCGTCATCACCCACATCCACCCGCACATCCAGCCGCTCCTCCATGTCCTTCAGGTTTGCGCCGCCGCTGCCAATCACGCGCCCCATCATGGCCTCCGGCACCTTCACGCTGCCAAACATGGGCGCCGAGGCACCACGCTTCTGCAGGCAGGGAGCGAAGGCCACACATCTGCAGGAACTGCCCATGTCGCAGGCCACGCCCTGCCTCGACAGTGCAGGAGGTCCCAGCACCCTCGTGGCTCAGCACCCCAGCCCAACCTCGGGTAGCGCCTTCTCCATGATGCCCAGCAGCTTGGCACGTCCACGCGCTGCCAGCCCAATGGCCTCGTTCAGAATCTCAAGGGGAACGCCACCCTGCAGCTTCACATCCAGCTGGCATGCCGTGATGCCCTGGCTCGTGCCTGCAGGCGATGCCAGCGGCAGAGATGCAGCATCATTGAGTCCCAGGACACGATTCAAAAGGCAACGGACGAGCTGCCCGGATCGCCCTCAGGCAACGACCAGCCATGCTATTCCAAAGTCTACCTGCTACTTTAAGGTCCATGTCTCCCAGCTGGTCCTCCATGCCCAGCTGGTCCAGCAGCAGCTCGTAGCGCCCCACCCTAGCCGGCGCCACGACCCCACGTGAGGTGCCCACCGCATCCACCGCAACCGAGCTCAACAGCCGCAACTCGCCGCCCCAACTGCTCTCGGTCAGCAGGCCCACAGTGACACCTGCGGTTCGGCAGGCACGCGGCGGCACGAAAACACCCCATCTGGTAAAGGTGGGCCTGATCTGGCATCTCGTTGCAGCAAGCAAGACAGGTTCCGACCTTCATAATCACCCCGTTGTTCCGTTCCCATTACTGATTCATCAGCCACAAACCCGCCCACCTGCCACCAGCGCCTTCAACGGCACCCCTGCATCTGCCAGCGCCAGCGCGCCACCGCACACCGCCGCCATGCTGCTGCTGCCTGCTGAGGCCAAGGTCTCCGCATTGAGGCGCAGGCTGAAGGGGAAGGCTTGCATGTCGGGGATGACGGGCAGCAGCGCACGTTCCGCCAGGTCGCTGTGCCCCATCTCGCGGCGCATGCCACCTGCGGGCCAGCGTTAGTGGTGGGTCGGTTTGTGTTGTAGCAGATGTCTTGTGTGCAGCAAATGGTAAGGAGCAACCGACATCATGCCAAAAAGGAGAACAGCTCCCCAACAGCATCCAGCGTGGCCGGCGCTGGCCCCCTCACTGGTTGAAGTTTCGCCCACAGCAAAGGGCGGGAAGCTGTAGTTGACAAACAAGCGCTTGACGCCCTCGCCGCCCAGCAGCGACTCCATCTTCTGCTGCTCCTGGCGGCGCCCCACGGTCACCGTGCACAGCGACTGCGTCTCGCCACGGCTGAACAGCGCCGAGCCGTGCACCACAGGCACAGAGTCCACCTCGCAGTGCACAGGCCGCACATCAATGGCACCGCGCCCGTCGCAGCGCCACCCCTCCTCCACCGCCAGCCGGCGCAGAGCCGAGGACAGCACGGCGGTGAAGGCGTGCTCCAAGTCAGCGGGGCTCACGCACCCTGAGCCTGGCACCCGGGCAAACTCAGTTCTGAAGGAGCCGTTGGCCTTGAGACGTGCCAGCACGCTGTCCTTGGCCTGCAAAGGGCGACAGCGAGTGCAGCTGTCGATGGTGAGGTGACGGATGTTGAGAGGAGCGCATCACTCGCATCACCCACAGTGAGTGTCCGTTAAGCTTCCCCAGGCAGGCTTGCACCACATGCTGGTTGTGCAATTAAAGCAAAGGCAAAGCAGCGATAGTAGTGAAGTGTGTCGCCACCTGCTGCAGTGCTATCGTCCTGGTGGACTTCGTCAGCTTATCATCCCGCAAGATCGCCTCAACTAGCGGTGTGGCAAGCTCAGCCACCTTTGGCGCCGCTGCCGGGTCGGCGCCCGACAGCTGTGTTGGCCGCGTTTGCCGCCTGCAACCATGCAGGAATAGTAAGCCAGACGGGCAAGTCAAAGTGCCCTAGGGCCAGCCTGAGAAAGCCGTGGGAGGTACGTGAATGCCGCAAGGAACTGCTACCATCTTGCCCCCCCCGCCCCAACTCACCGTGTTTGTTCTGCTAGTTGCATCTGCGGCTTAATCAGCTGCTGCGTTGTGGACACCGCCAGATGCAGCGCGTTCAAAAACTGCGTCTCAGGCACCTGCAGCAGGGGTGGTCAGTGTTCATGCTCTGCGGGGTTCAAGGTAACCTCCACGACCACTGCCACCAGCACCTCCCAGCCCGCGTGTTAAGCCAACCCCACCTGCTCCCCATCTGCCTCCAGCATCGTCACGCGGCCATCTGCGGTGGCAGCCACCAACAGGTCCAGCACCGCCGCCTCTTGCTGCTCCACCGAGGGCCCCACCACCAACTGGCCGTCATGCAGCATGGCCACGCGTGCCGCCGCCACCGGCCCGGCCCACGGCATGTCTGAGCACAGAAGGGCCGCAGACGCTGAGCTGACCGCCATCACTTCTGGATCGCAGCCGCCATCGGCGCTGAGCACGCTGGCAAACACCTGCGGGGGATGGCGCAGGAGGTGTTGCAAATGGCCGGGCAGGACCAAGCCCCCGCCCCCCCCCCCCCGCCGGGCAGCTGGTGGCCCCTGCAGTCGCCAAGCTTGGCTCTGCCCGCCTGCCCAGCTCACTGCTGCATCCAGGGCGAAGCCCTTGGGGAAGAGGGGGCGTAATGCGCGCCCAATGCGCCGCCCTGCCAGCACTTCATGCTCCTTGGCTGTCCCCTCTCGCTTGTTGTAGGTGCCGGGGATGCGGCCCACCGCATAGAGCTTCTCGCGGTAATCCACCTGTGGTGCGGCAGGGGCCAGCAGGGCAGCTACACTTGCGGGAGAAGAATGGGTGGGGGCAGGAAAGCAGTGCAGCCAACACAAACGAGGCACCCTGGAACGAAGGCAGCAAGCTGCAATCCCGCCGGGCTGCCTGCCTGCACCAGCACTTTCAAGCAAGCTGACAGCAACCGCACCTCAAACTGCAGGCTCTGCGCCTCCCGCCGGCTCCACGGCGGCAGCTGGCAGGTGGCCGCCGCCAGCACCGTGGTGTTGCCGCATTGCACCAGGCACGAGCCGTTGGCCAGCCGCGCCAGCTTGCCGGTCTCAAAGGCCCAGGTGTGGCCCTGCACTAGCGCCTCCTGCCGCAGCGCCTGCCCCATAGGGAGTGCCGCAATGGCGTCAGTTGCCATGGGCTGCTGGCCAGGGATGGCGGCTGCCGCGGTCGCCAGCGCCGCCTCCTCCTGCCCTATCGCGGGCAATTCCTCAGCCTCCCCACGTATCGCATCCTCCACATCATCTTTGAGCTTGGCCTCTGGCAGCGGTAGCTGGTCAGCCGGCACGCCACCAGCAGTGGAGCTGAAGGGGTGCAACAGGACGGCTGCAGGGTGAAACGCCCGGCCCCGTTCGCCTGCACTCAGCCACCCGGCTGCTGCCTCTCCTGCAGCAATGGCGTCGTGCCTGGGTGAGCGGCAGCAGGCGGCAGGCGGCAGCGCGGCGCGGCAGCCCAGCCAGCTGCGCTGTGAAATTCATCAGGGCTCCAACATCTGACAGCCAGGCCTCAAACTCAGCAGCTTGGTGCCCCCGCAGCCCCGCTCACGCTCCACATGCGCTGGCCAGCCCCTGGCAAGGAGCGCTGCAAACCGCCTGCCGCCTGCCGCGCGGCTCATTGCTTCCTGTATTGTAGCAGCTCAAATCATGCGATCAGCTGGCCACCAACGCTAGCAGATTAAAGTAGCGCGATTGCCCGTTGAGCGCATTGATGCACTTGCAGTCGTATGAACGAACGGCCAATAATAAGGAGGAGAATGCATGCAAGGGTCCCGACCGCATGATGATGCATGCCAGGCAGTACAGCGAGCCGAGCGCCGTGCTCACCCGAATTAGTCGGCGTACTTTGCATTTGCAGCGATCGATTTGACCACAAGAAGACTAGCACCGTTCTCTGCTGCTCCTGTGCAAGAGCTGATTCGGCTACCTGATCATTCCACCACCTAAAGCTAGGACTTCAACCAGCAGATCCAATAATGGTGAGGAACGCGCTGCCGGCTTCACGCAAGTCCTGCTGGTGCCGGCGCAACCGCCCAAGGCAGTCTACCTCACGCCGGTTGGTTCCCGTCTCCGCCGCCCCCACTTTGTAACACCATCCTGCCAGCCACACTCAACTCCCAGCAACCCTCCCCACTGAGACCCTCACAGGCCGATGCCGATGCCGAGCTAGAGGCCATTCGGCAGCGGCGCATGGCCCAGCTCATGGAGCAGGCCGGCGGCGGCGGCAAGGCGCCTGCCACACCCGAGGAGATGCAGGCCCAGGAGGAGCAGCGGGAGGCAGCAGAAGAGCAGCGGCGCGCGATGCTCATGAACCTCATGCAGCCATCTGCCAGGGACAGATGTGAGCCCGGCGTGCTTAGGTTGGGCAGTGCGCCTGCCGACCGCGCCGCTTGTGGTGGGCACTGCCGCCATGCCTGTGGTTCTGTGTGAGGGTGTCATCGGATGGCTGGCTGAGGTGCTTCCCTCATCCTGATCCCTGATCCTGATCCTGCAGTGGCGCGCATCAGCCTGGTCAAGCCAGACAAGGCGCGGGCGATTGAGGACATGCTCATCATGGCCGCCCGGCGTGGCCAAATACAGGAAAAGGTGCGGGCTACTGCGTTTAGATTTGCTGAGAGTTTGCACCTGCCGTCGCTTACTGCAGTTTGCTCTGCCTGATTTGTGCGTGGTGTCCCGCGGCGCCAGGTTTCAGAGGCGCGACTGATTGAGCTGTTGGAGCAGGTGTCTGAGCAGACAGAGAAGAAGACCAAGGTGCGGCACCTGCACCTATGGGTGTTGCCCCCAGCTGTTGATGTGAAAGTTGCCCCGCAGGCCTTGTGATGAACCCGGCGGCTATTTGCATTGGTTGTGCAGGTGACCATTCAGCGGCGGCGGGGTGCACTTGATGACGATTGGTAGAACAATGGAAACATCAGCTATGGCAGGAGGGGGACGGTGGCTTGGGCCCAGGAGACAGAGAGACTGCAGTCTCCTCTTCCTTGCTACCTCTGTGTTTGCGGCTGCTTGCAAACTAGGGCTCCCGAAGTGTAAGCTTACAGCAGGTGCAAACAATGCCCGGCGGCGTTGGAATGAGCAGTTCGGCACGGTTAAGACACGTTCGGCACGCTTGGCACGCTCAATGGAATGGAAATTCAAGACTTTGAGGTATTGGTTAACAACATGACCCGTTTGCTGCTCGTTGCCTTCATCCAAGCAGAGGGTCAACAATGGTATCCTGCATGACATTATGAAAAGGTCCCGGGCTGAGAGACCACGGCCCCGAAAAGGCGAAAGGGGCCCTGACCGTTTCAGGAGTCTGCTAAAAAGTCTGCTAAAAAGCCAGAAAGGCACATCCCTTTGGTAGGTTCATGTGTTTTTTCTCCGGAAGTCAGTTTAAACATCATCGGTTGGCGCAAGCTGGTTGCTTACCTTGTACAAAATGTATCGACTTTCTTGGTTGCCAAGCGCTGCATACCACTGCGGAACAAACGGCGCCATCCTGCAATGGTGCCAAGCAACGCGGTAGCAGTATGCTATGTTTCATAGTTGAGTGGTAGAAAGCTGCCATTACCGCCCAAACGGCACCAAGGACTGAAACCACAGACACACCAGATGGCATCGCCGGCCTGCACCGGATACCAGTTGCTTCCCAGCCTGAACAGAGAGAAGGTGGAGGTCAGAGCCTAAACACAAAAACATCCGAGTATAAGCATCAGTGCCCGGAGACGGGGCTGTACATTGCAATAGGCAAACAGCCCACCCACTGCCAATCCACCAGCTCTCAGCCACCTGTAGATGCCCTTGCCCTGCAGCAGCAGCAGGCCGTGCTGGTTGTAGTGCACCTCCTTCACGTTCAGGTGCTCCCCGGGGAGGAAGTCCATGACATGCACGTTGAAATCGTAGTCAGCTGTCTGGGGCAGCAGCTTGCGCAGCGCAAACACCTCGCCGGCCGTGGGCAGCAGCTGCTGCTCCTGGGTGTGGCCGTGGATGAAGCGGGGTCTGCCGTTGACAGCATACCGCCGCTCAAAGAGGAGCAAGCCGGCGCCGCTGGCAGAGGTCACGACGTGCTCCATGTGGGCGGGCACATACGCAAAGTCGTCAGCGTGGAGAGTGACGGTTTCAGACCCAGCAGTGACCTTAACCACCCCATCCAGCACAAAGATGAACCTGCAAGTGGTGGTGCAGCAGCGTGCTTGTCGTGGCACTAGGCTTGCTGGCAGCAGGGTGACGGCAGACCAAACATTCAACATCCATGCCCCATGTCCCACCGCACCTCTCGTGGCCCTCAGGGGGCTTGGCCCCGCTGGACTGCTGCTTCATGTTGGCCAGCAGCATCGCAAAGTTGGCGCCAACGGCGGGGGAGATGATGTGCGCCGTGGTGGCGTTTTCCCACAGCGGGTTGCCCGCAAACACAAAGCTCTCAGGTGTCACCAGCGCATAGTTGCGCTCATACACGGATCGCGTAAACCCCGGCAGGTCTGCACGAGGGTAGGTGAACAACTGGTAGGGCCGTGACGTCGCGGGAGAGCAGCGGCGGCACCGTCGGCAGGGGCTTGCAGCTCTCTCACCATCGAAGGCGATGCCGCTGAATCTAGCTGTCGACAGCAGGTTGCTATATTGCCACGAAGACTGCCGCTCCCCTGCAGCAGGCATGCACGTCATGTGGATGGCTGGCCCTCAGCGCATTGGGCCGTAAGGCGGTCAACGTTTACCCTCAGATCGCGCCACGCCCCAAAACGCGGACAGCACCAGGAGCAGGGCTGCAGGCCTTGCCCTGGAGCCCACCCGGCTGACCCTTTCCATTATTTCTTCCGTACTACCGCGATTCACACGGTGGCTCACAGAATGCCATACAGCCTGTTTGCACGTTCAGGTCAGGGCAGTACAGTTGGGTGGTTGGCCAGCTGCATCGCACTTGCCTTCAGTCGAGCTGCGCTGTCTTCAGTCGAGCTGCACTGCAATGCCTCGAGGCCTGTGTGGGGTCACTCATCAATAGTTGACCATTCTGCTATTCCAAGGCGGCAGTGCAAACCATGTCGACTGGCCCTAATCTCTGCGGGCCGAGCGACCGGCGCGACAGCAACAGCCGGCCCAGCTCACCGCAGGCACAGGAGCGACTGGGGACTGGTTTTGCACCTGGGAGCCAGGCCATTGGAAGCAACTCTCTGCCAGCAAGCATTTCGCCAGAAGCAGTTAATGCACTGAGCGATTGCAGCCACGATTTGTCTTTGACCAGCGCCGGCTGCGCAAGCCTGGTCCCGCTTGTGGAACATCCCGATGCTGATTGCGACGTCACGTCGAAGGACGCTGCCGCGGCAGCCTGGCAGGATTCGCAGTCCTTGCCTACCCTGGAAGGTGCTGTGCCCACATTAGCATCATCCGAGCACCAAGCAGATCAGCTGCTTGGACAGGAGGATGAGCAGCTGCAGTCGCTGTCGCCCGCGCATCACGGTGTTGGGCCGCCGTCAGTGCTGCACTCGACAGGCCCTGCCGCAACATGCTCATCAGGATGTGAGCAGCCGATGCAGACACATTCATCCGACCAGTTCTCGCAGCCTCTAGAGCAGAAGCCAGCGGCAAGTACGCAGCAGCAGCAGGATCAGCGGCAACAACAGCAGGTGGAGATTCCAGACTCGCCTGCTGCCCACCCCACAGATTGCATTGCTGTGCCCAAGCTTTCACCAAGCAGGGAGCGGCAAAGCAACACAAGCCAACCTGCCAGCTGCGCGCCCACCATGGGAAGTCCCACAGCTGCCAGCAGCCAGCACCATCAGACTGTCGCTGATGACGAGCGGCAAGAGGCGGCAAGAGCTGTGCCAAGCGGTTACCAGCAGTTGCAGGCGGACGCCATCGCTCAAGTGGCAGTTGCGGACGACAAGTCGCGACAGCTGGCTGTGGTTCCAGCGCCGCCTCCGATGGTGGCCTACCATGTGCAGCTCCTCCAGGCAGTAATGGCTGGTGGGCTGAACAACATGCGCCACCGGCTTCAGACAGCCGTCCAGCGAGAAAACGAACTCAGGTACCCTGGACAGGCTGTCTTGTGTCCAGAAGATGAGGCAGCGGAGGATGCATGCCCCGTAATGCGACTGTTCGACACCAAGAGGACGCTGCTAGAGCACGTTCCCCTGCCGCTTGCCTTCCCAGGATGGAGACTGAGCTGGCGGCTGTGGAGCGGGAGGCGCTGGTGCAGGCGCGCGCGTTTGCTGAAGCTGGGCTGGCGGCGGAGCGCACGGTGCGGTTGGCTGCGGAGCAAGAACTTCAGATGCTTGTAGAGGAGATGGAGGTCAGTCATGCAGTATTGGAAAATTCAGCATGCGCATGAGGCAGGATTCAATCGCTGAACTTTCTTGCTCCGCAGGATGAGCAGCAGCAATGGCTGCAGCAGCTGGCAGAGGCACAGGGCCAGCTGAAGACAGCGCACTCAGCGTTGCGGGCTCTGGAGAGCAAGGTTGCTGAACTCCAGGCGGAGGTCAAGGTAGAACAGGCGCGCAGGCAGGCAGCACAGGAGCAACTGGTGCACCTCAAGCAGCAGCACCAGCACCAGCGACAGCAGCAGCAGGAGCAGGCACAGCAAGAGCATGAAAGTCAAAGGGCCAAGTGGGAGCAGGAGCGGCAGCAGTGGTATAGCTCAACGGGCTCGCAAGGCTTGCCCTGCGGAACAGATGCAGCCTCGCTAAACCACGCAGCCGCTGCTGCTTCCAGTGGATCAGCAGCCTCGGCTGTGCTGCTGCACCACTTGCTGCACCTGCAACAAGACGTGGCAGCCCTGAAAGTGGGAGCACAGCACTGCATGCCGCAAGCTGAGGAGCACCCTGCGAGTCTTGGAAACGACTTGCAAGAGCGACTACCAACTAGTGGTCCCCAGCGGCTACCCTCGCTTGGCCGGCAACCACAGGGGCAGAGCATGGACAGCAAGCCTGCTATCCAAGCCCAGTCATTGTTCGCAGAAGTGCGCAGTTGGCTCCAGCACGAATCGGCACAGCTCCAGCAGCAGCTGGTCCTGCAGGAATCGCACCTGGAGGCGGGTCTTCATGCGCCAGCACCAGGCGCCATGCATCTAGCGCCAGGCGAGCACCAACAGCCAGAGGCAGCTCCTGCTCATCTGAGCCAGCAATACCCAGGTGGTGGCTTTCCAGCACATGCAGCCTGGTTTGGCCAGGTGATGCAGCCTGGTGTGCCTGCTTTCGACGGCGGCCCAGCCCAGCATCAGCAGCAAGAGCGAGGCGTGGCGCAGAGACCACTGCTGCATGAGCCGCGGCAACCTGTAGCTGCACGGCCTGCCAGCGCCAAGCGCCGTCAGGTTCAGCCAAGGTCACCCTCACGAGTCTCACGCTGGGACTACAGGCCTGCGTGGAGCGAGGGGTTGGCTAGCATGAGAGGGCTGAGAGTGGATGATCTGCCGGCATCAGCAGCTGCGGCCAGAGCCCAACAGGTAATGCGTGCAGGAACGATCATGGTTCCGAGGGTGCCGGCTTTGAATCTCCTCGTGGCCCTTCCTGTGCAGGCTGACAACTGTACTCCCAAGCTGGCGGCCAATTCACCAAGGTCTGGCCAGCCTGCGGGCCAGTCACCACTGCTGCAGGTCCATCAGCAGCAGCTGCCCTGTCCTCCTGCTGCACACGCACAGCTGCCGTTACAAGATGCCGGCGGCTCCAGCCACCAGACCTTGGCCTCGGCTGTGCCATACGAATGGGTGGCTACACAGCCGATGCAGGTGCAGGGTGCTGCTCATGTTCCAGGAGGTGGCACGGGGTTCATGAGTGGAGCCGGCCCTCATTTCCCACCCCCGCTGATCCCACCCGGTGGCGGGGCCAGCCCCGTTATTCATCAGTACTTTGCACCAGCTTTGCCATCACCCTTTGCCACCTACCAGCCACAACAGAGCAGTTATGCCGCAGCAGCAATCCCGCTGTCGCGCCCAGCCACTGCGTGCAGCAGCTACGCTCAGCATTACCTGACAATGCCCCAGTCACAGTTGCTGCCACCACCCGTCCACAGCCAGCAACACTTTGACCAAAATGGCAATCAGATGGTTGATTGCTCAGAGCAGTTTGGGCAGTACCAGCAGCAAGTGCAGCAACACCACCAGAGGCAGCAGCGACCGGCCACCCCGGGCGTAGCACTTGGGGGAGGCACCAGTGCAGCAAGCGAGGCATGGACGCCCCACGGCATGATCGGTACCACGTCCCTCACAAAGAGTGCCTCAGCAAAGGTGAGCTGCAGCTGGCTGCTTCTCGAAACATATTTTGAGTCTGGCACTTGATTAAAGAGTTCCGCATTTAGTGTGCCATCATGGCCACAAAATGGACCGTGCCACCCATTCCTTTCCCGCAGCACACGCTGGCCGTGCCACCGACCCAGGTGGATGAGGCCGCCCTTGCGGCAGCGCGGGCCGAGTATGTGCGCGAAAAGAACCGAATCCGGGCCAAGCGGCTTCGTGAGCTGCAGGAGAGCGCCGACTTCAGGCTGTTGTGAGGGCGGCACGCGCAGCCCGCGGCAGCCGGCGGCAGGTGGCGGCAGCAGGCCGTGCCGAGTGCTGCCGTCCTCGATCACTGTCTCTCATGTTAGACACTATCAGAGATACAGAATATCAGTCATACAGAATGTCAGTCATCCGAAAAGCGTGTGGCACACAGAAGACAAAAGCAAAACTGTCTGCACCCTTGGCTTTCTGGCCAAAGGCTTGTGTAGCATTCGTTTGTTCGGTTTATACTCCTTGCGGAGGAATTCTTCATCATCTGACTGCGACCAGAACACCTTCACCTTCACCAGTTGCAGGCACACGGCTCCTGCAGGCTTCATCCTGAGGAAATGAAGCAGCGCGCGGAAGCTCACTCGCTGGCAGCGGGGTCTTCTGGTGCGCACTGCCGCCTCCCGCCTGCGCTGCCGTTCATCGCGCCTCCCGCCGCATCCCCGGCGCGACCTCATATTCCGACTCTTGCCGGTTCCCCTAAACTCCCCTTTTCTCACACACACACTTTTTGTGTATCAAATCACATGACCCTGCTGCTGCGGCATTCCCTGCCTATTGCAGACAGCAGGAAAATCCTCCTGCAGTTTTGTCAGAGCTTTTTGGCAGGCTGCACGGCCAGCTGTGGTGCCGTGGCCCTCACCAACCCGCTTGATGTAGTTCGCACGCGGCTGGAGCTACAGGGGGAGCTGGCCAAGGGGGGCGCGCAGATTTATCATGGCGCGATAAGGGGTGCGCATTACCCATGGCTCCTCTTGTAATGTGCTGCATGCGTGCACATGTGCACCCGCCTGCCCATTGCCTACCCTGCCTATCCCTTGCAGGTCTGGGCAAGATGGTCCGACAGGAGGGTCCGACGGTGCTGTTTAGGGGCCTCAAACCGGCCTTTGCCTTTCAGATTGCCGTGAACGGGACGCGCCTCGGCACGTTCATTCCGCTGAGGAAGTGGCTGGTAGAGCAGACAAGGGAGCATGAAGTGGACCCCTTCTTCATCAGTCTGCTGGCCGGCTCGCTGTCTGGCATGGTTGGGGCAGCCATTGGCACCCCGTTTCAACTTATCAAGACCCGCATGCAGGCGGCAGCCAGCGGCGCAATTCGACAGCCGTACCGAGGTTTGGGCCACGCACTCGCGAGCATTGTTGCCAATGAAGGTAGGCCTCCTGGCATGCCTCCCACCTGCCTCCCATGTGCCTGCTGCCTAACCCCTGTGCCGTTATCCGCCCCACCTGTCTTGCGCTCCTCCCACTGAGCCCGTCTCCTGGGCACTCCTTCCGGCAGGCGTGTTTGGGCTGTACCGCGGCGCTCATCTGAATATGGTCAAGATTGCAGTGGCGTCCGCGATTCAGCTGGCGGTGTTTGATGGTGTCAAGGCGCGCCTGCACCAGGAGCAGCAGTGGGGCCGTGAGCACCCTACCGCCGCGCTCCTAGTCTCAGCCATGTGTGCGGGGCTGGCGGTCACGGCCGTCGTCCAGCCTGTGGATGTAATCACCACGCGTCTCTGGAATCAGCAAGGTAAAGCGCAGAGGAAGTTGCAGATGGTGGCTGCCCCGCACTCTGGTGCAGATGAGTGCGCACCCTGTCCCACAACCTTCCTTGCCCCAAAACCTCGCCTAATCTGCTGTGGTCTCTGTTGTGCAGTTGTGAATGGCGTGGGCACGTTATACCGCAACGCCTGGGAGTGTGCGGCGAAGACGGTGCTGGCAGAAGGCCCGCAGGCACTCTACAAGGGCTGCACAGCGCACTTTCTGCGAGCAGGGCCGCACACAGTGCTTACGCTCCTGCTGCTGGACCGCATGCAGCGTGCGCTGGGCCTGCATCCGGCGCAGCAACCAGTGGCAGGCGGCGCCAAGCGGCCGCCGCTTGGCAAGTGATGTGGCACCTTGATTTTCCCCCAAACAGACACACAGGTTCCATTTGTCTTCGAGTGTTTTAACCTATCACCCTGTTACATTGGCACAGTACCAGTGGACAGTGCATGCAAGTGCCACCATCAGCCATCTACCTCCATGGCGGCAGATGCAGGCTCTTCGTGTTTTGTTGCCACAGCACCATTGCTGCCGTCAGCCTCGGTGCCGTTGCTGCCGCCTGGTGCTTTTGCCTTGGTTGGCGCCACTCCTGCTGGCGCCTGGTCTGGCTCTGGCGGTGGCTCCTGCTGCTGCTGCTGCTGCTGCTGCCGGGGTGCAGGTGGCTGTTGCGCAGCTTGTTGCTGCTCCTGCTGCTGCTGCTGCTGCTGCTGCTGGGGCGGCTGTTGGGTACGCACCAGCGCCTCTGTCACGCGGTGCATCAGGTCTGCCATCAGCGCAATGTCTATCTCACTCAGCAGCTGCTGCTCTGGCGGCGCCTGCGGCGGCCCAAACGGTGCCAGCAGGCGCTGCAGCTGGTGCAGATTCCGTAGCGTCGCTTGCAGGCGCTGCACCGCCGCGGCAGGCGGCGAGCACAGCACCTGGATCATGCGGCGCACAAAAGCATCCTGCAGGGCGTGGGGCCATGGCAATGAATGAGGCACTGAGAAATTCAACGTGCAAGCAGGTGGGAGGACGATGCTCAGCAACACAAGTGTGCAGCATGCCGCGCCTCCCCGCCCGCTGCCGCAAAGTCAGCTGCATGCCCCGCCCTCGCTCCCGCACCTTGAGCTCCGGGCTGCAGCTGCCCTCCACGTACACGTGCAGATTGACCAGCAGCTTGGCCAGCAGCACTGCACGCTCCAGCGCCAGGTGCTGGCCCATGCGCAGCGCGCGGCCCTGCGATTGATTTGGGAACAGCGCTAGAGAATTCAGCAACGGAGTTTTGCGCGCTTGTTCCATCCATGCCCACTCAATTCCACCTCCTGCCAGCGCCCATGCGCACCTGCTTGCCACGAGTGGGTGGAAAGGCGGCAGCAGCGGCGCGCTCGTAGCTCTTGACCGCCGTCATCGAGGCAGTGGAGACGCTGTTGATGAGAATGTCGTCATCTTGGTGGTAAGCCACAGCCTCCACGCCCGCGCACCATCGCGAGCGGAAGCTCTCTGGGTCTGCAGTAGGCTACCAGGCAGCAAGGTGGGTCAGCAAGGGTGCAGCATATTTTGCCTATGGCAAGCAGGACCTAAAAACAAAGCCAGTGGTTTGCGGCGTTGAGCCCTGCTGGAGAAGGGCTGCCCAGCAATGTCGCCCCTCGTGCACCGCTGTGGCTTTCACTTCTGCTACGGCACAGCCGCTCATACCTGTAGCCAGCAGGTGCGCCGAGGTGGGGGCCAGCAGTGGGATGAGCCCCGCCCGAAAGTTGGAGTCGTCGCTGAGCAGCTCGGCAGCGCGCAGCGTGTTGATGGCCATCTGGCTCTCGCCGGGGGCAGACGGGAAGTGGGCAGTGCTGGGGCGCAGCAGCACCTGCATGGAATCGGAATATGGGGGGTGAATTGCGAACAGGCCAGGCTGCAGGCAGAGAGCGGGGCAGCACGTGGCAATGCTTCCCTCAGCTCAGCGTTTCACGGCCAGATGGCACCCCACCATTGCTCGACACACCATCCCACCGGCCCTCGGCCTCCAGCCAGCCATTTCCCTGCACGGCGCACCTGACCAATGTATGCTGCCGCGCGGTTGTTGACGTGGTCTGCCAGCCGGCGTGTGGCCTGGTGCTGCGCCACCTGGTCCATGAACGATGGCTCCTCGCACTCGCTCAGCATCAGCAGCAGCGCAAAGCCGCGCGCCGCCAGCAGCTCCGCCGCGCCCTCGCCTTTCTCTGCAGGGACACAGGGGCCTTGTGCGGGGCACAGTGAGCCAGACCGGCATGGGCCAGGGAGTGCTGGCAACACATGGCATGAAGATAATGCGCAGATACGCAATGCGCCCCCCCCGCCTACATCCCTGCCCTGCCCTGACCTGTGCAGTACGGCGGTTGCACGGCCACCAGCTTGGAGATGGTTGCGCTGGTGGCCTTGTCTGACGAGCGTGCAAAGGGGGGTGCCGCCATGGGTGTGTCGTGCAGCGTGAGGCAGGCCAGCACGAGGCGCAGCGGTGCCGCGCCCGATGCGTCGTGCAGCATGAGGCGCTGGTAGAAGAGCGGGGTGACGCACATGTAGGACAGCAGCTCCGTGGCAGCACCTGCAGGGCCAGGTGTGCGTGTGTGCTTGGGCAGGTTGACCAGGGTAGGCCTTTGGGCACCCCAATGCCCCACTTCCCACCTGCGTTGTAAGCCAGGCGGTAGACGGCCTCGCCCTCGGTGTTGCCCACAAGTCCCGCCCGCACTGCCAGCACCACAGTGCGCACCGCATCAAACCCCGCCTCCAGCAGCATAACGCCCCGCGGGTGCTGCATGCGAAAAAGAAAGGGGAGAAAGGTGAGTGGGGCCTCATGAACAGGCGATGCCAGGCAGACCATTACCGACCAGCCATTCAAAACTGCCGCAAAACTTAGCCTCACCTGCAGCAGCGCTTCGCAAATGGCCTGCCAGTCTAGCACCCCGCTTGCCGCTGCAGCCGCGGCCGCTGAGCCACCGCTCCGCGCGGTGAATGCAAAGGCCAGCGCCCGCAACGCAGCAGGCACCATGGCGGCTCGATCCAGCGCGGCCTGCACGCTGCCCTGCGCCGCAGCGCCCACCATGCAAGCCTCCGCCTCGGGCCCTGCCACAGCCAGCAGCACCATGTTGGCCGCATCCACCAGCTGCAACCCAAACTCGGGCTGTACAATGGTGGCTTCTCTGAGCTGCTTGTGGTGGAAGCTCAGCTCGCACAGGCTGGTGATGAGGGTCAGCGCCTTGGCGACGTGGTCGAAGCAAGAGGTGGAGGAGACTTCGGCGCTGGTCAGCTGGGCGGTGGCGGCATCGGGCGGCACCGCCGGCTGCCCAGACAGCAGGCAGCCAAGCACATGGCGAGGCAGCGTCAGCGCCAGCTGCGTGACCAGCACGCGGGAGGGCGTCTTGCCAGGGCGCAGCACCTTGCTGAACCTGTGGGGGCGGGGAAGTGGGGCGGGCAGCGGCAGCAGAAGCGACGTGGGTGGTGCATGGCGGTTACATCTGGGTGCCTCCAAGGGCATCGGCATCGATGAGAATCAACAAGGGTGGAGTTGGACCCAGCCCGCAGTGGCATGCATTGGTGCCCCCGGCGGTGGCCAATTGCAGGTGCTGTGGGGTTGTGCTTGCCAAACGGGCAGTGCATTCACCCACGCACCGGTACTCTCCTCGCTCCAGGCTGAGCACCTTGTGTAAGTCTGCCGAACAGAGCTGCTCTACACAATTGAACACGTCCAGCAGCTGCAAGAACAGCAGATGGGGGCGGCGGCTGGAAGGTCAGCCGCGGCAGCCGCAGCCGCCCGCCGCCGTCCACGGCTGCTCCCACCCGCCGCCTGCTGCTGCCCCCCCTCGCGGCGCAGCCGCCGCCCTGCTGCGTCTCTGGGCCTCACCTTCTCTTCCTCCTCGCGGGCGTGCTCCGCCAGGCGCAGATGCTTCTGCAGGGCTGGGGCGGGGCAGGGGTCAGGACGCTCCACGGCGTCGGCCACGTACACCCTTGCCCCCCTGCCCACCTGTCTGTCATTCAACGTGACCATCCCCGCAAAACTGGCTGATCCGGCGCGCCTCTAAACTGGGAGCTGCTCCACCACTTCTCCCGTGGTTTCCCCCCGCACCCGGTGGGCCCGCACCACAATGGAGGGTAGGCCAAGAATGCAAGAGTTGAAAGCCGTGCTGTGCTGTGCCACCTGGAGGCCTGCAGGGCTCCTCCACGCACGTTGGCCCTAACCTCCTGGCAAAACTTTCGCAGGCCCTGCAGGCCTCCCCCCTGCGTACGAAACGAGCAGCGCTCGCGCTCGGAAGCTGTCTTTCGAGATATGAAAAACCAAACTCATGGTGCAGCCGCAAGGGAACAACTGTGAAAGGACAGACCTGAGGACGGCTGTGAAAGCTTTGTTGGAAGGCAGCCAGCCGCGCGAGCCCGTTGGCCCCGCCAGGCGCCGCCCCAACCCCCTCTACAGCAGCGGCAGCGGCAACAAGCGCCGCAGCGACTCGCAGCCCAACTCTGCACGAGGCAAGAGCAAGAGCCAGCCAGCCTCGCCCACGGGTATCAGCAAGACACGCGCCATTCCACGCGGTGCGGCAGGAGCCGGCGGCAGGTCTCGCATCACCGGTCGCCGCTTGCCACTAGGTGAGGCGACGGGGGTGCCCGTTGACATGCTACGGAACGGCATGAGTGAACAGCAATGCAATTGAGGGGCTCTGCTACCTGGCATTCTATTAGGTGCCACCGTGGCCCCCACCCACTGCCCTCCCCATTCGTGCCCTGCAACAGGATCGGCGGCATCGGCAGGCGCCTCCCCTGTGAAGGACCCGCCACAGCAGCAGCACAAGTGGCCCACCACCCTACGACTAGACTTTGGCAATCTCACTCAGGCTGCGCCACGGCTGGACCTGTCACCCAGCAAACCCACCCAGCAACGGCTGCCACCGCCGCCACCACAGCAACCCCTTGCTGCTGCCACTTGTGGCCCCAGCGCCTCGCAGCACCTGCTGGGCTTTGGGCGGCTGCACATCACCAGCCCGAACCCCACCCCGGAGACTAGCCCCCGGCCAGAGCAGCCAGCAATTGTACTGGCAGCAGGTGGGCAGATCACCGCACCGGTGGCGCCCTTCCCAAGGACCCAGGCGTGCAGCGAGCGTGGCCCATCGCTGTGGCGTCACCAGCAGCAGCAGTCGCTAGGCAGTGGCGACGAAAACTGCCACTGCATCCCGCCCTCGCCCTTGCCACCAGAAAAAGTCTGCTGCAACCAGGAGAGTGCAGTCGCAGCGGACCAGACACTCCCACTCACAGCTTCCTCCAACCTCTGCAACCTCAGCTGGCAGGGCAGCCAGCAGCTGAGCCCCGAGCAAGCAGCTGCGGCGCCGACCGCAGGGGCGCCACTTCCCTCACCCTTCAACAGCAGCCAGGAACGGCGCCTCGAGATTGCGCTCCTTTTCGAGATGGCGTCAGATGTTGCGGCAGCTTGGAGTTCGCAAGAAGATGAGGCACCGGGAGAGATCCAGCAGCAGCAGCCGTTATGGCCAGAGCAGCTGCAACAGCCAGTGCCGTCAGTGCAGCAGCCATTCCGAGAGCTGTGGGCAGCGATGCTAAAGGCCCACCATGTGCCGCCACTGCAGCAACAGGCTGCACCAGCAAGCAGCCGTCCGCGCTTGGATGCAGTACAGGCCCAGCTAGATGCCGTTGTGGGTGCAGCAAACCACGGTCCAGCAGCAACAGTGGCATTGCAGGGCAGTGCCAAAAATATTGGCAGCTTTCAGGCAGCTACACAGATGGGAAGTCAGCAAGGGGAGCCCAACATATGTGGCTTCACTTCCCAGGAGATCTCAGAGGCAGCAGACCCCTGGAGCCAGCATAGCGATGACCGCGGGGAGCAGCAGCGGCAACAGCAGCAGCGTGGCAGCGAGCAGCCTGCAAGGGCAGGTATGGGGCAGCCTGTCATGCCTGCCGTTTTGGCGACAGCAGTGCCAGCGGCCGGCTGTCTGCCACCCCCAGTGGTACTCCCAGCCCTGCGGCAGTACCTTCCCCAACAGCTAAGTGGAGAACCCCAAGGCAGGTTGAACCAGTGGGCAGCTCTGGGCCCAGTGCCGCGCTTGCAAGAGCGCGAAGTGTCTAGAGCAGCACCGCAGAGCCCACATGCAAGGAACCGACGTCAGCAGGAGCGGCAGCAGCACGAAGAGGAGGAAAATCGGATGGTTGGCAGCACATGCCCTGTGCCGCAGGCAAGTGACCTTGCTACCTTCCAGGAGTCAGACCTTGCCACCTGTCAGGCACTTCAGTGCCTGTTTGAACATGGCAGCCTGGAAGCCACCCAAGACCTTTGGCTGTTCTTATGTGTTGCCGAGTCAAACTCACCTGCTGCCTGCTGCTTGCTGATTCCCATCCTCCTGCAGCTGCTGGGAGTGCGGGAGAGCTTTGCCACGCAGCGGGAGGCCTTTGCTGCCGCTGACCAGCACAATCAGCACATGCCGCTGGCGCCACAGCCCCTGGTGGCCATATCGCAGGTCCCACTGGAAGAGTTGCTGCCACCATCCGGTGCTGGTGCTGCTGCTGGAGCCGCCAACAGCCGTGGCGGAGCCGTCCAGAGCAGCAGCAGCGCCAGTGGTGGCAGTGGCAGCGTATTGTGTGCTGGTGGGCGGCGCCTCGGTGGTGCCCAGCACGCCGACCCAGCCAGCCATGGGCAGCACCAGCAGTCAATGCCTGCTGCGGGCCCTGTCGACTTCCTGACCCGCTTTCAGGCTGGTGCACGGCACACCGTCGATTCCTCTGGCTACACAGCCCCGCCGCTCAAGCGGCAGCAAGAAGAGCCGGAAGGAGGGGAGGAACAGCAGCAGCAGCGCCTGAAGCAGGTAGCAATTAACCGAAGGGCCAAGGAGCAATACGAGGCTGCTCTTCAGGCCCTTCAAACTGCATTAATGCAGCAGCAAGAGGACCAAGAAGGGGAGGCCCAGCAGGCGGTGTCAGCCTCGACTAGCAGCAGTATATGCAGCCTGCAGCCGTTGGAGGCAGCAGCCTCCACAGCTGCTGCAGTAAAATCTGTGGCAGCTGGAGCTGAGGCGGAGGAGCGGCGCCAGGAGGCAGTGCGCACATTCTGTGTTGAGCGCCGCGCCAGGTGGGCACGACAGCTATTCTCTCTAAAAGGCGTGTGTGTGCATTGTTGACCGCCTGCTTTTTTTGCTCCTGGTGCAGCTACTCATGTTGCCCCATCCCCCCCAACCCTACACTTGTCTGCAGGGGCGGCACCTACTACCGCACCTTTACCGCCGCCAGCTACCCTGCGGTGTGGCAGCTTTTCCGGCACACAGCCCCCAAGGACTTGCACTGGTATGAGGTCATCCGGGAGGGGCGCCCCGCCCACCTGTACTTTGACCTGGAGTTTGTGCCGCGCCTCAACCCGCAGGTGGGTGTACCTGGGTGGGGTTGGGGTGGGTGGTAGGTGGGTGCACCTTGGGTCATGGTGATGGAGGCCCGGCTGAAAGGGGCTGAAGGGCTTGGGCGTGTTTCATGGCTGAGGTGCCAATCCTGCCAACTGTGGCTGATCATCCAGCAGCCACGTCCTGCCGCTGGGCCTGCCACCTCACCTGCACCCTCATGCCCATGTGATCGGCCCGTCTAGTGCAGGTGGATGGCGAGGCGTTGGTTGATGTGCTGTTGCAGCACGTGGCGGCGCAGCTCAGGTGTGCAACAGGTGTCACAAGCTGCATGTTGAGGGCTTCCTGCCTTGGCGCTTGGCTTGCCTCACGCTGCCCTATGCTGCCTTGTCCCAACCTGCAGGCGCCACTTTGACCTGATCCTGGACCCGCGCTTCGTCTACGAGCTCGACTCCTCCACCCCCAACAAGTTCAGCCGCCACCTCACGCTACGCCTGCCTGGCCACGCCTTTTCCAACAACCATGCCATGGGCAAGTTTGTGGCGCAGGTGTGTTGAGTGTGTGTGTATTCGCAGTTGGCGGAAGGCGAGGCAGCTCGGCAGGAGTAACAGCCTGTGCTTACGCTCGCAAGTTGTGGGCCAAAGCACCTGTCTGCCATCCGCCACCAGTGCTGCTGATAGCTCACGTGCGGGTTACCTGTCTGCCGGGTTACCTGTCTGCCGGCCTCTCTGCGTTTGCTTCCCTACTTGGCCACAGGTGCTGGCTGCCAGTGACAGCAAGCTGCTGGTGGTGCGCAAGGAGCAGGAGCCGGGGGGGGGCGGCGGCGGGCCCCAGCTGGGTTCGATGGTGGACATGGCGGTCTACTCCAAGTGCGCCACGCTGTGCTGTGCTATGCCATTCTTTGTTCAAGCTGCCCAGCTCTCAAACTGCTGCTCCCTCGACCTTGCTGCTGACGCTCGCTCCTGCTGCCCCTGTCTGGCGCAGGAACCGACACTGGCGCATGTCCCGCTGCTGCAAGGGCGGCAAGGAGGCTGTGCTGCACCCTACGGGGCGCTATGCCACTGCCCCTGGTGCTGGTGTGTCCGACGCGACTGTGTTCCTGGACACCCTGGTGTGCAATGTGGAGCCACACGCGCGGCTGCTGCAGATGCCAGACCCGCTGCCAACGGCCGGGCCCAACAACCGTGGTGGTGTTGGCATGCTGGGGGCGGCTGCATTGCAGAGCGGCATTGGCGGCCTGGGATCATGTGGGCTGCAGGTGACCTGGAAGCAGGGTGCCATTGATACCGCTCTCCTCCCCGACCAGGTGGCAGGTTGGTCCAAGCTCCTGCATCTGCTTGCCTGCTCACGTTTACTGCCATTCAACATACTGTTCACTGCTCTCTCCACCACGATCACCCAGCCCCTGCACCAACAACTGTTGCGTGCCGCGCGCCCCCCCCAA